GGAGACTTAAAAGGGTGTTTGGCCACGTTGGTGATGGGTTATTTTTCTGGGCTTAATGGTCCGGTAATGGAAGAAGGCCGAGTATTATTTTTTAAAACATTGGTTAATTTGGCCAATATGTATGGATAATTGAAAATAGAATAAGCGCTTAGAAGCATCGTCGTTCCCTCCCTCCCTCCCTCTCTCTCTCTCTCTCTCTCTCTCTCTCTCTCTCGCTCTCTCGCTACCACCCTCAAACACGTTAGAATACATATGAAGAGCCACACTAGGCCCAAATAGGCTGGATCTGACAATCCATTTTAGGTATTTTCTAAAACGCTAGGTCTTTCAAAAGAAGATCCTAAGCCAAGTCATGGCGTAGGGTGTCTCATATGGGGTTCATGTTACCTAGAGTTGGCACTTACTGGTTATAGGAAGAAGAGCTTGGAAATCCAAGCTCAATAAATCTTGTTGGAATCATCATGAAAAAATTATTATGAATTATATCAGTACATACTACTAACCTCTAAATTGATATTCAAATCTTTAGATCTAGGTTTTTTATTGTAGAAATATATTTTTCAGGACTCAAATGAAAAAAATGAGATGTCAATAAATATATCAAAATCAAATGAGCTGGAAATAAATATAAATATAAGTTTTAAGTGGATAATATAAAATATTTCAACCCATCTATGGACTCATTATTAAAGTATGCCAACTCAATAAGTGTGACAACGCACCTAAAGAGAGACAAACGTAAAGATCCATTCAACATGTCAACTCATTATAACTTAAAAGAGAGAGATGATGAATTGTAAACAAGTGTACAGCACTTTGAAATGTGACTAATTACTTATAAAAAGTTAATTGTACAAGGGACATATGACAAAAATCAAACACAAGTTTGAAAAATGTCCAAATCATGATGATATATGACATTATCGAGTGATGAGTGACATAACTTGACAACACAAAAATATTATAGTATTAAATAAATAATGTTCTGATTATAAAAACACACTTAAGACTAATACTAACTAAAATTGATTTTTTTTATATATAATAGAATTATATATTTTTTATACATGAGCATGGCTTGAGTTGACTAAAAATTCAAGAAGAATTCAAATTGTTATTGTGATCGGTATCCAACATGTATTACGTATGTTAGGAGGGGCTGAAGGCAAAGGCTTAGATTGTAAGAGGGCTTTTAACAATAGTTATAATGTATATATAATCAAAGAGAGACAACAAGAAAAATAAATAATCTAGGTTTGAGTGATGAGAGATATCTCATACAATTATTAGATGGCTAATACTTTTCATAGAAAACCTAATCATCTTTAGCAAGTTCTTTTTTATTGTTCCTATTATCTTTCTGTTCTTTGACCTAATTTCTCTCATGTTCATCATTTGAAATCAGTGTCATATCAAATTGATATTATTTTTTTTTGTGTGGAGATTAATGGTGCCCAAATCAAAGGTGAGAAGTTAAAATGCACATAAAAGGAAATAGAGGAGATACAAAAAAAATTACAATGATTTTTGATGTTGGAGCAAAACATGAAGAGCCTAACTCAATTTTTAGTGAACATCCAATGACAAAAGATGAGGTGTGTGAAGAAATTCAAAGTAAACTTTTGGTACAAGGATATTTAGTTGAAGCTAGCGATAGATGTGAGAAAAAATCAAAAGATAGATGTACTCGAAATGAGAAAAAATTGAGGAAGATACAAAGAGAAGATATTCAACATAGTATACAATGGATGCTTTTAAATTAGTAGAAGTAATTGGCCTGATGGGTGATGGGGAGTTATAGATATTTAGCTGACATTTGACACTAATATTTAATTATGTCAACTAAAGTAACTAAAATTTTTAGTTATAATTAAAATTTTCAATTAATTAATTATTAGAGGTAGAATGATAATTAATTGTAAGCATCAGCTTCAAATATAAAGCTTTAATATGATTTATATGGGGTGAGATTAAGATATCTTTTACATCACGAAAAGAGTTGAAGAGTTAATTATTCAAGAAGTTGGGTCGTCACAAGAAGATAACCTCTATAAGAGATTTATGGACATTAAGCAACAAGACATAGTTATAGAAGTCAAACATAAGTTGAAACTAATTACAACATTAATAAAGTAAGTACTATGGAAGGTTTTTGAGAACAAATTAATGAGGGGATTGAAGGTTGTAATATGTGTAAAGGTCATAAATTTAAGGACCATTGATTTCCATATAACTTTAGAGATAATTTAACTTATTGAAGAGAAGAACTTGATGATTGAATTGATTTGGGAGGGCAAGGGATCAGACCATGTTAATTGACATGTATAAGAAGACCAAACTTCATAAATCAAATTTGAACAAAACTATGTACTACATCAAGGGATTGAGTCAACCTCTAATAACATCACTTAACAAAATATATACCCAAAGCTATGAGTCAACTCTTGAAAGTTATGAGTCACATGCAAGCATCCTTCTAACTATTGTGAATGACTAGTGTGCTACTTTAGTTAATAATCAAAATATTTAATAGTGGTTTGGCCCACCCAAAGCTCATGTCCACTTCCCAAGGTTGACTACTTTTGGGCTCTATTATTCCTCTTCCAAGAATACGTTATTCCAGATGTTGGTATTAATGCTCTAATAACCTTATTTTAGCAAAACCCCCTAGGGGTTGACTATTCAGCAGAACAATTCACAAGCTATATGTGTCCTAAATCATAGTACCCCCTGGAAGAAAGAAGTCAATGCTATTTTTTTCGCTGGAAGATCATCACAACCTTGTTTTTTGCTGCTGATGAGCCGGTTGATGATCTTTACTCATCCACCTTGTTTTTCACCGGAATGCTTTGTGCAGAGGAAGGCCTCTCTGTGCATGGATTTAAGGCCACTAGAATCTAGGCTTTTAGCAAGCTTTTCAACTTTGTTGCAAACATAGCACAAGTTAGTTAAGAAGCACACAAAGAAATCAATCATTTTTTATTTTTACCAATGTCTATGAGATTCATAGTTGATGTCAGCTTGAATGAAGGGACACAAGTAATCAAATCTTGAGGATTGGCTGATGTTGAATAATCTCAAATGTATGGTCTCTAGTTAAGCAAAGACGATGGAGGAGAATGAAGAGTTGAGCAGCATCTATTGATTTTTCAATATTTTTTGTTAACCATAATTTTGGCCAAGACGTCCTTATTTATACTCTTCATAGTGGGATGGGTCCCCCCTCAATGGCTTGATTTTATCTAGCCATATGTTATACTACAACAATTGCTAGACTTTATTACGCTGTGCCTAAAAATAACCATAAAAAATGTATTTTACAACTTGTAAAAAACTCATATTGAATCAAAACCAATGAATTTTGATCTTTCAATTTCTATGTTAGATTCCTCTTCAATTCAGCTTTCCAATGAAATAAAATATTGCCACTAAAATTTTGCCATATGAAGTAGAAATAGTCATAGGATTATAGCATTGACCAGTTTAGCCTTATTCAATTTAATAATGTAGAGATCATAAAAAACAAATCAATTGGTTCCCACCGGCCAAGTTTCTTTATATTTGTATCTCTTATTGATGTCTTTCCAATAATATAGTTAGCTCTCATGTTTATAAAATTATTTCCATACTTTTCCTCTTAGTAATACAATTTTTTTTTTCATAATCATTGTTATAAATGCTTAAACCCAATAGTTGACCAAGTTAAATATTGTATCAACCCATCAAATCATGGGTCAACACAAGTAAAAATTGTGTCAAATCAATTTAATTATAGTCCTCAGATATAGCTTAAAAACATACAAAAATGATAAAAATTTAGTAGAAAACCAATTATCCCTGGTCTTGATATACTTGCTAGCCTTTGAGGGAACCAACAAATCCAACTTAGATACATTGAGTTGGAAAATGTATGTATTTGATCATATTTTTAGAAAAATTTACTTGAGAAAATTGACTTTTGGTTCTAATTTGTGGAGAGTCCTGAAAAGTCAGATATTATTCTATGATCTATTTGTCCTACTTTTTGTATGGTTTAATAATCGGTCCGCTTGGGCAGGTCAACTGAATTAATGGGCGGACCAGTTTGGCTGAGTCGGCCCATTAAGAGATGTTTAGTAATGGGCCGATAACTTCGGGATCCATCCACCCTGGGCAGGCCGAATATTTAACGGGAGAGATAGAGAAAGAGAGAGAGAGAGAGAGAGAGGGGCTTTATAAATGGGCTGAGAATTTCGGGCTGGGGTTTGGCCCATTCCGACATTTAACACAAATCGTTGCTTTCAATTTTTTATTTCTTCTGCGCGTCGGCAGCAGCGGAGCCAGGTCGGAGCATCACCCCGTCCCTCTCGTTCCTCCGATCCACTCTCCGGGGTACTGAGCAGAGGAAGGCCCGCTTCCCCCCGAAGGCATCTCCGAGCTCAGCGGGAAGCGCAGAGTAAGGAGGGGACGTGCAGAGCTACGAGGACGTCCTCTGATGCCGCGGCTTCTCACTTCGCTCTCTCCACGTGGCCGCGAAGGTCGCCTCCTTCCCCTCTGCTCCAGTTGGCATCCCAGGCGGCGGACGGCAGATCCGGTGTCCACAGGCGTGATGGTGCCCCTGGTCGCAGTGGAGATCGTCTTCAGAGCCAACTGAGGCGAGGAAATTGGGTGAGGAGGAAGGTCAGAGAGGGAGGGAGGGCAGTGAGTGGGGAAGAGAGAAGGTAGATCTTGATCTCTCTTCTAGGAGGGAGATCATGGTGGCGGCGAGCCCGGGAACTCAGGCCACTTCCGCCACTGCCGCCGTCCGCGCGAGGAACCCCAAGAAACCGAGCGTCCGACACGAAGATCTCCCCAACCCCACCCGGTCGCCTCTCCTTCCCTCCGAGAAGGACAATGCCGGTTCCTACCGGCGGCCCCGGACGAAGGAAGTAACCTCAAGGTACCTCTCCTCCTACAGTTCTTCCTTCTCCTCTACCACCAGCACCTCAGCTTCATCCGCGGGGGCAACTGCCACCTCTGCTACATCTTCCTTGTCTTCATCTTCCACGGCGCTTTCCTCCCGGCGTTTCCCGTCTCCCCTTCTTACCTCTCGCCCCTCTCCCACTGCATCCACGGTGCTCCAACCGTCTACCGCCAAGCGCTCCCAATCCGTTGACCGGACTCGAGCTGCTGCTCCACGTCTGGATCCCAGCAGGTCCAACAATTGCGTAACCACGGAGATCTCCTCCGCAAGCAGACCCCTCCGGACAACGCGGAGCCTTTCTGTATCCTTCCAAGGGGAATCATTCGTCTTCCAGACTAGCAGGGTTAAGAATGATACCGCAGGCTCCACAAGGAAGCCCACCCCAGATCGTCGGAGGTATCCAGCTACTCCAATGAGAAATGGCATGACTGGTGGCGGGGAAGGCGGTGGCATTGGGCCTCAAACAGAGAATTCAAGGTCTGGGGACTACAACCGTTGGCCCGCAGCACACAGTAGCAATTCCAACCCACTGACAAAGAGCTTAGAATATTCTCTGAATAAGGGAGGATCTATTTTTGCAACTGAAAATTTTATGCGGCATTCTATTGCATTTGATGAGGCTAGACATGCATCATATGATGCTGGTGATCTGTCTGCATCTTCTGACACAGATAGTGTTTCCTCCGGGAGCAATTCAGGAGCTCATAATTCATCTGCTCCTGCATGTACCCCTTTCATCCCCCATGGCATTAGTGTGCCAGCAAGGTTTTGGCAGGACACAAACAGCAGGACCATCCTCTTGTCAGACTCAGGTTTGCCGCAATTAACACCTCTATCCAGGGCTACAGCCGCGCCAAGATTTATGCCCGTGAAGAAACCATTGATCGATGGCCCTGTTATATCTCCGAGGACAGTTTCATCTCCTATCAACGGTCCCACCAGGCATTCTTCCCCGGTGAAAGCTGTGTCATCTCCATCAAGGATGATGGCAAGTCCTTCACGAATGAGAAGCAATGATGTGCTTATGGGTCAGCCAGGCAATGCACCTTCCATTATAAACTTTGCTGCAGAGGTCCTCCGGAGAGGAAAGAGGGGTGAGAGCCGAATTGAAGAAGCACATTTATTAAGGTTACTTCATAACCGTCATCTGCAGTGGCGATATGTGAATGCAAGAGCAACTTCATCGCTGTCTGTACAGATCGTGGCTGCAGAGGTAGTTTAGTGTTTTATTATTCTCTTTGTTTTGCTGTCTTCTGTTGACATTCATTCTACCTTGCTGTTGCATTGTATTAGTTGTCATTTTTTTCCAACCCACAATTACCATTTATTTCTATGACTTTATTTTAGTATTTTAAATTGATCACGTCATTTATGTGAGCATCTGTCTGTTCTATGTACTCGAACAAGTTCCTTCCTGGAAATCTCCAGTGTTTTATCATTTATGTAGTGAGTCTGCTCCTGTGCTACTATAGGGAGGCGTGAGTGAATGTTCCATATGGTGGGGCATTGGTTCTGAGTAGGTGGCGGTAGCTTCATTTAAAAGTACACAAAAGACATTGCCATCCATGCTTTATCTAGAATCATAGTTTATCGATGATTTAAGGTATTGTATATGTAGACAATAGTCTCAAGTGGAATTTTTCCCTTGTTCCTATCTCTTTGGGTTCTATGAAGAACTATTTATGATTAATTGTCGAAAGGACTGTACATTTGTAGAAATGTTTTCCTCTTCATGATTGACTTTTGATTGATGGTACTAGTGTTATCAATCAATCCAAATTTATGTAATTCTTTTAAGAACTAATCTTAGAATACTAAATATATTGCAATGAAGATGATTGAATCCTCCTAGCAAAGCATGAAAACTTTACGTTCTGTGGAGCTTGCGTATTTCTGGAAGATAAATGGCATCTTTACTGTGAGAACTAAATGTTTTGCACTGATATATCTTTGGAACTCTTATGGATTATCTTCTGTGGATTCTCCTGTGTAATTGTTAAAACAGATTCCGAAACATTGTAGTCTCTATCATATCGTGTTCTGCTGATTTGGTTTAAAAAGATAAATAATTTTTCGACCAACTTATCTTGTTTGTGCCAGAAAAGTCTCCACAGTGCTTGGATAACTGCCACAGAAATGCGTGATTCTGTCATAATTAAAAAGATCACGCTGCATCTATTGAGACGAAATATGAAGCTAGGTTCTCTCCTGAAGGAGCAAGTAAGTCTCATGTCCTTCTTTGTTGTATAACCTTGTTATGTATGTAAATTCGGTATAGTTTCCTACAAATTGCGTTTTGGAACATGGTCTGTGGCAACTTCAATGTTCTCTTCTTATTCCTAGTTTTCTCTTGCTCAATATTTTTACAATTTATTATTCAAAATTATCCATAAGAAATGAAGAAGGATACTCGAGGATTATGCCATATTTTGATAGAACAAATGTTGAAACACGATTGATTTTTTTCTGCAGCAGTTGCATACGAGCCCTGTAATTACATTCATTGTCACTGAATTAAAGGGAAGAATTAGCCTGTTCATCACTATACATACAGTGCCAAAATGAAAATGTATTTCTTTGGTGGCATTTTCTTAAACAATCAGTGAGAGCAGTCTTAGCAGGACTACATTATTGTGTCTATAGTGCAGGTTATCATGAGTATTGGATAGCTTATCTAAAAAATTTGGCAGCCCATAATCTTCAGACTTAAAAAAGGTAACTACTGAAGCGTCTCATTTCCCTTGTTGTCAAAATCTGTCCTATGTGAGAGAGTATAGAAACTGTGTTCAAAATTTGAGTAACCTTTGACCATTTCCGGTTGACTTAGTTTACTCTATAAATGAAAGCAATATTATCAATTAAAGAAAAATCAGGCTCTAACATACTACTGATCTGATCCACATGAATCGGCTCAGTGCTCAAACCTCGCACCAGTGTGGTGATTAGTTGGGTTGGTTACCCTATGGCTTTATCAGTCTGGTTGGAGGTCAAATCACCTATGGATCTGCTGATGTGGTGCTCATTTTGTTCGAATTGCATGTGATTTACTCTGGTATTGCGAATTGTTGTGAGATCTCTCACCGTTTTAGTCAGAAAATATTTTAGGAGTTCAGGGGTATATAACCATCTGGTGCAGCCTCAGCATCGACCATTGAACACAATAATTAGAGTGAACAAAGAAAAGAGAGGAAGAATTAAAAAAGAGAAGGAGAATGACCCTGTAGACTGGGTGCAATGGTGGAAATGAGCAGAGTTGTGACCATTGTGACAGCCAGGGTAGGCTTCTTTCTTCTCTCTCCTTCCGTAGTTCTACCCAATGTAATACCCACCACAAAGGGTCCCACCACTGGCTAAACCAGGAAAATCTGTGTATTAAACCATCATTCTGGCCCGTGTGATTTGCACAAGTCGCGCTTATCTAATCTGTACCACCTTTGCTTTCAGGGTTTTTGAAACTAAATCTGTGACGAACACATGTTTTATGATTTCTAACATGACTGGTAGTTTCTCATTCTTTTGGCAATATTCTCTAGCAATATACCATTCAAGTCTTCAGAGTTGTGTGGGATTTTGGAGCAATTACTTTAGATGATCCATCTTCTTTGAACATAAGTTATCTTTTGGAAGCAGGAATTTCACTGGCCTAACACAACGTTTCTTCCTACTATGTACTAGCAGATTGCGATCTCATGCGCATCCTAGTAGAATAAATGGGTCTGCAAATATCATTATAACTAAGGGAAAATAACAACTTAAATTTATTTATAAATTTTAAGGGGGATTACCAAATTCTGTAGAAATTAGTACTGGAGGGGGCAGGAAATCTCTCTTCTTACTGCGACAATGTGGTACGTGACAACCCTGGACAATATTGAGCCATTCCTTATCTTTGGAAACATGTTGACCATCTCAGATCTTCTGTATGTTCCTCAATGCTTATGTAATCCTAGCTTTTTTTTTTGGAACGAACGAAAAACAGCATTTCTCGTTTGTTCTGTGACAACATTCTAATATACTAAAGAAAATTCTGTATTCCACACACGCGTGTTCTATTGGAAAATGTCAACCAGCTAGATGCATGGACCGAATTGAACAGCATGTTGGCATGTGTATCAAGTTGAATGCTTCCTTTCTACATCTGAAACTCTTTATTTGATATATTTAGATGACTTATCTGGAAGAGTGGTCTCTTATGGATCGAGAACATGGAAATTCTTTAAGTGGGGGCATCGAAGCATTGGAAGCTAGCATTCTCCGGCTTCCAGTTGTCAGTGGAGCTAGGGTTTGTGCATTCAAGCTTTCTTTGTCCTCCGTCAAAATTGACTTCACGCGCCATATCAATTCATTTACTGGCACTTCATAAATTTTCCCCTTCAAGCAGGCAAATATCCAAGATATCAAAGATGCTGTTGGTTCAGCTGTTGATGTGATGCAGGCAATTGGGTCTTCTGTTTACTCAGTGCTGTTAAAGGTGAGAGCTCCACTTTGGTTTCTATCAGAAGAATTCGTTATGTTGAGATGATCATTCCCTTCCAGGCTAACTGATGTATTACTGACTACTCTAAAAAAAATACAAGATAATATATATTACAGACATCCACATTTACAATTTTCCTAAAAGATGTGTTTTGTGAATAGTCTTCACGAACCAGGTATTTCTATTCTAACCAGGCACGCTGAGGATATAGAATTCAACTGCCTTGATCTTATTTGATATTATCTGATCTTTACAGACCTATTTGATGTTGGATTATTTAATCATTTTTTTTATTGAATCTCCACATTAGCAGTATCATTAAGGAAAGGTATATATATAGACATATCATCTCAATGCTAATATTAGAAGCCCATAGAAGCCTAGAATCACAGTCCCATGCCATTAGCTGTTATCCTCCCAAAAATGAATCAGATCTAGGCAGCACCCGTGGTCTACTGGACATACAACTGCCTTGATCATGGATGGTTTACGCCAGTTTGGGCACATTCATTTTACATCGCTAAAAGCAGCTGTGTAGGCTGGTCAATGGGCAGGCTCACCAGGTACCCTGGGTGGTGTGCCCAGCATTTTTGTTGCCTTGGGTCTAAGAATCAGGCCTGTAAATAGAAACAGGCCTTGGTCCACCTTTCTTTAATTGCTGGTGAAATCCTCTATTTGGGGGGGGGATTAGGGTTTCCTCCGATTCTCGGCAATCTGTTGAGACCCATCTCTCTGCATGGTTTCTTGTTCCATGGAAATCCATTTACATCATTTTTATTGCCAAATCAAGCATCAAAGGAGCTATTTATTTCCCATCTTTCAGGCAGAACAAACGAGGTCCCTGGTGTCCGAGCTCCTGAAACTAGCGGCTCAAGAAGGGGCTATGCTGGAAGAATCGAGGAGCCTCTTGTGCAACATGGCAGCAATTCATGTAAGTATATGTAGATCTCTTCAATCCTGCTTATGTAGATCTATTCCTTTCCCTGGTGACACTCTTCCAAGTTTGGGGATGTTCTGTAAGAACAGCCCTATGTCGGTCAACACAGAAGTAAACTATGAATATTCTGAGAGAGAAACAGTCCTCAATTGGGTGATATCCTAGGCAAGTTCTGACCTAACATCCGGTAATTTGTAAGATTAGCCCCCCTCCCATATTGGTTATGACAGAAGTCAACTCATAACCTGAGAGGAATTTCAATCCTCCCCAAAATCAGGATCTGATCATCCGATTCCGGCCCATAATTAGGCCAGATCAAAGATTAACTCATGCATTCATATAAGTCAAACCGGTCGATTCCTGCCCAATTCTAACCCATGAAGAACCCAAACCGTTGACTAACTACTTCGAAGCTTGGAGATAATCCATATGATTGGTCCCCCCATCTGGTTGCTACAGAAACAAAGTCAATTTGAGAGGAAGAACTCCAATCCTCCCAAAATCAATTAATAAACAGTATCTGATTTCAAGCCCTTGCCAGATCGTATATTGACTCCCTGCACTACTAAAAGTCAAATCGACAGATTCCTGTCTAGAATTACTACTATATATATATATATATATATATATACGTAAGTGCACTATGATCTTGATATGGATTATCAAAGGACCCAAAAGTGCAGAGATCCTCTAATGCGGGCTCTCTGAAAACAGGTGAAGCAGTGCAGCTTGCGGGCTCACCTCCAGCAGCTGAGACGCTACCCGGGCTGATGTGAATCCCCTCCCACTCTATCTCTTATGAATGGCTTCACTAACCACCGCCATGGCGGCAAAGGTGAGAGAGCTTGTCCAAAGGTGAAAGAGCTCGTCCAAAGGTGAGAGCTTCAGCTATGCTCCTTTCCTTAAAAAGGAAACATTTACTGTGCCTCATTTTCCTCTCCTGTGCATAGATTCTTACCATACGAGTGCCCCCCCCCCGCAACAACCCCTTCCTGGCTGATTTAGGGGGGGATGAATGTGTAAATATGGATGTGGATTTGGTATGCTTTCTTGTCCAGATTCATGGGTTGACTGAGGATCCCTGGATTTTTTGATCTTTTGGTCATGTTGACCCGCGAAGGCGGGCCGGAACTGTTTGTTGCCGGGCTTTTGTTCCGGGCCAAATTTCTTTATTCATTCGTTGAATGAATGAATGAATGAATGAATGAATGAATGGATGCTGTTTCCGGGCTTGAATATTAAAATCAAGCCCGATGGATGAATAGGTCCGTTGACTCTCCTACTTTGTCTGTGGTGAGAGGATGCCATTTCCGGTCCCGAGCTTAAGGTTCAGACCCCGGAATAGAAATTTGGCCCGTTGAATGAATTCCGTTTCTGGGGCTTGAGACTAAAAAAGTCAAGCCCCGGGTGCCCTGACATGTCAATGACCATTGACCTTCGTATCTGTCTGTGGTGTGATGGCATTTCGGGGCTTGGACCTTGAGTTCGGCCCAAACCCAGAAATGGGCCCATTGATATTCAAGTTCCCCCAATTGACAGACTTGCCTTCTAGTTTGGGCCTACAAGCCGAGGCCGGAAGTCCAGAGAGAGAGAGGGAGGGGGAGGCATGGATTCCTTTTCTTGATCTGAAAAGGGTCTTCCACTTTCCGCACCCACTGTGCGGTGGGCCCTCCGGCGTGGTTTGCGGAGTCGCCTGCTCCTTAGAGTAGAGATAGATAGAGAGAGAGAGAGAGAGAGAGAGAGAGAGAGAGAGAGAGAGGGGATGAAGAAATCACAGGGCTGGCAAGATGTAGATACATACCAACCTTAACTTACTTCCCAAGACAGCCGTAGAAGAGACGTCGGCTGTTGTTCTTGCAGCTGACGCTATTGCCTGTAGGCGATCGCCGCTTTGAAGCTCGCCGTCGTGGAAAGTTCTCCGGCGGTGTCTCGGCCATCCTCCGCCGCTGCATTTCTCTCGCCGCCGTGGAGGTCGCGCTCACCCCCACTTTCCCCAACCCCTCCGCGAAGCAGCGCTGCCGTGGAGGACCGTCTTGACCGCCGCCTCTTACAGGGGCCGCTCCGCTTCACATGCGAACACACATAAAGAAGGCGCCGCCGGAGACCTCGGCCAGGAAGACGGTGGCGCCACCGTGCGCCTCGGCGAGGGAAGCGGAGATGATTTCTCCCTGAAACTGCAGGCAACGTTTCCCGTCTTACTTGGGAAGGAGAGAGAAGGGGGGAGAGATAGAGAGAGAGAGACAGGCAGGTTGGCGGCGTTGGAAGGTAGTGAAGGTGGTGGTGGGGGGATGTGTTCTTGTGTTTATACGGGTGACCTCCATCAGCTGTCTGCCTGGCCGGGATGGGCCCGGGCCTACATTGTTGGCTCGTCACGTGCCCTACCCTTATATTATTGGGCCTGGGTGGCGCGGTTTGCTTAGTCACGTGTACTTTTCTATTTTGTTGGGCCTGGGTCACACGTTTCTATAAGGAAAAAATCCCGCCCACAAAGACGTGTCTCATGGCTTGGACAACCACGTGTCAGGCCCACCCAGCCTGTCTAGTAGGCTTTGGTACTATGTCCCTTGGCTCTTTCCGATTGGGCCTGGCCCACGTCTTTCACTACCATATAATATATATATATATATAAATCCATCAGTGAATGTCCATATAAAAAATAATTGTTTTTACTTATTTAAGGTAACGGGCGTGGCATTGGATGAGCAAGTCATCGCAAGGTCCGATCCCCAGCCGAGTGGGATCGGCGAATTGGATGGGGGGAGAGAAAATTATTGTAAATAATATCGCCACGCATTTTTAAAATCATTAATATTTTTTAATTTTGAAAAAAGATCTAAGTTACGAGCGGATGTCATTTTAGAGCGGCAGATGACGAAGCCATGGGCTGGATTAACGAGAACTCAATGTTATCTATTTGGGCCTAAATATCAAGTTTCTAAAGCAAATAAATTCGCCCCAAATCCTTATTGGGCCGTGGTCGAACCCCGATATCTCCGCCCCTTCCTTTCTTCCTTCCTTCCTTCCTTGAGAGAGAGAGAGAGAGAGAGAGAGAGAGAGAGAGGATCAGCAGAGCGATTCAGTAGTATATGGAGAGGGTGCGGTGATGGGGCAACGATGGGGTCCGAACCCCCCAGGACCACAGCCAGAGATCAATGTCTATGCTCAGCACCTGCCAGACAGGATCATACAATCGTCAGATTGCCCGGAAGAAATGCATTCTGACAGAGTTCTTGAGGATAACAATAATAACAATAATAAAAATAATAATAACAACCGTGGTCAGAGGAGTAGAATTTGACGGAAAGAATGAACCGCTGCACTCACTCCCCAAACAACTAAATAGAAACATGAGCCGCATGAGGATTTCTTTTCCTAAAATAGTAAAATTATAATTCTCTCCCATCGACTAAACCCGATGAGGGCCCAGACCTGACCCGGGAATAGCAAGGGATCCCCAATATATATATAAATAAATAAATAAATAAATAAATAAATAAATAAATAAAAATCGGTGTTAGACAGACCCATGAGTGAGGGGCCATCATTAAAATCAGACTAACCCCCCATCCCTCCCCAATATGAACAAAACCTGAGCAAAAGAAGGTCGACTCCTATTTATTTTCCTAAAATAGTTCATTATCTCTACTCCAGGAACCCAAAAAAGCACCAGATTTAACTCAGGATTGGCAAAAATAATCCCAGCTACGAGTATCAGGCCATTCAGTATTTTTGTCAGGGCCAGCATAGATGGAACCGGGAGACCTCAGAAGCTCAGATCATTATATATATAGTATGGTTAATCTCAGATCAGCTCATTCTAAGCTAAAAACCAGCCTGGTCTGGACGGCCCGATGGGCCAATAGTTTACAATCTGCCCATCGTCAATCCCACAAGAGCAAGGTTATTTTTTTGCAGATTGGACCCCACAAAAGAATCAATTAGAGTATTATTCTTTTTTTCGGAGAGATAATTCAAATATATATGGAAAGGATGGGATGCGGGAGGAGAATAAGAGGACCCAGATGTAATATTCACCTGTTTCCCGAACTGCAACTTCATCTGTTCCCTCATCAGTTCTACAGCGTGGATTGTGCAAGCCCGGAGCTCGACTTCCTCCTCGCTGCCAGAGAGGATTTCCTTCTGGGTGTCAATGGCATCCGACAACTTTGCAGAGTACATCAGCACACCGAGCTGCCTCAGTGCGGCTGGAACGATGTAGTCTGCAAATATAGTAATCGAGCTCACGTCATGGAAATGACCGTATCCTTGACCCTTGAAGGCGCCCCATAAATCTGCTGCGAATATCTGAGCTCTCTTGTATAGGAAGATCTGGCGACCCTTGTACAATGAATGATCTCGGAAACCTAACATTGAAAAAAAGGGCACAAAAAGGTTAATTTGCACTCTCCATGATAGATTTAAGGGTCGTGGCTATAAATGGAAAACAGGGAAATTTTAATCCAGATGACCGCATTCTTTTGTTCGATAATGATAAAAAATTATATTAACCATGAATCTGGCAGGAAATCTGGGTGTGGTGATGATTTATTATCTTAAGAGAAAATGCAAGGATAGAGCAGTCTCATTCTGTGAAATATGATTTTCCCATACAGAAGAAAGAACATGCAAATGATCGCTCAATCCAAATATTCAATCATTCCTAATAGAAACGAGTAATTCTTAATAAATTATATTCGAAACTCAGATCTCAGTTAGTATCATCTCCCATTCTATTACAAGGACAATGGGAAAGTAAGTTTGAAACTATCTGTAAAACGAAGGCAAGGAAAACGATAAAAATGATGATTTACCAACAGCAGTAGCAGATGAATTTCCAGAATCATCACTTACCGTCTAATAGAATTAATTCTTAAAGAAAAACGTTTTGAAATAAAAACGAAAGGTACCAGGGAAATTCTGTGCTATAAGTGAAACAAGAGTCATAGCAGATTTTCCACAGGCCTCCACAAGGTTAGCAGCTTTTCCTTCAAAACGTTTTTCCAAAACATTCCCAACCTGGAATATAAAATTACTTAAAAAATATGTCGAGAATGAGCAGTGAGATCCGAAAGAAGCACAGGAGGACGAAACGTGGTACCTCATGCAATAAGCGAACACGCTCCTCCTCTAAGGGAAGTGGCCGGGGCCACTTTAGTAAATCACGCAATTGAGAGCCTGAAAAGAAATTATCACTTTCCTTACTAACGAATAATAGTCATGAGCCAAACGCCAATCCAAATCAATTGCAAATTAGTTATTTTCATTGTCGAAAAAATTAAAAGAGAAAAGGAAAAAAAGGAGACGCTCCATTCCTAGACCACGTCATAGCATCAGAAGAACATATGGCAAGAATATACCGGTATACTTTTGAAGACGATCAGCATCAAGAGCGGAGCCATCATTCCACAAAGCATCCCTGAGGCCCAACGCCAAATGGTCATAGTTCAAGTCCTTGTCTGCTAGGAGAAAATACTTCTGGGTTGGTTATTTTAACCAAGACATACTGGGCCATAGAAAATTTAAACCAGAAAACGCCCACATAGAAAAACCATTTTAACTGATCCTTGATCTTCATCAAGCTAAATTAGGATGGCACAAGCAAATTCCTGGGTTAACACTTACACTGGGAAACTTGGCAAGAAAGCCAAAGCATCTTAGATATATCATAACCATGCTCCCTATTTTCAATCATTCCACACCTATCCCAACAGGTTGGCTGGCTGGAAAGATATCCAGTCCTAGAAAGACAAGTTAATTCATACCAACTTGATTGCAACTTCGACATACCTAGACTGACTGACTCAGCTCCGATACCAAATGTTGTGATAAGAAGTAAAACTCTGAAATAAATTAGAGTTTAAGAGATCCAAGAAATCTGAAAAAGAGACCTCGGATGCGAACTGTATACTTGCAGATGTGCAGAAGAACAAATCACACTTACAGGTATATCTAATATCACAATGTCAGCGGACTGATGCATTCTACATTCCTTAAATCGAAAATTTCTTCAAAGAAGTCAAACACTCAATATTGCAAGAACAGGCGACCAAGTCGTCTGGACCCATCGCACCTAAAGCCTGCTCGTCCAGGATGCCGCATCGGTGTCTTTTTGGAACATGACTGGCTATCTTTTTAATCTACACTATTCAACACGTTATAAATATTTTGCAGCTAGTTTATGCACCACAAGATGGGGAATGTTCCTCAGCACACATCTAATCTAGAATCCAATCTCTCACTGATGTCTCCCAGTGGATTCTCATAATTATTCCTTATGAAGTGGATGATGAGGAATGATGTCGCATGAATGCTGGTTTATCAAAGAGAAGTGTAGATTAACTGTTGAATCAAAGGTTTTTTAAAGTGGCACTGGAGACAAGGGCACGATGAGATAAGTACAAGCCAATAATTCCACAGACTGGGATACGCATGAGTTGCTTGGAGCAAAAGTCCAAAGGTTGATTTTTCAATGAGTTAAATGGTGCGTGAACGTAGCCTTAAAGTATATTTTTTGTCAAAACGCTAAACCATTTGAATAATCAATTAAGCACTATAAATCCCCAACACTAACACAAAAGATTTACGTTAAGAAAAGGTTTGCTGTATAACATTCCAATATATTCCCCTAAAAATATACCCAAATAGACAATATTATAAGAGATTAGTCAAGAAAGTCAAGGCAATTATTGATAGGCAACGTACCTGGCCAAAAGCAGAAGTTCAGCGCATCCAAAACAAACAAGTACTGAACAGTTAGCGGCCCATTATCAAAATAGTGAATCCCTTCAAAATCCCATTCAACTTTTGGAATTGAACCTTGAGTCTTATCGATCACTTTTGCGAGTGCTGAAAAGGTCGAAATGATGAAAAATATTTCTCCGTCAATATTGTCTAATTTTCTTTTTGCAAATGTGATATTCTGATCAGAATAATGTTCCAAACTGAAAAGGAGTATCATAAGTACATTAATTGCAAACGACGATAACGGAAGAAGATTTAGTAAACACACATTTGTAAAATTAAAATAAACGATCTGTAACTTCGAGAGCTCCACATGTCACAACAGAGAAAAGAGTAAGCTTCTTCTTTCACTGATTCAACGCAAGGTACGCCCGAATTCGACTTCCACGATTAAAAAAGAAACATAAACAAAAACAGGGTCACACCACCGTAGGCATCGAACCGCTTTCTATGGACTACGAAATGATCCTCACAGAATATGCTCGTATATATCAAAACTGGTTCCCAACGTTCGGACGCAAGAATGATGTCTAAAATTAGACGCTTCAAAAGTAGACGCCCGCCGTAAACATCAGCTGCAGGAAACCCGGCGACGTCTTATGTCCCCGTTCCCTAATCCATTACCATATTTCAATATACCCTCCACTCCACTCCACTCCACTCGTAGAAACGATTAATGACACTGTCGGCTATTCAGAGCAAATCTCGCATCATTCTAATTTTCTTCAGAATCAATATAAAAACCATAAATCCAAAAAAAACGTCAATACACGAAGAAAAAACCTAGATTCAAGCATTTTCGATCAAACAGAATATGACGACGAACCTGAAGAGTCGATGGAGACGTGAGAAGCGCGGCTTGCCACCCAGCGAGACGTGGCTCTCACCTCATCCATGACGTTTGAGAGCCTTCACGGCGGCTACTCTCTCTCCCTCCCCCACTGGAAGGAGTATCGTTCTTGTCTACCTCCGAGCGGGAAACCAGGAATCTTCTTCGGTTGTCCCTTCCAAGATGAAATGGGCCGAATCTTCGGGTCGGGCCCGAAGGATATCTACGAACGACATCTGTTTTTTTTTAAATTATCTATAAAAAATTGCACGCTTCCATTTATTCATCTTAAAATAAAAATATTTCAGATGTACCCAGGGGAACCACCAAGTCTTCGGAGTCGAACGTCACTGGGAAATCTACCCGAGAAAAATTGGGCTTCAACGGAGGTGGCTTTTAGAGAACCACCTTATAAATATGAAAATTATAATCAAGTATCCAAAAATTATGGTATTAGACTTATACTCGAAAAGATGTTGATTATACCGCCCAATTTTATAATTTGTAATCGACACAATTTATTCTCTAGGCTGAGCCCCCGCCTCGCTTTCGGACCCCAATTCTATCATTTTTAAGAAAAAACCTTTGATAAAAGTGTACTGTCCTAACGTCCCTCAAAATATTTTTATTTTACTTAGTCGAAACGGTCTTCTGATCTCGACCGGCCTGATAAAAAACCGGGTTCAAGAAGGGTGTATTTCATTACTTCTCTGCAGCTCACCCCGACTCGGGTTGGGGAAACTCCCACGATCACCTCCCTCCCAGATCTCTCCGGGCCTCCGGCATCTCCACGCGGCGGTCTCCGCCTTCGCTTCCTCTACCAGACCTTGGCGTCGGATTGTTCATCTCCAAGCCGGCTGTGGTACGGATGGTGGTTTGCAAATGCCGCAAGGTATTGTAAAGGCTCACTCCTTCCCCACCCGAATCGATCCGTATCTATTTTGGAGCTTCTCTGGCAGAGGAACGGGTGAATTGGTTATCATTTGAGGGATAATTCTTTGGAACGGTTTTTTATTTCAATCGGATCATGAAGAGAAGGGAAGAAAATCGAATCCCGAGCTCTCGAAATATTGGTCATCGTTGGTGAACGGAGGTGATAGTGACGAACGGATCCTTGCCGTTAGATGATAGAATGTTCTTTTAGGCTGCCAAAGGAAAGGGGCATGACATCTTAAAACACGCGCTCAGAGATTCCTGTGTGTAGGCTGGTAATTGGACAGAGACCGGTGTGTTATCGTAGCAAAGTCTGATTTCGATCAGGTTCTGGTATAGATAGAACCTGTATTTTCCAGTGTTACGCCTTAGATGACTGTCACAATGGTAAAATTACATAATGGGAAAGATTTCCTTTTCAGACCGGAAAAATTTGACCATTGAGCTTCTGGGCTAAAAAGTGGCTCCCATTAACTTTGATAATGATAATGGTTATTCCACTTAACGGAAAGAGTTTTGGACTACGAAATAACTTGGATCCTCATATATGATTTCTCATAGCTGTGTGTTATGTTTGGTTTAGGTTATATTGTAGAGATTTATTTATATTTTCTTCTTCTGATTTATTAGATGTCATATCATGTGCTCGATTTTTTTCGTTTTATTAACTAATTTGAAATTTCGGCTTTTAGGCGACCAAGCTTTACTGCTTTGTGCACAAGGTTCCAGTCTGCGGCGAATGCATTTGCTTTCAAGAACACAAATTATGTGTGGTACCTGCCGAAACCTACTTGCATTGAACGACTGTATTTAAATTATCTTTTTTGCGTTGATATCAGCTGCATCGGCTACATCTCTTGATAACTTTACGTGCTTCAAAACTATTTGTATTGGTGAATCTATTTACAAATCTCACAAAGATTCTTAAGTTCATTACTGTCAGTGTTGGTTTCTATGCATCAGTATTGTCTATGCTTACGTACTTCATTAAGTTCATGCGGAGAAAAAAATGAGATTTCTATGCTTAACCCATATTGTTCCTTGCAATTGTTATCATCCATTTAGTTTTATTGCCAGTGTTGGTTTCTAAAGTACTAGCTTGGACAAACTAGGACAATCTTTCGAGGACAATTTGTGACATTTTTTGGCTAAAATCCTCATGCTATGTAGCATTTTCTTAAACAATTTAAGGATGGGTTTTTTGGTTATATTTCCTCGGAGAGTTATTCACATTTTAAAACTCTCTAAGTGTTCTTATGCATGTAAGAAGCACTAAATATTGCATCTCGTACAGCATATACATCACTACCTGATGAGGTGGTAACAGAACATATGGTGATCCTTTAGATGTATTCAAATATGAAATGCTGTCTTTTCTTGTAAGAAGATTGTTTAAGGAGTGATATACTGACAGTCATTAAGATAAGACGTGATTGTGTCGTGAGTATCCCGAATGATAATTGGATATGCTACCTGGATTCATGGAGGAATAAACTATGTTGATTTGGTCCAACGTAAATAGATTGAATAAATGACTCAGATATTAAACATTAGAATCGTGAAATTAGTGTGAGTCTTCAAATCAGATTAACTTGTATGGCCGGAAGCCCAGCTCGTTTTTTGTCTGCATCAATGGGATGGTAGCTGCCAGTCCAGCAAAATGTGTTGGGTAATTGCAGCCAAGGATAGCTCAATGTCTATATTAATAGTACTACATTGTTTCGTTAAGTGTCTAGCTCGCTATTAAATGTGATGCTAGGTGAACCAATCGAAACCAAGTCAAGGAAAGGAAATATCAATCATCTGTCATGGACTCGATATAAGTTTCGTGATTATTATTGGCGTGTAGGATATCTTCTAGGTTAAGGCATGTATTTGTTTCAAGGAGAAGACGATTCCTGTGTGAACAGGTAAAAAACTTTGGCCTCATGCACTTGGCCTTGACACTAGTCATTCCCCATCAGATAGACCTAAAGGTTCATTTTCATTTATCCTCGTTTTTTACATTTTAGAGTCCGTATAAAATTAAAGAAATAAATAAGGAAAAGTAAGACTAACATAAAATCGTGTCCGTGGTTAATGATCGTTATTGTCTTAAAATTCATGCCCTAATCGTTCTGTTTTACCTGCGTTGTCTACTTTTAAGTCACATTTTTCTGGAAGACACTTGAATCTTCCGGCTGAATTTGGGAATCTTATGATGCAAGCATTCATCATGTGAAATTATTACAGTCAGCATTAATAGGTGATCTCCTTTGGACTGCTATTCTTAATGGCATTTTTCTTTGATTTCCCTTCAAACCGCTTTAGGTCCGGACCTACTCTGAATGGGTAATTGATGGAGAGTATGATTGGCCTCCCACATGCTCCATGTGTCATGATGATCTGGAAGCCGAAAAAGATCCTCAAACTACTCGACTGGGTTGTTTGCGTACGTTTTTTATTCATATATGATTCCATATTGTTGTTGGACATGGACGATTTGTGTTTCAAGAATCTCAATACTCTTTCTTATTTCAGATGTCATCCATACAAAATGCCTGGTGTCTCATATTCAAACATTCCCACCTCAGACTGCACCCGCTGAATATATTTGCCCTGAATGCTCTTCTCCTGTAAGTGCGATATTTGGAAGTTTAACATTTGATGTTTCCTTTTCATACAGTCTTTTTACAAAACATGCTCGACTGGTATCCATACTGTGCTTCACTGGAGCCTTTTTCATGTGGAGGTTTTTTTTTTTAAAATACATCAGCTTAAATCAAACTATGAAAAAAGAAATCTGGCTCCATCAGTATTATGGATATTCTGCAATATACAATATTGTTAAGCGGATATATTCTACATCCCATAGCATATTTTGTTTATAAAAAGGAACCTGAAATCTCACAACTGATACCTAGTAACGATTATTTTGAGCGAGAGCTAAATTTTCTGCGAATTCCACCGAGAAAAACTCTACTTTGATAAAGTCCTTAAAACTTCTATCTGGCATCTGTTGTGGCTAGGATGAGATGAAGGACCCCGAAACCACCAGGGCGATTTAGGGAAGAAGAGCGTAGGATTTACAAAGGCCCTCACAATACCCCTGTAGGTGCCTATGTCATGGAGAAAATTTAAAATATCACCTCAAAATTTTCCCTGCATTGAGTAAGAATAGGAAAGTATCACTAGTAGGCTCATAGAGGTCCATTTGAATTTAAAGGCAGAATAACTTCCTTGATGGACCTGGAACAGTCCCTCCATGTCACGTTAGAGGAGAAGCACGAATATTATGGCACAATCCGTGGAAATGCCATGTTAGGGAGTTGTCTGAAGGAAAAGTAAGATAGCAGGAGCAGCTGGACAGCTAAACGGGCTAAATCTGTATGGTGTCCTTTACTGATGAAAAGGATTTAAATGGTTCCCTTTTTACCTTAAAGAAGCTTCAACAAGGGATGTATAAACTTCTTTGTGGTGGGAGTGCATAGGAAAGGGTACTAGCGCAGTGATTCCACCATCCTTCTTTTGATGCTTGTTCTTTAGCCTTTGTGCTGTAGAGTGACCATAACCTTCTTTGTGCTTGTTCTTATTAACACTAGTGGATTTTTTTTTAGGATAATATAAGAGAAACCGATCTCTGTATTTCGAGGAATGAGTGGAAAAGGGACTCCAATGACTTTTTATAATAATTTGGTAAATGTCAGAGGGGATTGCATTCAAATGCATTAGTTCTCCGATATATGACGTTTTGATTCTCTTGTTACGTCAGTCTCTAAAAGATTGTTGCTTATTCCACCCGCCCAATTGTATCCATATTTTTCCTGCAGAAGGCTTTTTTGGTAATTTTACCACTCTAATGTCATTTCATCTGTTCAAACTCTAATGTCGTTTCATCTGACTGGTTAAAATTGATAAGAACTAGACATTTTAAGAAAGAAAGTAGCCTGATGTCTTGTGGTCTTGTCATGAATTGGTGCGTGTGCGTGGGATCCCGTTTTTGATATTTTAAGTATTTCATTTCTGTATTTTCTGGCTCACTTTTAATGAATTTTGGCTTTCAACAGATATGGCCACCTAAAAATTTCAAAGACACCCAATCCCTCCTCCACACGAAACTGAAGGAAGCAATAATTCAGGTAATTTATCAATCCATATTTATTTTTCACATTTTTTTAAACATGGTGAGAGACTCATTCGATATTTTATTTTCCCTTATTTTTTTTGTCTGCAAGGAACGTGAAAAACACTGATATTAGTATAATGCCAATACCAGAGTTTAGAAGGGTGCCCAAGGTGGTATGATCAAGAGTACCGCATATATATCTAAGTTACGAATATTATAAGATCACTGATCTTTCAAAGAAATAAAACCCACCATGCAACTTCTAAATAGTCTCAAGAACATAGTGTAGACTATGGTAAGGCTTTAATACCCTGAATATCAAAGAATAAGCTCCCTTTTATTATTAGGCAACTCTGGTTTGATCCAAAGGTAGGATGAGCCGCCAAATTTTTTGATCTTCTTTAAGTATCCATTGTCGATCTCAGCTACTCCACGACTCCTCCAATGTTTCAGGAATACTCTCCTGAATTTCTAGGCTGTTTAGAAGCCTATGTCAAATATCCAGCGAAAGCAAGCACCCAATAAATAGGAGAAAGACTATGGGGCAGAGACAAAAAGCGTAATCAGAAAGGGAGAAAACATCTGAAAACAAAACTGTTCAGCTACGATAAGAAGGATAGGAGGGGAGCTATTTCCCTGGAAAGAATAATTATGTCAATGACAGAAATGTCCCCTTTGACTTTTGTCACAATTCTTTCATTCAAGATTTCCTGGATCCTGACAATGGCGACAAAAGCATGGTCCAGACTTTGTGGGTGATTCTCTAAATGGATGTCTAGCATCTCAAAATCTCTATGCGATGGTCAAACTTCCTTTTCAGGCTTTTTTATTGCCTATTTTGTGTGTAGTAAATAATTTTTCGTTCTTACTGCGTTTCAACTACAGAGTGGCTTGGAGAAAAATATATTTGGAAATCATCTGGTCACATTGCCCTCTGCTGAATCCCGTTCCCCTCCTCCAGCATTCGCATCAGACCCACTCATGCGTGTGTCCGCCTCTGAGGAACTGGAGAAAAATGGTGAGAACTTCTTTGATCCTACAGCCCAAAACATCGAACTGAAGCACACACCCTTCCATAATTGGTATAGGCCCGTCCAAACTCTCAGAGCCAGGCATTGTGGAGATTGAAGGCCCAGATCCTCTGGGAAACCAGTTCGCACGAGATCACCAGCCTAATTTCATCAAGCCCGCCAGTCCCGTTGTAAGTGGTATCCTAAAGCTTATTAACCTTCCCTAATCATTACTGGTGATGTTTGAACGTTGAAGGCTGTTCTCTTTCATGACAGAAATAGAAATATATATATATCTATATATATATATATAGATGTTTATGTATAGCTTTAGTTTTTTCTTATTATTTCTGGCATTCAATGCTGCAGCCTGGTGCCACCACAAGAAAAGGTTCTTATCATGCGGACAGACAGAGCTCTGAAATTTCATACTATGCCGATGATGAAGATGGAAACCAGAAGAAGTACAGTCGAAGAGGTGAGTTTATATTCCTATCAACCCTGATCATATGAAATGTTACGGCTAGATATTTCTGAACTTGCTATTTATCTGAGAAAATGGTGGTCGGTGTACTCCGGTGATTATATGATTGCTTGATCGATCTAGTTGGTCATTAGAAACCTTAGTACATATTTGTTTGGGTAACCTTTCATTTTTTTTTTCCCATCACCAAGCTTCATTTACATGTGAGTCACTGATGGTGCCTGCTTTTGTGTTCATATATTTCCATTGACTTCCATTTTCTAATTTGGGTAAAATATCGTCATTCTGGGATTCAACCGAAGTTATCTGAAACACAGCGAGAGAGAGAGAGAGAGAGAGAGATGGACAAGGGGGTGTTGACTGCTTACTCTTTTACACAGGGCAACTCACCCTCTTTTGACTCTTCCAATTATATATATATATATATATATTAAAAAAGAAGGAAATACATGACTTAAATTAGCATCTCTTGTGGATATTTTTCTCTCGGTTATGCATCAAAGTGGAATCTGACTGCTCCGGTGTCTCAATCAGGTCCCATTCGCCACAAGTTCTTGAGGCTGTTGCTACCTTTCTGGTCAAACGCCCTCCCAACTCTTCCGGTGACTGCACCGCCACGTAAAGATGGGCCTACCGCTGCCGACGACCTTCCCGAGGGGAGGTCACGGCATCAGAGGTCCTCGAGGATGGACCCCAGGAAGATCCTGTTGACCATCGCCATCATGTTTGCTCTCGCCGCAACCCCTCATTTTATCTCCTGTTGATCTAGATTTTTAAATTAGATTGCCAATCAACCCTCTGTTTTTTTCCATTTTTAGATTGGATTATTAGATTAAATTGACCATTTTTAGCATTTTTTGCCATTTTTCAACCCTCTGATTTTTCCAACTTTGGCAATGTCCGATGTTGGTCATCGTCGTCATCATCCACCAGCCCAAACTGGGTGGGGGAGCAAACATCCCCAATACTCGGATCTTGATTCCTCTGATTTTTCCTTTTTTCTGTTTTTAGAACCTTTTTCAACGGTCATTTCACAGCCTCACCTGGTGGGGGTGTTTCTGGCTTCCTCCTCAGGGCGTGCATGGCGACCATGGGGATTCTCTACTACAGACTGGCCCAGAGCGCTCTCGGCGGAGATCTCCCCATAGACGAGCCCCAGTGAGTAAGTTCCGGTTCTTCTACTGTTCCTCTCGTTCACAGCCATTAGCCCCCGCCCATCATTAAAAGCTTTCCTTTTATAGCTCATTGTTCATCAGCTGTTCTCCGTTTTCTCTCTCTAAGTTTCCTTTCTTCCCCCAGAAATTTCTCGAATATTTTGTGGCGGGCAGATTTTGTTTTTTTTCCTCTCCTTTATTGTGTATTTAGGTTTTCTGGTCGGTAATAGTCACAGCCCGAATTCCTTGAGGAGTCTACAGTTCATGAATGTTATGAAAGTATTCACTTGGCTCTCTCTCTCTCTCTCTCTCTCTCTCTCTTTACCCTTCTCTCCTTCTCCCTCTCTCCCTCTCTCTCTCTCTCGCTCTCTTTACCCTTCTCTCTTTCTCTCTTTCTCTCTCTCCCTCCACCCTTCTCTCCTCTCTCTCCCTCTCTCTCTCTACCCTTCTATCTTTCTCTATCTCTCCCTCTCTATCTCTCTCTCTATCCTTCTCTCCTGTATCTCTGTCTCTCTCCCTCTCTCCCTCTCCCCCTCTCCTTCTCTCTCCCTCTCTCTCTCTCTCTCTCTCTCTCTCTCAGACGTCGGGTAGATGTTCAAATCGATAAAACGGATGAAATTGAGTGATAAAATATGAGGCCATCGAATGGACGGCGGGGATTTTCATGAGCGAGTTAGATAAACGGTTTCAATTTTCGCGTATAACCTCCAAAAAGGGAAAGATTAAGGGGGCTAAATTTAATCCTTTAAAAAGTACTAAGGACGGAATTTAGATTGCCGTACGTTTCGAGATGTACGATGATTGAATGCGCGTAGCAAATCGATAGTTGGACAAAAACGGGTTTGGTAAAATATGGACGGCAAGGATTTTCAGGAGTGAGTCAGCTGAACGATTTTTCCTTTAAAAAAATTAAGGCCGAGATCTGCATTATCGTACGTTTGAGATCTACGGACAGGATTTTTAAACGCATTATTGACGGCATATGATGATAGACCCCGTGACACTGGATCACCGAATGCACGGTGGATGATGACGATCTCGTCTTCCCTTTCACGATCATCCATCTTTCAATGAGCGGGAGGAGCCACAGGCTTTTAAATTCAGATCCCCAGATTGTTTTCCCGCCTTTGGGAAGGGATCCACAGAAGGACCGAACAGAGCGACGGCAAGCGGTAGGCTCCCAGAATGGAGAAGAGGCTTCGATCATCTCTACGATCTTCAGCCGAGGAATTTCTAGCGGCCGCTGCCTCTGAATCGGAATCGAAGCAAGTCAAATCGGCCCTCAAAGCTTTGATCTGCAGTATCACCCCTTCCTCCGATCTCTGTACTTCCCTCCCTGCGGCCCTCCACCTCGCCCTCTCCAGGAGCCTCGATTGCTTCAGGAACTCCCTCCAATCGCAGGCCAGAGACGATGGAGACCGCTCCTCGCGTTCGCCGCCAGTCAAGCGGGTACGCCGGTGGGAGGAGAGTTCGCCTTCCCCGAGCAATGATGGTGCGGAGGAACTGCCTGTTAGCCAGGCCGAGACACTAGCTCGACTGAGGGACATTCGGAGGTATGCTTGCATCGCTCATATTTGCGTTTCACATCCGAGGAAGAGCTTTAGTCCACCCGATTTCCTGCCTTGCGTACGGTCTCTGCACGACTGCCTCATCCTCTTTGAGACGGACGACGAGCTCCTGTTGGAGGTTGCGAGCCTGTGCGAGAAGTGGTGGAAAGAGAAGCTCCCGGAGAGGGAAGCTTTGATTTCTCAGTCCCTGCCATTTCTGCTTTCGAGGTCCCTGACAATGAACAAGAAGACGTATGTACACCGGGTTTACGCAATGAGAGATGCCTTTCTGTTGTTTGATTTCCACGATGAAAGCATCGAGGACCTGAAGTTGCTCCTCCTTCGGTGTGTGATCACGCCTCTGTACCTTAAAACTGACGAGGGTAGGCGATTTATTGCCTTTATGCTGACATTGAATGGCAAGCTATTGAAAGAGGCTCTTGCGTTGATCAAGTCCCAGATTCCATTCGGAAGAAAAACAGTTCTGGAGGCATATGCTGATATTTTGTTTAGGTTTTGGAAGCATTCAGAAGACTCTTTCCGAACGGAAACTGAGGACGGGTTCCTTCAATCGCTTATTGAGGGAGCAATCTATGCAAGCTCAAGGTCGCTTGCAAACTCCATTCGAAGAATATTGAGAGGGTTCATTGACAACAGGGCAACGGATGGCGTAGATAAGCTGCTGTTTAGACTTGCTGAGCCAGTTTTATTCCGGTCCCTGCAGGTAATTCATTGTCCAATCTGACCAGAGGCTCGTGTAATTTGAAGTTGTATCATAGTTTGCCAAGAAGTAATGTCTCCTCTTTTAAGTTGACCGAGCAGTGATCTCGTCTTTTAAATCAAGTAATATAGTGTCAGTTCATACTGTGTTTACAGAAGTCATGCATTTATTCTACGTAAATATCGCACTATGAAGAGTATTCAACTAAAATCAATCATATTTAGGCCAGCGCTTGCAAAATTGGAGGTTTCTAGTGAACACCTACCTTCACGCGCAAGTTTAAAATGACAGTAAATAAATGGATAAAATATTGTTGTTTGTCAGGTAACAGTATTTTATGCTGTAATACCTTTTTTCTAGTTTTATGGAGAGAAAAGCATTATAATTTCCGACCGGATTACCACATTAAGAAGGAAAAAGCAGATTACCACATTAATGTTTGTCAGATAAACTTATCATGATTCCTATCCCTTCAAACTGACAATCTTTAATCTGGTTAGAAGGCCATCATGAAAATATATTATCAAAACATATTTTAGTTGTTTTTGGGTGTAGTGATCCATCTAATTGCTTCTCTCCAAACGTCTACCCTTTGATGAACTATGGCATTGAAGAATTATGCCAAAATTGTGCATTGGAAATGATAATGTGCATCCCTACATCCACCAGTTCAACCTTATGCACAATTTTTCATTTTATTTATTTATTCAACTATTTTGGATGGCAAAAGAGTCTAATTATGAAGAGGGATCCTTAAGTTGCCTGCACCATTCTCTCCCCACTATGAGCTATTGAATCGGAGGCTTGCTTCTGAATGTCAGTTCCTTTAGCTGAACATCACTCCATATAATCCGTTTCTCTGACAACTTCAGAGAAACGGATTATATAATTTTATGATTTACTGATGGTTGTAAGTTTTTACTACGACTTTCGTGTACTGATTAGTAGTTAACTGTTTCTATTTACTGACGGTAAGCTTTTAGAACTACTCCATTTCCGAGTATGCATCCTGTAACAACTCTCCCGCAACCTGAAGAATGAAAGCTTTACTATGCAGTGGTCCATGAACACTATTATCATATTAATAATGAGTACCGAACATCGATTTAATTGTTTCAGGTTGCAAATTCAAATGTCCGTCAGAATGCACTGCACTTGCTTATCGATATGTTCCCCCTTGAAAACCCTGATGTTACCAGGGAGGCTAAGAACGAATTGCTCGAGAAGCAGTTTTTTTTATTGGAAAGGTTGCTAGCAGACGATTCACCAGATATTCGATCTGTCGCAGTGGAAGGCTGTTGTCGTGTGCTTTATCTGTTTTGGGAAGTTATTCCATCTTCCACAATAACCAAGATGCTAACAAAGATCATCGATGATATTTCACATGATGCATCCAATGATGTTAAACTATCAACCTTGAAAGGCATCGCATATTTACTCGGAAACCCACAAGCTTCTGAAGTTCTTAAAGTTCTACTTCCAAGACTTGGATTCATGTTTCTGGATCCCTTTCTTTCTGTTCGCATGCACGTTTGTGATCTCCTTCTGGCAGCTAAAACTATTCGGAGTTTCCAGTTCAATAAGGTATGCACGTATTACTATTTCTTGTTTCCATTTTTGGAATGCATTTTCTTCTCTGACCCACCCACAATTTGTTTGTCCCAGGTAGTGGATCTTGATATTTTGTTATCTTCATTGGCCAATGATCATCCCATTGTTGCCCAGAAAATAGTATCGCTGCTAATGCCCTCTTATTTTCCGTCAAAAGTAACGACGAAGGAAGCCTGCAATCGTTTCATTGCTCTGGTAAAAAGGTCTCCTGCTGCCGGGGCGAGATTCTGCGAGTTCGCCCGGCTGGAGGGCTCATCTTCAAAGTCCCTCATAGAACTCGTCAAAGCATGCTTCAACCTGGCCACTTCTTCCTCCGAGGATCTGACTCCTGGTCAGATTGACGGCCTGTTCACGGCGTCTTCCAACCTTTGCCGCGATTTGTCAAGCGACGCAGCCTGTAAGGCGACCCTCTGCAAGTTTTTCTCGAAGGAAACGTTGAAGTCTCTGCTATCCACCATTTCATCCGTCCGAGCTCAGAATTCCATCTTAAGTATTGCGTCCTTCGTTTACCCTGACGGCCTCGTTGACTTTCATGACAACTGCATGCGGCTGATCAAGAACTGTTCTTCCCTAACTGGGAAGGTGGAGATGCAAGCTGAGATACGGAGGGTTCATAGGCTTATGGTCTCTAATGGTCGGTCTAATGATCTCTTTGGGGCTCTGGCAGACATCCTTCGAATGGCCGCTTCCAGGATCTCTGAAAAGCTGGAGCTGCCGTCGGGGAGGAAGAAGAAGAAGAAGAAGATAGAAAAAACGAGGAAAAAGACGACCTCGAAGAACTCGGATCTTCCTCTCTTGGCTGGTTCTGAAGACTGCGCCGTCGCTGCGGCAGCAGCTTGGCAAGTGAAGGATCTCCTCGCAGAGACTGAGACTCGGACGGCCATGTTGACTTCTCCATTCTTGGAATCGGTTTCCTCGTCGCTGGGCACGATTTCTCGGGTCTTTATAGAAAAGTCAGCGAGCTGGGAGCAAGTGGATTTGTTGCCTGTTCTCGCCTACACCACTCTTTCCTTGTACAGGTCTCTTCAGGACGTTGACTTGACTAAAGTGGTAGATCCTCCTACCGACAGCTCTGGCGAGCCGCGTTCTTCTGGTTCATTGCGGGAGGTGAGATTCCATGGCCTTTTGACTTCTCTTTCAAACAGTGAACACATCCGCTTAGCTTTTCCTGTGGTCGGATGCTATCTTTAGTAAGCTTGCTCTCCTTACAAGAACTGTTTTCCAAATTTAGAGGCGGAAATGTATCTACTGCGTTGAATTATCGGGCGCAATGCTTCTTGTTCCTGATGAATTCTCTTTTTTCAATTCAATTAAATTCTGCATTGAAATAATGTTGTATCGATTGGCTCCAGGGTTTGACTTTGGAGGAGACGCTGGAGGGCCTGCTGGATTCTGCGGAGACACTCTTCCATGGAGCCGATTCGAATCGGAAAGGGGCCGAGGGGTCAGCCCCGTTGACCAGGTCCCGGAGGAGACAAACTCTGAACGCTTCCTCCACCCCAACAGTTCCAGGTAAATAAACGCGCCCCTTCCCATCTCGCTCTCTCTCTCTCTCTCTCTCTCTCTCTCTAAAAATCTAATTTTTTTTTCATCTCTAATATCTTAGGCACCGATCCAGAAGACAACCCCCCCGGAGAGGTGGAGGAGAAGACGATCTCCGGCGTGGTGCGCGTCTCCACCGCGCTCCTCAAGTTCATAGCCGACGCCGCCACCCTCCGCCTGATCCCCCCCTCCCATCCCCGCTGGCCGCTCTTCGCCTCCACCTTCCTCCGCCACCTCACCTCCACCTCCCACAATGCCGCCGCCCTCTTCCCCTTCGCCAAGAGCTCCTTCACCTACGCCGCCAAGCTCCTCCATGTCCTCCTCTCCGCCGCCGCCGCCGACCAGCCCCTCCATCAGGTACCACTCCTCCCTTACTCTTCCTCCCTCGCCCACGACCTCCTCGACCTCGCCGCTGCCGCCTCCCTCCGCCTCTCCACGGCGCGTCCATGGCTCCCCGACCTCCTCCTCGCCCTCGCCTCCCCCCGACTCGCCGCCGACTCGCCGCCACCGACTCAGCCCACCCATCTCCCGCTCTGGCTCCGATCCCTCGGCGCGGCGGAGCTCCGCCAGTTCGCCGGCGATGGCGACGGTGGCGGAGGCGCTCCTCCGGCGATCGTGGGGCTCCTCCGAGCGGCGGCGGCCCTGCTGAGGAAGGGGAACCCGAAGGTGCTGGCTGCCGTTGGGGCGGTGCTGGTGGAGGCTATGGAGGTGGGATTGCGGGCGGGGGACTTCGACTTGGTTCTCGGCCTCGTGAGATTCTTGAGTTTGGAGGTTGCGGAGGCGGAGGGGGCCCCACCGTGCGGGTTTTTGAACGAGGCCCACAAGTTGGTGGGCCAGGCTCTGGCTGACGCGGAGGAAGGGGAAGAGCAGGGGAGGCGGAGGCTGGAGGCTGCTGAGGAGCTCCTCAGGTCTCTCTGCGGGGGCGTCCCGTCTCACTTTCCTGTTTAGAGGGAGAGAGTGAGATAGGTGGTAAATTTTCTCGACCCAGCCCGAGGAGAGGATGCAAGGGTTGGGCTCCCTGTTCCCAAGCTTTCCTCCTCTCTCTCTCTTACGCCTCTAATCTGCCGACTTAGGGAGAGTTTTCGATCGGGCTAATGAAAAATAAGAAAATATAATTCGGTGAAATGGAAATGATTTCGTTTAATCGATGAGTACGAAAAATAGTCCTTTTTTAAAAATAGAAATTGTGCCACTTTTTAATCTGGTTTTATCAGAATTTCTGTTTGATTTTTAATGTATTATAAGTGGTTTTAATCCGGGGTCGCTTCGCCTGCCTTGCATTAGTGTTGACTCTGTGGGGCCCGCACTGCCACGTCACTTCCGCTGGCGCCCGATGGGTGCCATGATCCAGTTGTCCCGTGGCCCCATTGGAAGTTGCGGCCTCGCCAATAGATGGGGCCCACGTGAAGGATAGATCCGTCAGCTCTTGGTCCTCACCAGTGGGGGTCCAGATGCGCCTTCTTTTGTGTCCTTATTAGAAAGTCACTGGACGGTTCGATCGTGCCGTTTGCACTCCCTCCATTATCATCTTGCGATGGGCGCAGGTGGGAGAGGTCAACGACGGGGCTGGCTCTAAACGAGGCAGATGTGGTCAGAGGGTCGCATTTTACTATTTCCTGATAATTTTATCTTTCCAATGGCTTTCAGTTATAACTCCACAGGAGGGGGGGTTCCCAGATAGACTGACTCGACACCCAGCCCGTACGTCGATAAGCCCCTGCCCGTGTCTCTCGCTCGTAATGGGCCGGCCCAATATGTGGGAGTCCATTTTGTCTTGCGTCGTGGTAATCCAGTTGTCATCTCTCTCTCTCTCTCTCTCTCTCTCTCTCTCTCTCTCTCTCTCTCTCTCTCTCTGTGTTTGTGTGTAAAGTAATGAGTGGTGCTCAGTACTGCGTGGTAGAAACCCGGCAGATGGTTTTAGAGAAGAATCGTAAAAGACCACCGGTCGGGTTCATGTCGTCTGTCCACTCACGGAGAAGGCCACTTGACAAAGACAGCGGCCGCGTTCGATGTCGGCACCAACCGTCCCCCCCTCCGGGCCACACGTATACATTTATATATATATATATATATATATGTCTCATGTATTTCACCTTTGTAAACTATACCATTCGCTGTCAGGGTTTCTTCTCCCTCCGTTGATTGGCGGCAAACCCGAAGAAACTTAGGAAACAGCTCCTCCCGAAGAGGATGGCAGGGGAGAATTAGCCCGTGGAGCGAGAATCGGAGCAGCAGAATATGGGAGATGTTAGAGAGAGGGAGATATCAGGTTGACCTATGATACCATACTAATGACGATTTCATCGTCGTCTCTCACTCTATTTACATTCCTGCCCTCCTTACCCACCGCGCGACACATGGCTGAGAGAGGACTTACGGGTTCACCGCCACGTCGGACCATGCTGCGCGGGGAGCCGCTTGATCGACCTAATCCGGTCCATCAGCCGCCGTCCATCGGCTGTTTCCCGCTCTCGCCAGCCGCAGCAGCCCGATCAACGCCTCCGCCTGAGATTTTTTTGTTGTAAAAAAAAGGTCATTTTCTACCCCCCAATTTTCTCATCCATCCTAGAAGCACCAGGAGAATAAATCCAATACAAATAAATAAATAAATAACAATATATAACCCTATTAAAAAATTTAAAAATAAATGAAAATATTTATAAAAAATAAATGAAGGAAAAATTACATTAAAATGAGTCATTAAATATAAATAAAATGAAATAAATGCCGAGCCACGAACTAATTTCACTATTCGACGATGATTGGTACTACCTTCTTCCTGGCCTTGGTAGTACCGGCCTGCGAGAGGGCGATGAGGGGAGGGATGGCGCCCTCGCGGGCGACCATGCTACGGTAGGCAACGCTCTCCTCGCAGATCTGCAGGAGTACGGAGGCGGCCATCTCCTTCTGCTTCTCCAGTCCCACCTCGACGATCTCCACAAGCACGGGGATGCCTCCCTCGGCCACGACGGCGGCCCTGGCCTCGCCAGAGACCACCAGGATGTTCATGACGAAGGCGGCCTTGTCCACCATGCCGGAGTCGGGATCGGCCATTAGCTCGAGGAGAGGCTTCATGATCCCGGCCTGCACAGCGCGGACCTCGTTCTCCCTCGCGGAGCAGAGCGTGTAGAGGGTGGCTAATGCGTCCTTCTTCCCGCGGAGTGTTCCCGTCTCCAGAAGGTTCACCAGGAGCGGGATGGCGCCCGACCGTCCAATGGCGACCTTGTGGTCCTCGATATGGCTGAGGCGGAGGAGAGCGAAGGCGGCGTTCTCTTTGGCCGCCGCGGTGCCAAACTTGAGCGCGCGGACGAGCGGCTTGATGGCGCCGGCGGCGGCGATGGCGTCTCTGTTCTCGTCGCGCAGCGACAGGTTCAGGATGGCCGTGACGCTGTGCTCCTGGATTTGAGGATCCGTGGAGGACATCAGGGACACGAGCGGCCTCACCGCTCCCTCTCGGACGAACCGGAGGCGGTTATCGGCGTTACACTTCGTGAGCAGTCGGATCTCCATCGCCGCCCGGCGCTGCGCCTCGACGGAGTCGGACTCCAGATCAGCGACCAGGCTGCGTTCCAGGCCTTCCGAGCAGTTGGATTCCGCCGCCGTGGAGGCGATGATCCGGTGTGCGATCTGCGAGTTGAGGGCGAACTCGCCGGATCGTTCACTACCGAAATCGCTGAAAGCTCCGGAGGAATTCGCGGACGACTCAGAAAAGGTGCGATCCATATACCTGTAGCTCTCCATCATCCCATCTTCCATTCTCTCCCGACCCAACCCCTGTAGCTCTCCTGTGGAAGGAGAGCGAGGCTGAGGGTGGAAGAAGAAGAAGAAGAAGAAGAAGAAGAAGAAGAATAAGGGGAGGAGGTCAACTGCAGAGATGAGGCTCAGAGAGATGCTTTTCCTTTAGGGAGGGTTGTGGGCCCCGCGAGGCAGCGGCACGTGCGTTCCCTCCTCACATCGGCTGAATCATGGTGTAGGCGCACGTGCGGACCTACGTGGCCGTCGGCGGGAAGGGGGACACTACGGGAGTGGCGTTAATATCTGACGGTGCCGCACCGGTCGTGGCATCAAGGCGCTGACCGCCGACAGACACGTGGAAACCACCACGATCACCCCACCTGTACTGCACACGATATTAAATGAGGGGGATATTTGCAAATACCCCCCCGTTTGTACAACACATAAAATTACCCTCAAGTAAATTATTTTGCGTCAATACTCCTCATGTCATTGACGACATATCCTGCCAAAAATTTTAATTAAATAATAACTTTTCAAAAAATAGTGTATGAGCATAATATGTGGAATAATGAGGGGGAGAGGAGAACAAATTCAATTTTTTATATGTCAGGTCAAGTACACTTTTTATAAGCGAGCGCCCCTATAGTTAGACGTCAACGGTCAATCGTATATTATCCAACTATTTTGTACTTTTATTCTTTTATTAAAATTACCCCACACCCATATCTGTCTCTCTCCCCCTCCCTACAACCCTCTCTCGCTCTACTGGAAGCCATGCTATATAAAGTATCTTGCTTATTTTATTTCTTACTATATCTGATAAAAATACCTAGAGGACCCTTCAATTACTCTCTCTCTCCCACAGTTACTGCTCTGCTCTCTCTCTCTCTCTCTCTTCCTACGAGGTGCCCCCTAACCGACAACTTGGGAGATTAAAAAATAAAATAAAAAATCTGTCTCTGTCCCTCTCTCTCTCTTACTAGAATGGTGTCTGCATGCTGGGTCACAGCTGGTCGAGTCATAAGTCAGAAACTATAATATAAATAAAGATAAGAAACTAATGACGACGACAGCGCTATTCTCGGGAGACGACGACAGTGACGTCACCCATCACGAAGATGGTGAAGATTTTGTCCGTAAACTAATGCAAGGGGAAAATATCAATGATGAGTAATTTAATATTTTTTTTATTCACACACTTTGCCCAATGCCAGATGCTCAAAATACTGTGAATGCGAGGGGGGGCACCACGACGCACCATAGCCTAGTGCTGGATTATTTAAAAAATAATTAATTATAAAAACTATTTATTTAAGAAACAAATAATTTACAGTGGCATCACAACACCGTCTTTGGGCCTTCTCGGCCCACCGGAAAAGAGCGAGGAAAAGCGTACGGTGTGGTACTATATCGCTTGCGGGAAGAGGCGGTGTCGACACTGCTGGTTCAGGGCTGACGTCATCGTAACGTACTTTGGCATCTAGTGGGCATGTTCTGTTGATCCTGCGGAACAGCGACCCGCCAGCGGGGATTGGCGTATATAATCTTGCTTAGTGGGCGGGCTGGATCGCGTAACTTGTCTCTGGAGTGCTCACCTGGTTCTCTCCCGTGGAGGACTCCAGCCATGAAAGGGCCCGGGCTGTTCTCCGACATCGGGAAGAAGGGGAGAGGTTAGCGTGCTGTTGATTTTGACTATTTGTTGGCCTCGGTTCTAGCTCATGTATTTTCGGATCAAAATTCAGCCATCTTCGTTGTTTTCAGCTATCAACGGTGATTTTCTGATTTGTCTCTCATGTGGGCGTTGATTTCAGATATTCTGGACAAGGACTATAGCTACGACCAGAAGCTGAGATTATTCACTCGTAGTGCGGCCGGACTGGTACGATTTATCGGTCCTTGCTCATCCGTTATTGATTTTTGCTTTGCTTGACTTTATTAACGCGAAGTTTCGTCGAAGCTTTGTGAACAAATTCTGTGGAGTCGTCTCGTCTGGCATTGGTTTTCTCCTTCCGCTGGCGCATTGTTTATTTATTGAATGACCGAGTTGTCTTGTCGTTCTGGAACAGCACATTTTGAGACTTTGCTTGAGTTTGTCGCTGGCTGCAAATGACGTTTTAATTTTTTTTTCGGCGAACTTTAGAGTCGAGTTCGTTTTAGTTTAACTGTTGGGCTGGTTGTGATTGCTGTGGTTTGTGGGAGTGGGTATTCATTATTTTATGGAGTAGATTGTTTAATCATTTCGGGTCTACTCTCAACTGTGCATAGATGTTTTTTTTTCTTCTCCCTTGGTTGGCAAGATGGGAAATTTTATTTTTCCAGTTACATTTTTGTGTCTCTCCTTGACCTAATCTGTTGACTATGAGTATTCTATGGACCGTAATGGCTGTGTATAATCATCTATTGATTTCTGTTCGTTCTCGTGAGTGTCTCGTCTCATTGGATTGCGCATTGCACATTTATGTCCATCCAAGTATTTATTGGTAGATATGTGCGTCTGTCTGATCAACTTTCTTTTTTTTTCTTGTGAATATTAGTTTCTTGCTGCCATTCAATGCATCTCCTTTTGGTAAACATTTCAATTTCTATTCTAAACATTTACACGTTCTTTCGCTGTTGGATACTGCGGAAATTTTCTTGTGCGTGATGTATGGATAACGTTATGTCATTAAATCATTTTTTCAGTTAACACTTAAGTTTTTCCAAGAACGTTTCCATATCCACTGTTCAAAATCAGCTTCTCTGAGTTATCTGGACCTTACAGATTGAGTTTCTCTAAGTCTCAACCTCACAAAAAACAAAAAGTTGATTGACTCACCTTCATACTTTTGATAATTTATTTAACAGAAATCCTATATTGCTGTGCGTTCGACAAGTTATCAAATTAATGTGGGCCTAGTACCTAATTACTCTGCTGTTATGATAGTTATATTATTTTAAATCCCCTTTTGCCTTTTCTTCTGCTGACTGGTTTTCATCATATCATATGGCAAGTATAATTACAAAGTATATCTGCAACACAGGGGATGTGTCATGTCATCCTGGAATTGACATGCTGATTAATTTGGGGTGAGATTATGATTGGTTTTAATGACGTATCTTTTTCAAATCACCAATTATATCCAGAGCTCCACTGTAATTTCAGCAGAGATCCATTAAAAAAAAATGAGAACGGTATTGGCATAGACTGGCCAGATGGTCCCATTTAGGTATCATTGATGAGATATGGGGTTCCATGCCACTTAAGTAAAGCTCACATGCATCGTTTACTGTCAAGTCAATAGGTTTCCAAAAAGTGGTCCTCTATTTTATCGCCGCATGGAGAGCTTTCACCTCTCTTTATGTGATGCCAATTGATAGTGTTTGAAGTTTTACTTCGCCGAAATTCTGTCTTTTTCATTTATCCTTCTCTCAGATTTTCCTTTTCCCACGAAAAGAGGGAAAACTGGCGTTAGATTGATTAAATTTACCTTCAATGCTGATGGCCTGTACTTTCTCAAAAAATACGTTATTTCTCGACTGTTGAAGTGTAAGTTCAACTTTTAGCTTGGTCATCAGCTAGGACCATCTCATTACATTTATTCCGGTTGGGTGTACGGTGGCTGTCTTCTGGCACGTTGTTCATATGCAAAAAAGTGAAGAAACTAAATAACACTCACCTCTTGTACGAATATTTTATTTTAATCTGAAAAATTCCAATTGCTCGGAATTGATTAGCAATTCCCTTATATGAAATGTATGCACTGCTCATATGGTTTATCTTTAATCACTTGAAAAAACAGCCAGGGACAGCTCTGCGAAACAGAAACAAATTGGTGTCTTCTTCTTCTTTACTGAACCAATAACTGAGTCACGGAAAATCTTCTTTCTCTTTCTATTGTATCTGGTTTTAAAGAATATTATCATGGCTAATGTACTGGTTTTATCCGTTAGCCAGAAGCCGGATGATCCTATATGCCCTAGTTTATCATTTCCATCGCAGGGGCTTACAGCAAACTCGGTCAAGAAGGGCGGGCTGTACAGCAGCGACATCACTGCACAGTACAGGTACAAGAACACCACTGTGGAAGTCAAAGTGGACACGGAGTCAACTGTAAAAGCCTCCCCCTTATCCTCCCCCTCTTTCCAATCTTACGAATCGCCTCTCTTAAGGAGCCGTCTCGGTCTTTCAAACAGGTTTCGTCAACCATCACGCTTTCAGAGATTCTACCCTTCACCAGGGCGGTTACAACATTTAGGCTACCTGATTACAACTCCGGCAAGGTGAGCAGACCCCCAAGATGGAGGATCCATCTCCATGGCATGGCATATGATCTCCGATTTTGGAATCGGAATTAGGGTTCTAAGAGATAGGGTTCCCCCGCGTTGACTTATTCCTGCTTGTCTGTCCAGGTGGAAGTGCAGTACTTCCACGACCATGCGGGCATGGCTGGAGCGGTGGCTTTGAGGGCGTCCCCAACCGTTGACCTCTCTGGGACTGTTGGATCCCACGGCATCGTCTTTGGCGCCGAGGCTGGCTTCGATACCACCTCTGGTACCTTGACTAAGTACAACGCCGGCCTCAGCCTCCAGAAACCAGACTACATCTTCTCGTTGACTTTGTGAGCCCCCCCCCATACCCTCCTCCCCCACCTCATCGTTCCTTTCTCTCTCTCTCTCTCCTCATCCTCATCATCATCATGATCTTCTTCTTCTTCTTCTTCTGGTGGTGGTGCTGTCAGAGGGGAAAAAGGGGACACGCTGAGGGCCTCCTACGTGCACCACCTGGACGATCAGCATGCCAGCGCCGCCGTGGCGGAGGTGACCCGGCGGTTCTCCACCAACAAGAACGCTCTCACTGTTGGAGGCCTCTACGAGCTGGACCCTTCCACCAGGGTCAAGGCCAAGCTCAACGACGGCGGCAAGCTGGCGGCGCTCCTCCAGCACCGCCTCAGGCCCGGCGGCAGCGTCCTCACCATATCCGGCGAGCTCGACACCAAGTTCCTCAACAAGAACCCCACCATCGGCCTCTCCCTCGCCCTCGAGCCCTGACCCCACCTTTCCCTTCTGGTGAGTTTTTCTCCTCTCATCCTCCTCAATAAGTATTCTCCCCCCACACAAAAACCTTCTTTTATTCTTTACCTTTTTGGGCTGATTAGAATTTCCCCTCCTTTTCGTAAATTCCTGTCACCATTGTTAATAATTTGATTTCTTTCTAGATGGGTCTAGAAGACGATACCATTTTATTGATTTCATGAAAGCCTTTGAGCCTACCGTCGTACGCTATGATTTATTCACATATCACATAAAAACCTTGTATTTTATCAAAATTATTCATTCATCTCATTGCTGCCATCCACTAGCGTACCAAAGTGTTTCGAGGCTTAGAGGAGATGATCTTGTCTCTCTCTATTTTTTCTTTTGTTCTCAAGAGTTTCTAGCATGATTACTAAGTAAAATAATATCAATCATGCTTCCAATTTTTTCTTTAAAAAGCTCAGATAAATCCTAGCAACAAGCAATGATTTGCGATTAATGCAGTCATGAAAGCATAGTTCTCCTGATCAATCAGGACATGGAATTGTTGAGATTTTGGACATTGAATTCAACAAATATTCTAATAAAGACGAAATAATATTTTTTTTCTAAACGTGGAAAAGGAGCAATGTCACAACTTGTGTAGATTTTGTCCTGATTGTTAGGAAATTTACCAGGATTAAACTCACTATTTTTTTTTCACAATAGGTTTTAAATATCATCAAAATTTCCCATATTCGCTGTGCATGCCTCATTTATTTATTTTTACAATTACTTTGGATAATCTATCAAGTTCTATTTACATTAGAATGAATGCGAAGATGATTCTAATAAAGATATTGCTGCCATTTTGGGTAAGAAAGAGAATCAAACCCATTAGATGGCTCGTTAATAGGAATTTAATTTATTAACGCGACTGGATAAAAAGATTGAAAATCATAGGCGACTCTTTAGTCTTGCATTTGACTTTTGGTCCGTGATCCTTGTGGGTCCGTGGTCACTTTGCCAAAAATGTGTTTCAACAAAAGTCAACGATTGCCACAAATGGAAGCATGCGCACTAGATATTCTACAGGTGTGTGTGTGTGTGAGAGAGAGAGAGAGACTCACGAGAGAATAATATTGTGGCGACGATTTCTTGTGAGGGGAATTGTATCAACTCGGAGAAGGAGGGCGGAACTTGCTCCCCCACTTGAGCAGGAGGTCTTCAATGGCGGCCTCCATCCTCGTCCCTCTTCCTCCCCACACCAACATATCCGCCAAATCGCTTGCAGACGACCCCTCCACCTCTCGCACCACCCTGAATCCCATCCTTGTGTAGAACCTGACCAGCTGTCCACCCTTTCCGTGAGAATCCCTCCAGAACCTTCCCCAAAATAGAAACCCTGACTCGGTCGTTACCTTGGAGTGGTACAGATCGGAATCGTTGATGGCGAGGAGCTCCGCTCTGCGGCAGCCGGAGTCGAAGCCGTGCCGCACGGCGGCGGCGCCGATGAAGAGGCCGAGGCCGAAGATGGACCGCTCGATCCGCAGCGTCGCCGGAGACATCTTCATCGAGTCGAGGTGGAGGATCAGGCCGCCCGTCCATGGCCGGAGAATCCCCTCCGCTCTGCCGAGCTCGGTCCCTCCCTCCGCCGTGCTCGTCCCAATCACGCGGAAGAGGGGCCCCGCAGTCTGAAGCTCCAGCCGCATGTTCTGCCGCCGGGAGGCCGCCACGATGTCTGCCATCGTCGGGATGAACGGAACTTCCGGCGACGGGGACGGCGACGGCGGCGGTGGGGGCCGTAGCGCCGCCGGAGAGGGAGAAGGGCCCCTCCACAGCGACGGTGGGAGATGGAGGGAGAGAGGAGGAGCCATGTCTTTTCCCTTCCCTCATCTTGTCATCGTCCTCTTTCGTCCAATTTTGTTGTTCAGAATGTGTTAGCGGGCCGAGCTGTAAATGGGCCAGCCTGGAAGCCCGGTAAGCGCAACGGTCATGATCGTAGGTTTACTCTGTATGGGTACGCGTGTCGACAGATGAACGGACTTTGCGATAATCCTGTGCTAGCTGGCCGATCTGTATATGGGCCGGCCCGGAGGCCCGGTAGGCGCAACGGTCAAGATGGGGGGGGGGGTTTTACTCTGGACGGGGGTACGTGTCGAAAGATGAAGGGACCAAGTGATGAAGGCGGTGGCCTTAATATATAATAAATCTGCTGAGGTTTTTTTTATTTCGGGCCATTTTTCGCCGTCAGCGGTGGGAAGGAAGTTGATTCGGGGGAGATCAACTGAAGAACGAGCTCCGGCAGGCGGCGCCGCCATCGGCTTGGGAGGAAGGAAGGGGGGAGAGATGGGTAAGAAGCAGCACAGCAAGGATCGGATGTTCATTACTAAGACGGAGTGGGCCACCGAGTGGGGCGGGGCCAAGTCCAAGGAATCTGCGGCACCTTTCAAGCGCCTGCCCTTCTACTGCTGCTCGTTCGTCCCCAGGAACTCAACCCTAGGTTTATTCCAGATGCTATTTCTGTTCTTAATCTTGATCCTTGCCTCTGACTTTCGTTCTTCCTCCTCGAAGAATCACGTTCACTCCGTTCGAGGATCCCGTCTGCACGGCCGATGGCTTCGTGTTCGATGTTCTGTGAGTGATCTCCATTGCGACATCATTAGGGTATTTGGGCTCTGGACTTATATCGGGTGAAACGATTTTGATTGGATTGGGAATTTGGTTGTAGGAATATAATCCCGTATATAAGGAAGTACGGGAAGCATCCGATCACTGCAGCACATCTCAAGGCCCAGGATCTCATTCCCCTCACTTTCCATAAAAATTCTGAGGGTAAGAGACATTTTATTCTTACTAATTATTTTTCTAAGCTATGTAACCTGTAACTCCGCCGAAACCTGTGACACATGCTGTCGTCCCTCCTGGTGACTTGTTGATGTTAATATAACATGAAATGTGTCTCGGGGTTGGGCGTTTTATCCCCCATTCTCGTCTGAAGACTGCTTCTGAACCATACAAATGGTTCTAGTTTTTTTGAATCTCCTCGGGTTCCTTGGAGCGCAACAAAAATGCGGATGCTCTGGTCTCCTCGCTTTCTACCTGCGTGTGTATTACTCACCTTTTAACCATTGACTAGCTTACATTATTCACTGGCTTCCTCATAAAGAACTAGTAAAATAATATCAGGTAGAGGTCCTGTCTTCTCGTCTGGAATCTCAAATGCGTTAATGGATACTTTTTAAGTCATGCCATGCTTCACTAGCCGGAGCTTTTGAACTCATAGATTTGATTTGCTGACTAGAAAGCTAAACTTTTGAAAACACGTCCCTGGACGGCTGAAAACCAAGCAATATGCTTCCTCACAGACTGGTTTTTTGGGTATTGATGTTGCCACAGGTGAGTTTCACTGTCCAGTTTTGAACAAGGTTTTTACAGAGTATACGCACATAGTTGCAGTGAAGACCACAGGAAATGTCTTCTGTTATGAGGTTCGTTCCCATTTTTTTACTTTTCTTCTCCCTTTTTTATTTTATTTCCGTCTTCAGTCTCCATTGATTATTGTTTCTGTTCAGGCAATCAAAGAGTTAAATATCAAAACCAAGAACTGGAAGGAGCTGCTCACTGATGAGCCTTTCACCAAAGATGACCTAATAACCATCCAGGTGACCACTAAATTAATTGTCACATTCATGCGCGTTTCTACACCGTAGCTAGCTAGTTTAATTATAAAATTCCACGCTTTCCTGCAGAATCCAAATGCAATTGACAGCAAAGTTATTGTCGACTTCGATCATATTAAAAATAGTTTGACTGTTGAAGACGAAGGTACACTGTTTTGATTGTTGGTTTTTTTATGAATTCTATCAATTTTTTCACATGAAGACGATAATTTTATCCTCTCTCCTCTCCCCTCCCCTCCCCCGAAGATTTGCAGAGAATGAAGGAAGATCCAGCCTACAACATAAATATATCCGGTGATCTCAAACAAATGCTGAAGACACTGAAAAGTGATTCCGGAAAAGAAGTAGCATTACATGGTGGAGGTGGAAGTAAAGCTCAGAAAGAGAGAGCCGCTGCATTGGCTGCAATTTTAGCCTCAAAGACTGAAACCACTGGAGATTCTAAAACGAAGACCAAAGGAGAACCCAAACCTGCTCAAGGCTTCAGCATTGTGGATGCTGCATCTGCTTCAGTTCATGGGAGAAGTGCTGCAGCAGCCAAAGCCGGCTCTAGTGAGAAGACCGCCGCCCGGGTAGCCATGCACATGGCGGGTGAACGGATACCTGTCAATGCTAAGCTTGTAAGCCCGCCACACAAACTCTAGACCATATCATCGGGTTTATTTGGTCAACATTTTCTTAACTTCTGGGTCATGGGGTTGGACGATTCTCAGGTCAAAAGCCAATATACCACGGGAGCTGCCTCAAGGTCTTTCACATCTACCTCATATGATCCTGTCACCAAAAATGAATATGAATACGTTAAAGTTGAGAAGAACCCAAAGAAGAAGGGGTATGTTCAGTTGCACACGAGCCATGGAGACCTGAACATAGAGCTCCATTGCGACATAGCCCCACGGGCATGTGAGAATTTTATCACACTCTGTGAGCGTGGCTATTATAACGGAGTTGTTTTCCATCGGAACATCAGGTACATTATCCGCATCTTTAGCTGAGCAAGTGCCAAATCTTCCCCTCATTTTCATCAGTGATATAATCATCTTCTGTTGTATGAGTGATGGAAGGATCTTTTTCTCCTGCTTAGGAATTTCATGATCCAAGGTGGTGACCCGACGGGCACTGGCAAAGGAGGAGAGTCCATCTGGGGGAAGCCCTTCAAGGATGAGGTGAACTCCAAGTTGCTTCATTCAGAAAGGGGCGTCGTCAGTATGGCGAACAGCGGCCCCCATACGAATGGTTCACAATTTTTCATCCTATACAAGTCTGCAAATCATCTAAACTACAAGCACACGGTGTTTGGAAAAGTGGTCGGGGGCTTGACGGCCCTTGCAGCGATGGAGAAAGTCCCTGTCGATGACAGCGATCGCCCCCTGGTCAGTGATTCTTTTCCCTTTTTCCTTATTCAGTTCTAGTTGGTATCTGCTTTCTAAGGAAGTTTCTTTCTATACTGGGCTACTTTTGGTGTTATCTAGGAGAAGAATCTAGTCTACATGGAGACAAAAAAAATTTGGATCGAAAATATTTTGATTGTAGAGTTCTCCGGCTTTGTTTTAGAAGAAATACCAAGATTAAAAAAGATTAATAAAAATTGGAACTCATAATTGTCAAAAAAAACTAATAAAGATATTTATCTTCTCACGAAAAGAAACTTTTTTGATTTAATTTTTGGCTATATCGTCCCATATCAGATCTGGAATCTTGGTTCTTCCCAGAATTTGTACTTTATGATGCATATAAGCTTAAACCATGGATTATACCAATCCAAGTTCTTCTTTTTAACATTCATAGAAATAAAATAAAAAAATAGTCAAAATAAGAACATCAACGGAAATTTTTTTAAAAAAATCAGACCAGGTACAATTTTTTCATCTTTTCTTCATGGTGATCATAAATAATTTATAGTACCACAAATGCATTTTTTTCCCATGAATAAATGCCTCAATAAAATCAATAAACCAAGAGTGCCGCATAGGTATTAATGGAATGGTCATGTGGGAAGAAAAAAGCTTCTCACAACACAGATTTCATTTCTGATGATGAGTATGTGACCGCTCTTATATATATCCTTCGGAGCTACCTCCAGAAGAACCCAACCCCTTTGTTAGAACTGAACTCTCTGTTTCTGCAGCAAGAGATCAAGATCACAGGCGTGACCATCTTTGTAAATCCCTACTCCGAGCCTGACGAGGAGGAAGAGCGCGCCAAGGAGGAGGAGAAGAAGAAAGCTGCCGATGCCGAGGATGTGGGTCCCAAACCATATGCTTCCATTTTTGGCTGCTTTATGAGACAATAATGTCTGAATTCCGAGTTGGAACTTTGCAGGATATGGTCGGCTCATGGTACAGCAACCCGGGCACTAGAGCAAATGGGTCGGCCCCAGGCAGTGGCGGCGTGGGGAAGTACTTGAAGTTAAAGACCTCTGAGGATCAAACGGTCAGCGGTGGCGGCAGCTTGCTGCAGCAGCAGGAGTCAACCAAGAAGAGAAAACTTGGCGTCTCTAGTGAGTTCAAAAATTTCTCTTCTTGGTGAGAAAAATCTGTGTGGATTACGGCATCAGGCTGGAGAATTTTCCTGCTGAATGTTGTGAGAGGAAGTAGCGGAGGAGGGAGGTGCTCGCCGGGGTCAACATTGATGGGCTCTTTCCCGTTTGACTTCTATTGCCCTTGTGCTGAAGGGAGAAGAGCTATGTAGAGGCTACTCGAAGAAAGCTGAGCAGAAGCAGATGCTCTAGAGAGAGAGAGAGAGAGAGAGAGAGAGAGCTGAGCAGAAGCAGAAACTCTAGAGAGAGAGAGAAAGAGGGGGGGAGGGAGAGAGAAGATTTGACTGGGTTTTTCCCTCCCTTTCCTGTTCTCACAGATGTTCTGGAGTCGTTCATTGGAGATCTCTTGTGATGTTTATGGGCTAATCCATTGTTAGAGACAGTCTTTTCCCAGCATTATGAAGCCTCGATACACACCACGGCGCTCATGATCCGCTCTTGGTTTTTTTTTTTTTTTTTTTGGTCCGTAAATAGTTTGTACTACTTTATACTTTATTAAAATTAATCCCTTTTTTTCTCTCTCCTTCTCTGCCCTGATTCAAACCCGACCCGGGAAGAACCGAGCTTGTCTCCTCCTTATGGGCCATTAATTGATTAGCCCACTTTCTATCGAACGTCGTCGGATAATTTGAGCTCATTAATAATAATTCGGCCCACTAAACTCGGATAACTTCCCCCCCCACCTCTGCCTGGTTTGAGAGTACTTTCAAATGTTTCGCCCCCGCAAAGGATGCAAGTACAAATATTATAGGATTCCAGGTATACCTACTTGGATAATATATCCCGGCTTCGCAACCCCCCCCCCCAAGGACATAAGAGTAAATTCCAATATTTTGCCCAAAAGTACGATTGAAGGTATAAATACAAATAATTATTTTATGTTCAGAAGTGTCAATTTTTATGTCGAATTACCTCGCGCCACGCATCAGAGATGTACATTTCAAGCTTTATGACGGTATAATATTTATTTATTATTATTTTATTAAAGTGACGTCAGGACGAAATGGATAATGAATAAATTTTTAGGGGTACAAATAATTAATTAAGTAATTGCGTGTATATGTATATATAACGGGGGAGGACTATGATTGATCCGAGAGCCTGGGATTTCTACGGTTCTGCTACTCGCGGGCAACAAGGGGAAGCCGCCGAGAAGGCGAGGATCGGGGGAAGGACGGAGGAGGGAGGCCGTGGAGTTGATCGATCGGATCTGAGGTGTCTTCCGTTACAGAGAACGGAGAGGCGAGAACCCTAGTTTGTTCCTTCTCTTGGGATTTTCTCCGTCGCCAGCGCCGCCCATGGGACTCTGGGAAGCTTTCCTCAACTGGCTGCGCAGGTGGGGTGGTGCCTTATTTCGGCCGTTTTTTAAGATTTTATGGTTCTGGATTTCGTGGCTGTTATCCTGTTGGCCGTTGAGATTTTCTCCCCCTACTGTTCCGGCGACGGTTTTATCGGGGGATTCGTTGAATTGATTAATGTATTTGGATTAATCTTATGGAGCGGTTTTGTCGCAATGATAGAGTTATTTTTCTTTTGTTTCAAATACTCTGCAAGTGATCAACGATACCCGGTTTTATGACAGTGATTGCTTAACTATTCTATTGCCGAAATTTTACGATAAAAAGAGGTAATGAAATAACTATCACTGCAACCAAGGCATCGGTTTCATTGACCACCCAGTCTAGAGCTTTGAACTTCGAAGAAGAACGCAATTCGCCTTCTCACCTAAGTAACAGACCTGTTCTTTCCTTTCTCGGATGCTTGGCTTTTGGAGTTACTTTTCGATTCCACTTGAACCCTATTCAATGCCCGCTTATTAACATTATGACATTAATATTGTTACTCATTTTGTTTGTTTCAGTGGTAAATCACAGATCATCCATTTGTTATCTAATGTTGATTTTCTATTATAGCCTCTTTTTCAAGCAAGAAATGGAACTTTCTTTGATAGGACTTCAGAATGCAGGAAAGACATCCCTTGTTAATGTTATTGCGGTATGTTCATCAGCCTTCATTTTCTTTATCCAGTGCGTCTTTTAGTTATTTGAGACAATCATGGGGTTCTCTGTCTCTTTTGCAGACTGGTGGCTACAGTGAAGACATGATTCCCACTGTGAGAATCGCAGTTTCATTGAATATTTTTCACATGATTTTTTTTCTGTTATTGCTCTGCGAAAGGAATTTTCTCTAACTGGACTTGAATTTTGTAATGTTTGTATACAGGTTGGATTCAATATGAGAAAAGTCACCAAGGGTAACGTTACAATAAAGTTGTGGGATCTTGGAGGGCAGCCCAGATTTCGCAGTATGTGGGAACGATATTGCCGTGCTGTCTCAGCCATTGTGTAGGTCTCCTACCGTTATCTCGGTTACTTTCATGAATATCACTTATTTTTCATCCTTTAATTTTTGAGTAATTTTTTTCTCCATGTCTCGTTAATGAACAATATTATAGAAAATAATATTATATAGAGAAACACACGATATACTAAATATCATGATATTTTACTTAATTCCCTTACGATATCTCTCATCAATTATTGTCTTTGAAGTGTGCTTGCGACGGACGCTCTAGGACTGGCCAATCCTTAGGAAAAGACACCTGGATGATGACAATTTTGGAATTACGATCCTGCTGCAGTCCAGATGAATGAGTTGCAACATGAGGTTTAGCTTACAGGAATTGCCCCCTCGGTTATTGGATTTTTGACCTCGGAAGACTGTTGAAATTGAGGACAGAGTTGCAACATGGGATTAGTTCATAGTCAGGGGTAATGGTTTAGTTTAATCCAATCAGATGGTTTGGTTGAGTAAGTTCAGAACATTTCATGGATTTTGATGTGACTTGAAAAGTCTGAAAGATGTTTTTATTGTGGATACATATCGAGAGATAATGGTCGTCAGCAGGAAGCATCATTAAGGATATAACATGTCACTTTCATGAGTTGCAGTCAAATGATGAGAAGTTTCTTTTGCTTTATCAAGGTAGAGAACTGCTTCTATGACTAGTTAACCACTAGAAAAGATGAGGGCATTGAGATGATGGGTTTTGTTGTCTGGCACTAGTCTACGGCTGTGCAGTTGGAAAATTAAGCGTTGGTTCAAGGAAATGGCATGATCCATTCTTTTTGACCGATGTTATGTTCCCTGAACTTGTGTTACATCTCTTTTTTTTGGCTCTCATATCTCCCACAACAATATGAAATGAAGAAAATTGGAAAATGCCATCATGCTGTTTTTTTGTGGTTGATATACCTCATTGGTTGCTCATTAACTTCGTCACTTGACTAATCAAAAGAATTTTTATAAAAAAATTAAGACTTAAATGCAGTCTAATAGGTACCTAGATAAGAAAAAATGAACAATGTCCTTGTTCTTTATCATGAGATGAAATCAAGGCTGTCGAGATGATTAAGCAATCCACGTCCTTGTTGTCTTGCAACAAGAAAAAGCATTGGACGAGTTCCTAGACGAAGCCTACTTTTAAACATATATTAGGAAATATTATAAAGTACTAATTAGATACCAAGTGACTAATAATGTCAAGGATTTATCTCTACATAATACGCAAAATACACAAGGACATGTTTTACATATTCGTAGCACTAATACCATGTTAAGATATATATCCAATCTTTATGCTAAAAAAGTTGAACTTATTTTATTATTGTAAAATGTCTTCAAATGTCTGCCGATATAAATGGAATCACTAAAGATTATTTTGGTGATATTTGTAAGAAGGGCAAAAGCGAATGGTAATGCAATGCTGGAAAGAAATGTGTCAAAGATAAAAAATCTGCTCTCAATACTTCCCGTTCTCTTTTTCACTATCTTAGTCAGTTTATTTAAAACTTGATGACATGTGACAAGCACAATTATTTCCCGAAAATTTATCTAAAGTTGTGTTTATAAATTACTATTTCCTTTCATTCAGTCAGATTTAATCCGACCAGTGATAACACTTCATGATAAAAATCTTTTCAGGATTGAGGGATCTGCACGGATGCTTTCGTCTTTAGTACTTATGTACTTACTTCTGTTTGAGCTGGATGGCTCAAAATGAAGACGATTAGCAGACTCTCTTTCTGAACTGCCCCCTAGATTTTAGTGTGATGCATCTTGACATAGATTTGGTAGATAGACTTATTTCTTTGTTGATATAATCACAAAGTTTCTTTCTTACGTTCGGACCTTGATAATCCTACATGCGGTCGTGTTGGCAATGGGACTTGATCAGTAGCTAACCTCCCTCGTCCTGTTTCTATCTCTGCAACTTTTATCCAGACATTCAAGAGAGCTTAAAAACGTCAACCCCAGTGTTCTTAAAACTGTAACAGGATTACATCCTGGGTTTTCTTCAACTCCCTTGATTGTTACTCTTTCGATCAATTACAGCCTTTGCTTATCTGGGTTTGATCGTAAATAATCAAGCCCACTGATCTGGTTAGTCCGTTCATGTCAGCACATCGAAATCCACGTTAAATTGCCACTTTATACCAGTTCATGTTCTAAACGCCTGCTTGAGCTTACCCATTTTTTCCAGCAGGAATTTCAGGGAACGTTGTTGCCCAGATGAACAACATTCGGAGACCGGTTGCCCATTCTCTCTCTCTCTCTACTGAAGGGGATTATTTTTCGCTGTGCTGGGATTATTGACCATATGTTCTTCCTTCACTAAGAAACACATCTCAGCTGCTACCTATGATACTTCTTTGCTATTTTTATTACTCTCTGAGCATGGGATTTATCTGCACAAAAAAAAGAAACATAACTCGGTATTCTGTATCTCCGTAGGTATGTTGTTGATGCGGCAGACAGGGAGACCTTGTCCATCTCAAGAAGCGAACTCCACGACCTGTTGAGCAAACCATCGTTGAGTGGGATCCCTCTCCTCATTCTGGGCAATAAGATCGACAAGCCCGAATCTCTCTCTAAACAGGAGTTTGCTGAACAAATGTAACCAACCAGAGATTTTCAAGAAAAAAAAAAGATTTACTGGTTTTCTTTATTCTTTTTATCCATATTAATCTTCTTTTTTGGGTGGGGGGGGGGCGGTTCCACAGGGGGGTCAAGTCCATCACCAACAGGGAAGTCTACTACTTCATGATCTCCTGCAAGAACTCCACCAACATCAACTCCGTTATTGACTGGCTGGTGAAGCACTCCAAGTCGAAGAACTGATCGAACAGCGAGAGCCTCCGCCGCCACTTATTCCGATCATTTTTTAAGGTTGTGGGTTGCATCGATGCCATCATCATTGCCGTTTTTAACCTTTGTTGCTGAACATTTTATTTATTTATTTTCTTTCTTTTTTTGGGTGTTGCTAAGTAAATCCCCACTACCAGATTCCTGTGAATATATCATAAAAATATTTTCTACTTTGGAGCTGATGCCTATCTCTTATAAATATTTAAAATATTAATATCTGCATGGGCTCAGCCCTCACTTCTCTCCCCCTTCACCATCAAAAGACGCATTCACTGGATGGTTGGCGTTGAAGGACCAGGCCAATCTGAACCAGGGCATGCCGATGACCCAGCTACCAGCCAAAGTGAATTCGTTTGCGCCAAAAGTCAACCCTTTTACGAAAATCGATGAGCAGGGTCGATTTTCTTTAGGTCGTTATCTGGGTCAAAAGTCAGACCCTTTTAGGCATATCTGAGTCAAACTAGGCCTAGATCTTCCAAGGATCCGGTGACCAGGTTGTTTCCGTTTAATTCTCTAAAGTCAACCCTACTAGTAATATCAAAGGAGCTGGCTGATCTCAGCCTAGGTCCTTCAAAGGATCCGGTCACCAACTGTTTTAATTTAATTGTATCCAAAGTCAACCTTTCAATGATTTCGACAGAGTGGACGTGAACCCAATTTGAAGTCTGCAACTTGAATCGATTCAAAAATGCAATTCAAAGTCGCTATTTCCATAGGCAACCGTGTTCTCACAAACCCTAATTCTATTTAGGTTTTGATGATGAATGACGTAACCACAAGCGGCAAGGTTGAGTGGATAAAGTTAAATGAAACCCTAGTAGAAACAGAAGACAAAGCGTTGATTGATTGAATCACGGTTCAAGAAGGCATCCGTGAACTACTTCAAAAATTGAAACCAAAAAAAAAAAAAAAAAAGAAAAACATAAGGCAAGGTCACAATTCTCTAGAGTGTGATCTCCGCGGTGCCCTTTTCCATCTTAGGCCCCAACAACCTCTGTCTCCTCTACTGGAGCTTCTTCTCCGGATCTCTCAACCTTTACCCCGATGTCCTCGGAGTAATCGCCGTGAACCTTCATGGATTTCAAAGGGTTGAAGGAGATTTACAGATCAATAAATAAGAATCACTCACTAGTTAGATATATGCTTTCAGATAAAGAATCGACATATAGGAGATTTTTTTACCTCCATTAGTTTCCCAAGATCAAATTTGGGCGCCTTCAAGATCTTGACCTTGCGGATGAAAACATTCTGAAGGGGGTAGATGCTCGAGGTCGCCTTCTCAATTTCCTTCCCAATAACTTCAGGAATGAACTTCTGCACAAGCTCCTTCAGATCACAAGATGTGGCTTGGTTGATCATAATTTCAGTCATCTTCCGACGAATCTACAGTGAAATGACAGCAGAACCCATTTCAGAACAGGGGAATTTTTTTGATAAATAAAAAGAAAACAAAATTTTGAAGTCTAGCACACCTGTCTGATCTGACTGGACTGGGCATAACAAGTGCGCTTGACCTGATTAGGGCGTCTCTTGGTGAACCCAATGCAGAACAACCGCAAGGTGTAGCTGTCGGTTGTCTTCACATCAACATGGGCCTCAATCAATGTCTGCCACTTGCGAACCAAGGATCGGAGCTTGTCGGTGGTGAAGTTCATGCCCTGAAAGATAACCGCGTAGGATTTCGGTGCAGAATTGAGTGGCGTTAGAAAACCTGAGAGAATTAGCATCTAAGGAGGGAGTTCTAATTATCAGGATTTCATACCCAGAAGTTGGTGAGGACATTCTTCCCTTGGATGTCCTCTGCACGGAGGCGGATCTTCCTGTAGTGCTGATCTTCATCGTTCTGAAGATCAGCAAGACAGACCTCAAACACTCTGTGCTTCAGTCCGTCACTTGCAGTCTGAAATAAAACTAAGGGAATCAAACGGGGAAAATTACACAATAGTTTATTTTTGTTGACGTCTTTTTTTGAGTGACTGCGCGGTGATCAAGCCTAAGATTAGAAAAATGATATGAAACAGACAATAATAATCCAGCTAATAGTAGCATAAGAATAAGATAATAATCGGTGATGTGCTGGAGTTACAAAATATAGAGCGATGAAGTATGTTATAGTCCAATCAAATTCGGTCCAGAAAATGATATGGACCTGAATCAGAATTGTGGTTGATATCAACCAATAGACAAATTTGAGGAGAGATCTAACGAGACAGGGTGTCTAGTAAAACATACCGGTAACAACCATAAAAATTACACCAAAAAATAAGGAAGATGTTTCAAAATAATGCTCCATGGACTTATTGGTAATTGATGTAGACAAGAAGTCCATATCGTCATGACGAACGTCTTTTCTCAAGTTTCACTCACTGACTGCCCTTTAGTTGATTATGTCTACGGTGAACTATGCTCTTCCAGATAAGAAATCCACACCGCCGGCATACCACATATAAAAGAATTTTCACACAAGACCAAACGATGAAGGAAAAGAACTGCACAGACTAAGGATAACTTGGGGTGCTGCAATAGAGTGGAGGAAGGTTTAGACGCTGACCCTGGTACCCTGCGTCCTAGAAACGAGAGTCTTCCCAACGTTCCTAACACTGAAGACCGACGGCGCCTTGATGTCGTACCAATCCTTCTTAGCAAAGGGATCAGCCCTGCAGAGGTTCCCATAAGAAAAAAGCACAAATGAGACGTAGAATCGAAATGCGGCACCACGCAACTGTGAACATAGACGGATTCTATGGATCTTTGACGATAACATACGCCTTCTTCTTCCCGCCCTTCTTCCCCTTGGAGATTCTCTTGTTCTTCCTGCCAAAAACACAGTGACAACATCAGAATCGAAGTGATTGCAGCGTAAGAGAACGTCGAAGGAGGTGTCCAGAAGGGGGAGAGCGCTAGAACAGGTTCTCACCCGACGGCCATGGCTGCTCCTGCTGCCGCGGCGGCTGCTCCGACAGGCTTCGACGAGGAGAATCGGCCGCCAAGGGGATTGCGGAAACCCTAACTGGATTCAACTATTTATAGTTCCGAACTCCCACTTCATGTAGGGCTCTTTAAGTGGGTTCGGGCTTTTCCCACCCATAGAGCCCGATTCCTCCGGCCTGTTCAGTAAGGAGAGATGGATTAACAACGTGGCAGCTAGGCATGTCCGCGGGCCGGGCGGGCCTATGTTGGCCATGTTGGGACAGCCCGGCCCGGAACCATATAACACCGAAAATGGGCAGTGCTGCTGGTGTTCAGCCCAGCCCACTAAACCCCTGATATGAAAAAATGAAAATATACGGCCCTAATTATTGACATAAAATAATAAAATCATAGGGTTATACTTCATATTACCCCATTAAATTTTCATTGTTTCTAAAAAGCGGAGGAGAAGCGTAATCGTGCTGGCATACACCTAAAAAGTTGATTCCCCCCTTCCGCGTAATTTATAGAGATAAAAGGTTATTAATTAAAAAATAAAGTTCGTTTTAACCCCTCTTAAAGATGCTACTTTTCAATACAGCGATCAGAGATAGTAACTGTTTTGGTTCTCAAACAAGCCCCTCGACTATTTAAAAGAAAAACAATTCCATCCCGTCTATTAAAATATATCAATTACTTTTAAGATAAAATTATCCTAAATTCCCAAATTTCCAAATTCCGACTAAAAATTTAATGTTTTTAGGGTTAGAGAAAAAAATGTCCATTTTTGCACTCAAAATTTTTATATTTTTTAAATTTTAAAAACAGAAATAAATATTTTCTTGTGGAACGTTGAGGAAACTAGCCTTCTTCCTCCTCCCCGGCGGCGCCGACGCCGTTAACCTCGTCGGCGGCGGCAGCGGAGTTTCTTCTCTCCGTCTTCCAGGGAGGGAGATGAAGCAGAAGAGGGCCAACGGGAGGCCGCAGTTGCAGGCGGTCCCGCCTACGGAGGCCATAGATTTGGGAGTTGGCGGGCTTTCCCTCTGCCCTCGCCTCAAGCTCCTTCTGAGCTTCTTCCGCTCCGATGCGTCCGTCAGGCCAGTCGACGAGTGGAAGCTCAAGAGGGCGCTCCTGGATTTCCTCCACGACTCGATCGGGCTCTCCGTCCCTGAGGAAGACCTTGCCATCCACAAGCTCCCCGATCTCAACAAGCGGAAGCGCAGCGAGCCAGTGGCCGCCGGTGCCCTCTTCATCCGGGATTTGGATCACCTGAGGAGGAGGGGCAAAGGGGAACAAGAAGAAGAGGATGGGGAGTTTCCCCGGAGGAGGTTCTTCGAGTGGAGGGACTCCGTTGTGGGGAAGACGGACGGGATCGAGCTGAATATCGAGGGCGTGAAGTTCAGATTGACCGTGGAGATCCCTCCGTCGGACGATTTCGATCAATTGAAAAAATCCTGGGAAGATTTCTTCTCCACCCAGCCTTTGGGAACAAGTAAGAACGGATTTATTTAAATTGAGTGCGGAATTTCGCTGATTTCATATTTTCCGTGGAATCACTTCTTCTGTTCGTACGGTTCTCAGGGTATTCTTCGAGAGGCGCTCTCCGAAGACCCGACACTATTGTTGTTGCAGGGGTGCCTTCAAGGTGGTTTGCCGAGCCGCGGGTGTCGTCTAAGCCTTCCATGCTGGTTACCCACACCATATTTTCAGTGCTCGGGAAGATCAGGTGTGCGCGAAGAACCATTTCATCGCCCGTAGATCGTCTTTTTCTCTGATTTATTTGTATCAAAGAAATCAATAATTTCATTTCGGTAGTTATTACCTTCAAGCGATCATCTGTTTATAATGTTGAGTTAGAAACTCTTCAAACCGATCATATCTGGAAAAAAAACACTATAATAAATCAAATTATGCATATCTATTGGAATCATAAGGTCATCATCGTGACTAACAAAAGAAATCTTTGGGAAATCTAATCAGCCCCTTACTTTACCTTGAGGGAAGGATTAACTTACAGTCCTAGAGCTAGAACCAGTGTGCTGTCTCAGATTGCTCCTGGTGATTCTTAGCACTGAAAATATGGTGTGGGTAACCAGCATGGAAGGTGAGTTTCAGGGGGAAGGTGCTCTGCAATTCATGGCTGTTGACTATGGAGATTGACGCAGGTCACTCTGATGCTTGTGCTTACAGTCTTTCTTGGCTTCTTCTGTGCTTTAGGGCAACCTCCTAATTAGCTGTATTTTGCTCAGAGATGGGCAGTGATGCATTGAACGCCTTCTCCGGGTTGGGGTTACCAGCCTACAGCTACCTACGCCACTTCACTCATTTCTTTGATGGGATGATCATGATTATGATGTGGAGTGTATGAATAAGTTTTAGGAAAAAAATATATGTTCTGGACTTGTCTATTTTCTTGAAGTAGATCCGATTAGGATTATGATGTGGAGTGTATGAACAAATTCTTGGGAAAATTGAGTTCTGAACAGATATATTTTCTTGAAATAGATCCGATTATAATTATGATGTGGAGTTTATGAATAAATTATTGGGAAAATTGTGTTCTGAACTGATATTTCTCTGATTTACCTACCCATTCCATCCTTTGTCCTCACCATAAGAATGCTCCTCAATTGGAAGATTTTTTCCGAAAAAAATTCAAAGGATATTCAGAAATTCAGACAATTGCAGTTCTGGTTTTATTTATTTCGATATGGTTCACATATTCATCGGCCATGTACCAGGTACATCTTTTTTTCTTCTGCATATTGACTCATTCCCTCTGATGCAATAGGAATCTTAGTGTAGCTAGCGACGATGCTTCAGGTAAGGACGAAGGGAGTAAAGGAGATCTTCTCTCTGGACTTCATTGCAAGGCCTGGGTTCAGTTCGAGGATTATAGCGACTTCTGTGCTGCAACAAAGGTTCTCTGTGGGCGTTCGATGCATAAGGTGGAGATGGAACTTAAGCCCTTTTGCTTATTTTTATCTAAAACTTTGGATTCGATGAAATGTTGATAGACTGATGAAAATATAAAGAACAATAATATTTATTGCTCTCTCTCTCTCTCTCTCTCTCTCTCTCTCTGCGCCTGCGCGATTTATTGTCTTAATTAGTTACCCTTTTTGACCGGCTTGTTCTTCAGGAAGGATCGCGTCTGAAATCGGACTATGAAGTATCGTGGGACAGGGAGGGATTCTTCAGGATCCTTGAGGAAAGAACACCCAGAAGCCACCTTGAAGAAAGTAGTCAAACCTATCAACAATCACTTGCAGGCCGTCTGAGGAGGGAAGCCCCGAGAGTTCAATCAGAGGCCACTCGCATTCCAAAGAGGTTCAGGGTAATATATCTCATCCGATCTTCTACGTCCTGATTGGAATCTGAGTCACCTGTTGATGTTTTCTGCGCAATTTCAATTGGATGGTTCTGGGTTGACCACAGCCCAAAATAGGCTGACCCAGCCGATTTTGGATTATCATTAAAAAGAAATCGTGTCGGGTGCGAATGAAAGTCAACCATAGTTGTGGAGTCTATAAGATTTCTTCATGACCAGCCAGTTCATGTACCGTTGACCGACTCTCATGATCATCCTCCTTTTTTTTTCTCCCTTTGTCCAGATTCCTCAAAAATGAACTTGACGTCCGTGTCTGAAAACATGCAGGAATGAGGTGTCTTCGGCGGAAGCAAAAGGTCAACGGTAGTGGATCTCTATCTTGTCAAGATCATCTGAATCTCTTATCACCGCGTTCATTCTATCTACAAATTTTTGTCGTGTTATCTATCTCCCGATTTGCAAACGATAGAATTCATGCCTAATCTGAAGCATCTCCTGATGTAGAATGTCAACTGGACGTGGGTTTTTTTTCGGGTAATGTGTTCCTCTCCTTGGAATCTCTTTCACTATTCGTTGACAAGATTAATAATGTAGGAGACTTCTTCATGGATCTTCTCCGGGTATCAGAGCTGGACCTGGCCCCTCAACGGTGAGGCCAGAGCCAGGCGGTCTCAGCCCGTTGACTTCCTAATATGAATGTGGGACCCAATAGCGCTCTTACCGAGTTTCACTCTCTAGAAGAGCTGCCCTCCATGGAGATCTCTTCGTCTCCGGTTGTACCATCGAATTCCAAGGTCAGACCTGAAAATCTACATCATCGAGCACGATTTACATGGAACAGGGAACGTTGGTGAGTTGGACCCTCTGTTCCCGTTCGTCCGATGCCTTGTCCGAGGCGTTGCGCCGCCGTCGGTGGTCGGGGACGGCGGCAATCTGTGATCCTTCATGCTGGGCACGGCGTACCATCATATGGAGATGAACAAGATAGCGAAAGCCCGCCCAAACGCTGGCAGGCAGAGAGGGTAGCTAAGAGCTTTTGACATATGCCCGCGTTGAGGATTCGGATTCTTCTGAGGACAGCTTTGGTAGAGAGTGAACTACCCACGTGTCAATTTGACTTTCACCGGATATTTTGGTCCGTTCGTCACGTGTATAACCGTCCTCAAATGTCAAGGTCTAGTGAAATTCTGCATTTAGACCATACCTACGGAGTCAAAGGGTTCCTTGTAAGATGGCTCCTCGTGTCGCTGCATCATAGTGTTTTTTTTTTCTCCTTCTATTTCAAGTAAAGTAAAGTGGATTTTTCTAATGCTTAAAGTCTTTATATTTGTATACTGTGTTTAAAATAATCACAAATAATTTTATAACTATTTAATTTTAAAAATGTATTCAACGGTGTGCCGGCAGCGGGTGGATTAGTCGCATTAGTAGGGTGCCGCCCCTTGTTCATTTGCACACGTGTAACATCGCAATGCTTTGGCTTTATTGCTCATCATAGAGTGACACGATTTTAATCAATGCGATACTGGTAGAACAGTCTTGGATTTATTGATACAAAGAGATAAGGGCATGAATGTGAAGATGGTCTCACTCTAATGTGAGTAGATCTATTAAGATCAATCGAACAATGATTAACAAAAAAGGAAATTAATGGTTAAAAGTAGGGCTCCACTTGAATCATTGGCAGTCGTTGTTCTTGAATATGATACCCTAATAATCAATCGAAAAGGATTTACCAATGCAGAAAAATGAAAACTTTCAATCATGGGCTATTTATCTCGTACATGCACGAAGTGTAGTATGACTATAAAAATTTGATCGTGTCAAAACTCTTAAAATTAGGACGAGGCTTACTATCTATGCCTCATGGCCTCAACCCTAGCCCATGCGGATGGTCCTTTGAACTCCGTCTGCTCCTCTTGGGGCCCCTAGATTTCATTCTTTCTGATGCTTTCCCAAGATCAGCTCCGACTGGGATCTGATGGGGCGGCTGGATCAGATCCTGAAGAGCATATTCGGAGCTCTTTTTCTTTTTTTGGGTAAATTAGTAGAGGCTCAAGATCAAGTTTGGGAAGAAAAACAATCGAGACGAGCCGTTCTTGGGATCTGAAAGGATCCGTTCAAGTACGAAGAAATAAACAAGTCACTCGGCGACAATGGGAGAATTCCAGAATTCAGATAATAAGTAATTCCGACTGCGGGTCAAATCCGGCGGAGGAACCGCAGAGGTTTTTCTTACTGAAAAAAATAGTGGATCAAACGAGAACATACGAAAATGCTGCTCCTGTCTTTCCCTCATCATGTCTTCTTCGGGATTCTGGTCCTTCTCGCACGTCTCAGAAGCAAGCATCCAGGAGGCAGCAACAGCAGAGAGCAGCCAAACTGCGCCGAGGGCCAAAAACAGAGGATTCGATTGATGAATGAACACCGTGAAAATGGAAGGACTCAGCGGATCCGTCGGCGACGGCCGTCATTCTCCACGATCACCATCCGGATCCGCGATCCCACGACGGGTGCCGGCTCGAGACGAGGTAAGACAGTGCGCGAAGGAGACAGAGAATGGGGATGCCGGAAACTCACCATCCCTCCAAGAACGATGGACTATTGCTCTGCTTCTGCGGAGGAGGCTGCGCGTAACCCTGCGGAGGGTAACCCTGCGGGGGGTAGCCCTGCGGTGGATACCCCTGCGGGGGATATCCCTGCGGCGGGTAGCCCTGCGGCGGGTACCCCGCCGGTGGATATGCGTCCTTGGGGTAACCTTCCGGAGGATACCCTAATTCACAGCACACAACAGAGAAAGCACGATGAGCCTCTGAAAACCATCAGATCTGCCCCGATAGATCCACAGAGCCTGAAAAACGGGAGCCAGAGCCAGAGAGAGAAGCTTACCTTGTGGAGGAGGCACTCCGACGGGTGGCGGCTGCTGGTTGTAGTAGCTCATGGCTGCGCTTCCGGCGAGCGGGGGAGAGGAGAGGGAGGAAGAAGACGATGGATGAGGAAGACGGCAACGACGGACGAACCGAGGGGAATAAAAGGGAGGCAGTTGCATTGGGGCCCACCGATGCGCTGTCCTGATCAACGACCGTCCGTTCTGGGTAAACTCCCAAGAATTGCCGTCACGTGAGTCAAAAATTTTCAATATATATTTTAATTAAGCTCTCCTATAAATTTCAAATTCATCTAAAACCTCAAAGTTATTTTAACTATGTTTTTGCCCGATAGCCTGTATTATTACGAGGCTTTAATTAAATGAAATAAAGCCCCGCCATTACATTCTGTGTGCTGTAGAGTTTTGAAGGTGGGTCCCATCTATGCACTGTCCTCAGTATCTACCGTCCGTTGGTGAGAAAACTCGAAGAATTCCCGACAGGTGAGTCAATTTTTTTCAATGGGTTTTTTAATTAAGCCCTCCCGCATATTTTATATTTTTATTATTACGACGTTGAAGTAAATTAAAGAAAGCACCCCCATATATTCCGTCTGCCGCAAAGAGACATCGCGGAAAGACGGATTATACTGCCGGTGGCCGAAGCCTAACCAATCCACGGTCTCCTGCATCATTTTATAAGCCTATGGACGCGTATGGCATATTCTGCTATTGAAATTGGATTTTTCTGTGAAAAGCCATCGAAGTACGAATTCTCCGTTCTGGCCCATGGCCGAGGGCAAAAGAGAAGCTCAGATTCTTGTTGACCATCTGGGGACCAACCAGAGGGCGACACGTTTTTCGGTTCTGCCCATTTCCTGCCACGTTGGCGACGACGCAGTGAAACGCACTAAAAAGTTACTTGAAATGGGCGAGACGCATCCGCCTGCACACCAGATCTACATTGACCGTTCATTCGTTTGCATCTGTGCGAAAGAGTATCCTACTTTTCATGATGACGTCATATATATATATATATCAATATTAATATAACAACCCTGTTTGTGTAGATGTTACCAGCCTAATTCAGATACTTTTTACATGCCTAAATTACGTGAAAATATTTTTTAACCATCATATAACTCGTAAACAAGTGAGATTAATACCTACTCTAATTTCTAAAATATTTATTTATTTGAAAAAATATGTTTATACAAAAAGACTATTATTGTGTCAATTTAGAAGTATTGGTAAATATAACTAAGACAAATAATAATAATTTTTGAATTATAGAAATCACGAAAATAAATTACTCACAAGACTATATTTTATAATATAATAGTCCCATGATGTTTGCATAGTAGGCTACTAAGTACAATATAAAATGTTAGTCACTAGTGTAGAAGATGACCCACTATCTCTCCACACAACAGATGTTGAAAAGTTAGTGGACGCCTATGTAGGGCTTAGGGGGAGATCTAAAGAAGTTAGGTACTACTCACAAACTTTTATGTTGAATTGAGAAGGCCCACTTCAGCCACTAACTCTACTTTTTTTATTCCTTTTAAGTTTAACTTGAAACCTACGAGTTTTGAGAAAACTTTATGTGTTAAGTTTTATATTGAATTTTTACTTCTTTATACTTACTTAATCCCTCTTTTATTTTCCTTTGAAATATATTTTTTTCCCTCATTTTGATATCAATTTGAAATATATCTTGTTTTAGATCTCTTCTTATTATGTAGATTCTTGCTGAAGCAAAAGGATTCACATGAAGAAACTTGTGTAATGATTTTCACAAAGAGTTGATTCAATTAGTTGTAGGTATGTCAAATGATAACATTCTCAATCTTTTTACATGAGTAAATTAAAACATTTATTTTAAATAAAATAAAAATAGAATACTTTTTTGATACATGAATTTAAGATTTGTTAGGTTCAATGTGGTTAAGTAAAACACTAAGAAGATAGGGGGGAGGTTAATTATTTTTTTACGTTTTTAATTATATTTTATTATCATGTTTGCATGTGTATGTCAACACATGTTATTACATAGTGTCTCAAGTATATGTACAAGTTCATTTAAGTATTATGTCTACATAGGGTCACTCTGGTCTCTTTCTCTCATTCATAATTATGATGGACATTAGTTTTTATACTAGTTCACTATTCCTAAACTACAGTAAATCTTAGAAGATCATTCATATAGGATTTTATTATTTTCTTTCAAAAAAAAAATAATAATTTCATTAGATTAATAGCTCAAACACTTATGTATGAATTATGCAGAGATTACACCTCTCATAAGATTTGACTCTCAACACTATATACCTAGGTCAATACATTAGTCTCTTCATATATCGCATCTTTCATAAGTAATTTTTTACTCTCAACACTATGTGCCTTAGCCTAAGCCTCTTTTCATCACCACTTATGTTACTTTAGAACCTAATAGAGATAGTCAACCTTCATTTCAATATATTAACTTAAATCACCACAATTGTGTCAGCAAAAGATGAAGCTCTTATATCTTCATTTGAAGTACATGGTAGTTTCTTTTTTACATATGGAGTTTGACCTTCACTTGAACTTTAGTAGATAAGATGGAAATATATCATCATTCTAAATTAGTTATGATTCTTCATAAGCTTGTTTCATTTATCATCCAACATCTCTTTGTCTTTTCAACACTTGAGAATGATTAAACAAATTTAAAGTTCTTCAAGTTACTTTGGTGGCGTATAAGTGACCTTCAGTTACTCTTCGACTTGAAGTTTTTCATTATCATATAAGTTGTTTTTAATATTTTGTCTAAATATATGTAATAGATAAATAGATATTTTCTCTTTTGAGAGTTTGGCTCAAATGTAGTCGTTAAGCTTACCATTTTGTTCAAGTATTATGATGATATATTATTGTTTATAATTTGTGTTGTTGACTTTTGGTCATTCTTTAGTTTAAAAGTTTATACTCTAATGTAAGTCATCATTAGTAATGTGTATAGAGATATGTAGCAAATCAATTGATGTATTTACTTCAATGATTGAGCTCAAATATAGTCATTAGTCTTGTCATATTGTTCTTATACTCTACTAATGTGTTACTGTCTAGGGTATATATACCTTTGGTTGTTCTTTGCTTCGAGACTTGTAATTCTCTTACATTTCATTCTCGAAGTTTTAATTTAAAAATTCGTGATAATTCAATAGATATTTTCATTTCTGAGGTTGAGTCAAAGTAGATCATTTTGTTCTATCATTTTCTCCACGCATGGAGCTGATGTGTCACCATCTAAAATATGTGGTGAATATTTTTCTATTTTTGTGAGAACTTTATGCAAACACTCCAACTCAACTATTGTGTATGATTGGATTTTGATTCTTACTTTAGTCATTGATCATTTAATATTACTCTATAATTTTCTGATCAATTTTTTAATGTGTAAATTTGAGGTCTCAATTTTAAATTTTACAATTATCTTGTTCTTCATAATATTAAAATATTTATGTTATGATTTTTTTTAATTTTCATAACTTATGTCTTGAGTTCGAATCTCACACCAGACATTGTGCATTTTGATTTTTCATTTATTTTTCTATTGTTAGCTCACATCTCTCATGTATGTATTCTAGTATCACAAGTAACTTTGTATTTTTTTGATTGTACATAAGATTTCGTCGCACATATTGACACATATCTCTCTTTAATTATGTTATAATAATATAATGCTAAATTATTTCAACATGAAGAATATCTCAAATGTGTAACTCATATGATTCATTTGTTAACTATAGAATTATACTGAACATCATTAATCTATCATGATATTGAAGCGTGTAAAATAAATTATCATGATGTGTTTAATAAATCAATCGTAATTAAAAAATTCATTTAAATTATTGAAACCAAGGGTATCAACAAGATTTATATGAAAAATCAAATTGATATGACATATTTAAGATTCTTTTATTATTATTTTAGTTTTATATTATTATATTCATTTTTAAAAGAAAAGTATATAATATATATTATTTAAACTATTTTTATATTTTAATAAATATTAATGACCAATTATGTATTAAGGATATAACTATAATAATATACAAATATTTTATAGAAGTTTACTTGGTGGTCTGATGTATTTGACTCAAAGAAAAACTTACAATATATTTTGTGTTATCATAATTTTAAGATTGATAGATTGTCTTTCTTTTCATCATCTTGACCAATTTTTTTATTTAAGTTATTTATAGTGATTAAGCACACTATAAATAATAAGAAAAATATTAGTGGGTTCATTTTATACTTTGGATTTTGTGTTATGTTATGGATTTTAAAGATGTAAGAGACAATGATATTAACATTATCCAAAGCTTAGTGCATTACAGTTCCATTAGCTTCCTAATAAATTATACTAATTAAAAAGATGTTGACATACATGAATATACCCAAAAAAATATGATAAAAAATAGTTGTGAAAACTATATTTATGATAAATAACACATTATATGAAATAATGAAATATATACAGATTCTTTGCCATTTTATTAATGATATAGTTTCTAAATTTTTTATTGAGATAAAATTTCCCTAATCAATTTATTAAATTTCAAAAGACTTTATGACATCATTTAGTTATCTTAAATTTATCAAGTTTTGCATCAAAGGAAAATGTTAATAAATGAAGACAAATTATGATCCACCATATTTGCCGTTTTCTCTACTTGCTCGCTCTCTCCTCTATTCCTCTCTAGATCATATATTTTACTTCATATAATATTCCTTCTTTTAGGCTTTTATTAAAATTAATCTGATAGAAAAAATCAGATGCAACCCACACTAATCTCCACAAGTAGCCAAAAGACGTGATGGTCTCTCGGGCCTCTCAGGCCGGGCCAGATTTTTAACAAAAGAAAACAGGCCCGAGCCCACGGTGCTTTAACGGGCCGGGCCGCCCTGGTCCCATCAAGGTGACATTAGGCCGGGGTTACTTCAAGCCTCGGACCATCAGGTTTATCCGAATGGGCTGGGCCGGGCCTGGGCTCTCTGGCTCGAGCCCGACGGTCTTAATTGTTCGAGCCGTCGCAGGTCAAAGTCATCGCCCTCGGCGATGGCGGTCACGTAGATGTTTACCTTGTTCTTCGAGGGTTTTCTTGCTCTTCGATCTACGCTTTTGTACTGGGATTCTCCTCAAGCTCGGGAGGGGGATCGTTGGGGATGGATGCGAAGAGAGGCAGGGTGGCGGTGGTCGTCCTCGGGGACATCGGCAGGAGCCCCCGGATGCAGTACCATGCGCTGTCGCTAGCGGAGCAGGTTAGTTGCCTCACTTATATATGGATTCATCGTTGATTTCACCTGGTAATTTGTCGAAAAGGGGAGCGCTACTTTAGGCCTGAAGAGGGATTCGGGGGAACAGTTCTGACCAAGAATTTGGATGACCGTAAATTTCGCTTAAACTTGTAACGTATCTGAATTTTTTGAATTTTCTTGGTCGTCCGAGGACGCAGTTGTGCAGTTTATACGTCTAAAGTTTGAGATATTACGCACGAACAGATGCGTAAATTCCTCCTTCATTTTTGAGTTTTGATCAAGGGTGAGTCTCGAAAAGTAATTGTGGCGATCGAAATGCTAATATTCATTTCGGTTTAAGATCACGTCTGGAACGATAAAATTTCCACAAGATGTGTCCAGGGGCAAAGTTTGAGAGCTAGGAACCCTCTGGAAGGAGGCATGATTTTTTTTTAATACGTCTCTTGGATAGTCCCGTACTTGCACATTTCTTCCATATGCATTTCCAATTCATCTGAAATGGGTGGCTTCTAGCACCGTCTAATTTTCAGAATAGAGCTTCTTCACTCTCTTGCGAGGCGCTTGGCTGTTTGTTGGTACAATCTAGTATGAAAGCCATGCGAGGAGCTTCTGGTAGTCTGAATCATCGCTGGCTAGAAAATCCGTTGAGTTGATCCTATGATATGTCGTCAGTAGAATAATAGGAATAGAGAACGAGGTAACTACAGATGGAATTAAGATGTACATTGAGTTTATTTTATTTCATTGTGAGGACGCACGTGAGTTCTTTTTATTGATAGATTTTCTTGTGATGGTGAATGTTTGTTGGTTTCGAGGGAGGATATCTGTCTGAAATGTATAAGGCACGTGTGTTTTATGGGTTATCAACATGGGCTAAAATTATAGGAGAATTTGGAGACATTCATGCTACTAAAAACTCTTTATGAAACCGTATTTTCTACCACTTTATGAAATTGATAATAATGATTCTTTATGTTTAGTTAAAGTTTCTTGATGATGCGAAAAGTGAGCTAATTTTTTTCTCCTAGACAGTTTTTATTTCGACATTTCAGCGTATTTCTGCTTTAAATCCATTTCATTCACAGTCTCTTGAATTAACCAGTGAGAAAGCGGTGAATGTTTCCTTTGGGCTTTTACTTCTTTTTTTGGAAATACTTTTTTCGCGTGGTATTTAAGCATACTCTTAAACAACACTGATTCTCACACGTTACCAGCGGCATGCAAATAGCCCTTGGTTTATGCTTCATAAATAACAATTATTTTGGTGGCATTAATGATGGGAATTCAATTATTTATTCGATGCCAGTTTAAAAAATGTCGTTTTGTTAAGAATTTTCTAGTTGCTATGCATTTTAACTTTTTTTTCGCTGTTTCAGCATTTCTTTTTTTCTCATTCAAGTGTGTCTTATCTATCAATCATGCAGGCTCATGTGGAAGTGGATATTGTCGCAAATGGGGGTAATGTTTTCACAATCTTCAACTTCCTGGTTGAAACATTGCCAGTCATGAATTCATGTATCATAGGCATTGAAGGCTTGTCTGATTATTCCTTAGATGTGGCATTGATGTTTTGTTCTGTCTTGTTAGTCCTGTGGAAAGTGCAAAACACAATCCTGCTTTTGCATATATGCCATTTGAAATTCTTTTTCCTATTTTTTTTGTTTCATGCAATGTTGTGAACAATCGTGGACCAGTTTTTGATAGGAGGAGCTGGATTTATAGAATTTCACTTGTGTATACATTACATGTGGATGAAAAGCCTAATGTTGAGATATGTTTCATCGATAGGCTGATAACTGCAGGGATGTTGGATCATTATGGTGATGATATTTGTGACATTATTTATCTGTAAAACAAAGTCCAAGGAACTACTGATATCATGAGGGTTGGAAAGAGAAAATTGTTGAACATTTGCGAGACAATTACCCTAATTTGAGAAACTTATAGCCATCCGAGGTGGTGTGAGTGCTTCTTATTCACTTCTCATGATTTTGAAAAAGAAAGAAGGTATAAATAAATGAACCAGTTTTTTCGAATGATATGTGAGAAATATGAGTAATGTTTGTCGAGTGTGTGGCACACTTCTCACAGGGTTAACAATTGCAACTGTCAGTGTAAATATATGCACACGCATCTACAATTTAAAGATATTTTAATTTCTTACATTTCTCACAATTTTTATTCAGCAAATTGGGATATATCCATAAAAAGTTGTACATCACAGGCGGATCAGTTTGATGACCCTGTCTCCTATGACAAATATCTATGGGGTGCTAATTTCATGGAATAGGTGCCAATTGGCTGTTGTAGTGCAACAGGATAACTAGCATTAGGGGATGCTCAGGATATCCTGCATAATTATTTACCAAATAGAAGTGAAGACTCATATTAAGATATCGGAGGGTATTGCCTGTTGCGGTGCAACAGAAATGCTAACCATCGGGGTGCGTTCAAGATATCCTTACAGAATTATTTGAACATTTCTGGCCCATGGTGGAGAGTTCCAGGTTGCAGAGTTTAGCCATTCACGGCGTGCCAACATAAGTTGGTTTCTGGAATTAGTTTTTTAGTAAACCAGTGATGTGGAGACATTTATATAAATTATCACAGTGGAGAGAGATGAAACTTGCCCATCTCAGCCTCATCACTCTAGAAATGACTGTCTTTACAAAGAAAGACACATGATCTTATTATAAATGGAGAAAAATGAAAATTAAGGATTTTCTTTGTCTATACGTTCTGTCATGTTTTCAATTCATGGCTGTTCTTTTTCTTGGAAGTAGTGTTAAGCTCTGCCACAACTAAAATTCTCCTGAAACCTTTCTGCTAACTTTTGTAACAGAGGTTTGTCCTTCTCCAGGCCAAAAAGCATTATGTATTTATCCAATTTGTTCCCTTGGTTTTTCATCACGGTCTCATCCATAGATTATCCCTTTGAACTTGTTTTCAGCGTCACCTCCATACTAGAAAATATCAATATCTGCCTTTGGTGGTTTATGAAGCCACCATTTATGTATCTTTGTGGACATCAGACTGACAGGGAAGGAATTTTATATGCCTACGTGGAATATTTTGAAATGGCGACATTCTACCGTGCATGCCCTTTTATTTTCTTCATATCTGCTGTACTTTATTCAAAATTCTTACGGCACTTGAAAATGGTAATCGCTTTTGTTCAAGCATGGCCAAAGCTTTTTGTCAACAACAGTACACTTTACATGGTGGAAACTGTTATGCTACATCCATGTGATATCATATTTGAACTTCGCAGTACTGCTATTCAAATACTTATTCTTATCGAAGAGAAGGAACGATAAAAACCGAAATCTTCCTACTCGAACAAAAAGTCATTTTGTTTACAAGTCTTCTTTATATAGTAATTCGACCTATTGCTCTGTGTGGTATCACACCCTTCTCAAAGGAACCGTACGTGACACTCTCGCGTCATACGGCTCCGCCCCGGAATTTGGACCTCCCCTTTTCCTTGACCCTAAAGTCTTGTTATGCAACGCAAGACGGCTTCACTCAATTCAGTATTTCAATAGAACAAACAAGCCCACTAATATCTTAGATAGTGGCCCTTACACTTTGGTGTAGTTGACCCTACCTATTGACTCAAGACGCTTGCGTCTTACTCAAGTTCGGGAACACTGAGTCTTATTATAGTACGTTTATATGATAGCTGGAGTTTTTTGTGCACTGCCAAAACATTCAGGTAGCAATTCTCATCTACGTTCATTAACCACTGTACTAGCCTTCATTATCTTTATCCTGTGTGGCATTTTCGTAAAAATTGTACATTTCTGCTGATCACAGAGTTGATATCTTCCTTACAACTGTCCAACTGTTTGAGGCAGTTTAATGTCTGCTGACCACAGACTTAATATGTACTTTACAACTGCCTAAAATGTTTAAGATAGCTTAATTTTTTTAAAACTCAGTGCAGGAACTGATCCACATATGGCTCTTAGAGACAATAAGTCTATTCATCTACACACGATGGTACCGATCGAAATGTTTTTGTCATCTTGTTCGCGCCTCAATTTGTCAAAATGACACATCTTTATTTGGTATTTTATGCAGAAGTCCATACAACTCCGAGGATTATCAACGGTGTCAAAGTCAGTGGCTCTGTTGCTGAAGGCAACAATTCAATTTTTCATACTTGTCTGGTATCTCTGTTATAAGATACCTCGTCCAGATGTATATATTGTGCAGGTGATGCCTCAGTTTAATAATTTTACCACTTGAATATTAATATTTTATTTGAACAATGGTTGCAGAGACCTGTGAAATCATTGTCAATGCATGCAAAATGTTCATTCCGATAAGAATTTCCCCTCTCTTGAATAGAACTGTGTTGATGATCGTGGTCAGAAACTGGTTTAATTGTGTGGTTGATTTCCGTTAATTGGCACCTAAACATCCATGACTATCATTTTAAATGGCTATTTTTTCTTTGATGGAATTAATATTATTGCAGTAGATGTATAGCCTGAAATACCGGTAGATGGGACATGATGCACGAAGTCAAGCCTTTTTTAAATAATTTCATTTCTACCAGAATCACGACAACTGGACTAGTTGGTGGGATCGGTCAGTTTACTAGGGAACTGGTTGATTTCGAACTTCGATGCTATTCTTGTGAAATTATTTTTAATGTGTCTTTATTTATATGTATGACATTAAAAAAAATAATTCATAGGCATGCTCTTTATCTAAAATAGTTATGTCATGGATAATTAAAAATTGGATTGTCATTTAATTTTTGCATTCTTCTCTCTTTAAGACCACTTGTGATGGCAGCGTTCTACTGCTAATTCCTCTGATTGGAACCTCGTTTCTTTTAAGCATGTAAATATTTAAAAACACTGTTTATAAATATTATTGTTTTTCTTTTTGGTCAAATAGTACCTTTGGTTTTCTGTAATTTTTTGTTTGCTGCTTGTAGAATCCTCCCTCAGTTCCAACATTAGCTGCCGTAAAATTGGCAAGCTGGTCAAGGAGGTCTAAATTTATTGTCGATTGGCACAATTTTGGCTATAGTTTGCTGGCATTATCTCACGGGAGAAGGCATGTGATAGTGAGGATCTATTTCTGGTATCCTCTCGTAAACTTTAATTGCTTCGTTGGAGAAACAACGTATTCCTATAATGTTCAAACTATCTCAGCTCTTTGGCGCTCTGACAGGTTCGAGAGGTTCTTTGGGAAGATGGCCGATGGATGCTTCTGCGTCACAAAAGCCATGCAGCATGAACTGGCACAAAATTGGGGAATCAAGTGAGATCATTGCTCTGAATGAATTCCTCTTTCCTTCAATCATCTGCCAAACTTTCTGTTTAGTTATGCCATATTTCTTCTCCTCACACGACCAGGGCAACAGTTTTGTACGATCATCCTCCTGAATTTTTCCATCCAACATCTCTGGAGGAGAAGCATGAGGTGACCCAGCTGTGTTTCTTCTGTTCAGAGGTTAATTCTTCTCTCTAATTTCTGAAGCATAACCTTTGGAGCCCTGGTAGTTATTTTGTAGGTTAGAGAATGATCTCAGCCACCCAAATGGCATCCGTGATTGTGTTAGCATTGGTAATCCCGGTAGAGTTCCATGGTTCTTTAAGCTTTCATTCCCAATGCATTTTCTGAAAGGGACCCTTTATAACGTTTTAATCGTTTTTACAGGGTCTAAGGGTCCAGCTGACAGCGGTAGAGCTGTGAGACAAGAACAGACCGTCTTCACTGAGAGAGTTGGCAGTGCCATTTCCTTGAAGCCAAATAGGCCTGCTCTTGTCATCAGCAGTACAAGCTGGTGAGCTACTTTTTCTTGGGCCTTCTTCATGGATAGTATTGCTGCACCTTGTCAATCTAGGGAATTTTCACCCTCTATATATAGTATCTTTGCATTAAACATTGAGGAAAACCTGCTCATAGTCCCCTTGGGGTTTCTGAAGTGGTTGTATCTGTTGATACATGTCGGTGCCTGCATCATTTCTACCCACATGGTTGAGTAAACTCGTTGACCAAAAAAGGATCACTGGCTCTCAGATTGCTACCAAGCTATCAGTCACCTTGGGGACTCCTCTGCAACCATTCGGAGACCACCGCTATGCTTTTAGCTATGAATATAACTGGAGAAAATTATGCTTGGAAATGGATTTAATTCTTCTCAATCGTTCTTAATTCTCCTTTTGGAAAACTGTTGTTCATTATCACTCTGGATTTGAACCGGCAAAGTTTTCACTAGACAGACAGTTCACCCTCACCCAACAATGCTCTCCCCAGATCGAAGAGAGAGATCTTCACGTCCATGGGTTCATTGACAAGATTGCCAACTACTATTTCTGACTACAAAACCACAGCTCCATCTGGTTTTGTTAGGAGAAAACTGTTGCTAATCCGTGTTTCATGTGGTTTCCGGGTTTCCAGGACCCCAGATGAAGACTTCAGCATACTTCTGGAAGCAGCGATCATGTATGATAGGCGTGTTTCCGCAGCTTTAAATGAGTCTGACGCAGCTGAAGACAGCCACTTTTGGAATGGTATGCACGATGGGAGCAGATTCTTGTATCCGAGGGTTCTCTTCATCATCACTGGTAAACTCTGGTTCTCTGCCCTTTTTAGACTCTGCTGACCATGGTTAGGTCATCTAACCCAATCTCTTGCTTGAAGGAAAAGGGCCCGAGAGAGAAAAATATGAGGGACAGATAAGGAAACTGAGACTGAGGCGCGTTGCATTTCGTACGATGTGGCTGTCAGCTGAGGACTATCCACTATTATTGGGTATTTTTTATTTATTTATTTTCAAAACTCTCTGTACATGATTTAAAAGAAGTCAACGTTTTTCCTCCAACTTGCTCCTTCCAACGATCTTGATTCTGCAGGATCTGCTGATCTTGGCGTGTCTCTCCACACTTCCTCATCTGGTTTAGACCTTCCCATGAAGGTAAACTATTTGACCTGCTCAAATTATCTGAGGCCGAAGTAGCAGGCTTTGACCTGGTCAAACTATTTGACCTCAGGTTGTGGACATGTTTGGGTGCGGGCTGCCCGTCTGCGCTGCCGCATTCTCTTGGTAATTTCATATTCTCCCCAATATATTAAATTTCCGGCGGCTGTTGTTCTTAGTTTCAAATCATTTTTTTTTTTAATATCTGAATCAACATGGAAGCATCGAAGAGCTCGTGAAAGTGGAGGAAAATGGGCTCCTTTTTTCATCCTCATCCGAACTCGCCGATGAACTCCTGGTAAGCACGCCCGGATTTATACTATCTTTCCTGGTCAACCATTCTAAATCAGGTAAATTCATGAGGTCTCAGTCGTCCACTGGTTGAAATACTGCCTCAATTTTATTTTATTTTTTTAAAAAAATATTGGGAAGGTAGATATGAGCAACCAATTCCTCTCTACCTTCCACGATTCTGCAGTCTCGCCTTCTGCCCATTCCCTTACTTGGCATTGTGTTTCCGTATACCATATTTATGGCAGCTTCATCAAAGGTTGGCCTTGCCAGATTGGTCTGGCGATAGTGAGCATTCATTCTCTCTCTAGGGCTTATGAAGGGTTGACCTGATGATGCAGCTGCTCCTCGAGGGCTTCCCGGACAGATGTGACTATCTGAGCTCGCTAAGAGCGGGGGCCATGGCGACCGGGTCCTCCTCACGGTGGTGGTCTTCCTGGGAGAAGCATGCTCTACCGCTTCTAAATAAGGTAAGTCCTGCCTCCGTTCTCTCTCACACAAACCCTAATAAAAGTCAACGCAAGCATGATTTCCGTTTTTTTTTCCTGACCTAATTGGTCTCTGGATTGGGGGGGTGATTGATAGGTCGTATGGGGAGTCGGCCGTTGACGTCCACAGAAGTCGACGGTGTCGATTCTTCTCCATTTGGACGGCGTTCTCTGTTCTGACCGGAGTTCCAAGAGTCACGGGTGCTCGGAATTTTCCCACATTTTCTAATTATCTCACTTATTTTCGCCTGCCCGCGGGGGAATCTTTTTTAATGTGACTCAGGAAGATACCCCTCATTTCATAAATATATGTACAAATAATCGTATCAATTTTCAAATTATTTATATATATAGAGAGAGGATTTTTCATTAGTGTTTATTATTTTTTGGAGGGTCCGATGATGGAAAATGGGTCAAGAGATAGTGCGAAATTAATATCTTATTGAATAAATAAAGATAAATCTGGATTGAAAATAGATGTGTCAGTCAACATTACTAAGGTATTTTTGGAAGTCTCCACGTGGACGGCAGCAATTGACCGGTCTAGCTGGCTGCCAACTGCCCCACGGTCAAATCATCTGACAGACTTTTCTATTGTTTTTCACCGTCCCCCCCCCATCGTGCGCGCCTCCTCACGTTTGCCTTTTGTCTTCTTCTGGGGGTGAGTTTTCCGTAGGTGGGTCCCACAATGAACGAGGTCAACGGTGCTCTGCCATGACGTTATTAAGAATTGTGCCCCCCCGCCCTCGGGATAACAGTTATTCGCGAGTGAAGTTAACCGCTGCCTCCGTCAATGCCCTTCCTTTATCTGCGCTGACAGGATCGGATGGGGTTATTGGTTTCAGGTATTTTATAAAAATTTATACCAAATTATGACTTTTAAATGTGAGCAAAAAGCATGCCCCAGAGTACATAACGAGAGAGAGTTTTTTTCCCGTCTGGTTATCTGAATCTCCGCCGTTTCGTGGGTGGTGACGCCGCCGGGCTGTTGGGCTCCCTGGGCAATCGAGAGGTGTCCGGAAAATGTTCCTCCATCAGCCGCCGGCACACCTCTACCTCCTCCTGTGCCGGCGCCTCAATCCGGTCAGAGTCAGCACTGATGAGGATACACAGGTCAACTCACTAAATATCGGAAGTCAACCACCTTGTTGACCACCTCGTAGAGCCGCGACAGCCCCTCTTCCTCCGCCGGCGCCCCACCGGTGAAGAGCACGGCGGCCGCCGCAATGGCCGACGGCCGTTGACCAATGAACTGCGCCACTGCCGAACAAACAACAGATACAGCACAAGAATAAAGCAGAGAACACGAACTGTAGATTCTAGCGGCGCCGCCTACCGCGCTGGGTGGCGAGTATAACGTCGGAGGCGGGGCCGGCGCCGGTGCCGCCGGAGGAGAGAATACCGGAGAAGAATCCCACAAAGTCGAAGGGAGTGACTGGGCGCATGCGCCACCGGAGGGCCGTCATTAGGAGGAGCTCCATCCTCCTCACGACGGCGGAGTCGAAGACGAACTGGGGCCCCGCCATTTGCAACTCCTCCGGCGGCGGCGCCGCCGTCTCCTCCATCTTCGCCGCCACCGACAGGCAGGCCACCGCGACCAGCCGCCACGTCCAGCTCACCCCCATCTGTGCGCATGTAGTTAAGGCAAAATAATTCCCTCCCATGAACATTGCATGAACCAAAAAGAGGAACGAGAATCTGGATCAAACCCCAAAAGAGGTTACTTAATTAGATAATTGATTGATTGATTGACTGATTGATGATAATCTAAGGCTGTGAATTTCCTCCCCGAAAGAAAGTGGGCTCACCGGCCGGAGCTGTGAGGATACGAACCGGTCGAGGTAGTTGACTGAGAGGAAGGCGGTCGTCGGCGGGAAGCCGTGGACTGCGTTCACCTGGTCGGTGGAGGTCAACGGGGGGATCAAGAAGGATAAAGTCAACGGGCTCCGTGATTGCGGGGGAATGGGTGGGGAGAAAGGGAGTGTTGCCTTGAAGATCCAGTCAACGGCATCGAGGCGGGCGGCGGCGTCGAGGGAGCCGCCATCGAGGAAGCGGTCGGAGTATCCGGGCTCCGGCAAGTGGGAGGCCTCCGCCGCCAGAATGTCGGAGATGGGGCGGTGGGAGTCGTCGGCGACGGCAGCCGGCGGGGGAGGCGGCGGCGGAGCGGCGGCGCCGCCGTCGGTGGCGTCTTCCCAGGAGGACTCCAAGTCGTCGGCGCTCTCGCCGCAGTGAAGGGAAGGAACAAGGGGATGACGTGGCTGCATTGTGGGCCGCCTCTGATGGGAACCCAGGTCAAAGACGAAGCGGCGGCGTCGGCGGCGGCGACGGCGACGGCGGCGGCGACGGCGGAGACATCTGGCGGTGGAGGAGGGGGATTTTCCCGGCAGCGTGGGCTTTTGAAGGCGGAGGAGGGTTGGAGAAAGGAGACGACCGTTCCGAAGAGACGTGTCGCTTGCTGCAGTTGGTGGTATTTTCCTCAAAGCCTCATTATTCCAGTCAATAATAAATATGGACACTTATTCCTCCTAATTGTTAATGTGTGCCCTTCTTGAGAGACCACCTCTTTGATAATATATATTTTTTGTAATCACCTTTGATTAAATTAAATCATTGCCCACACCCATTTTTGCCTTCCAACCCAACTTTTAGAGGGAAGAAAGCCGACACAAGCCAGTGATGAGGGGGTGCATGCACTTACGCGCCTCTTCAGGGAAGGGTCGGGGAGAAAATATGAGACATTCAAGGGATTTTATTTAATTATAATTGGGTTTATTCTCCTACGCATTTTTCTTGAAAAAAATAAAATATCCCAATTAAGATCGCACATGTCATCAATTCATATCCTCATAACTAACCTTCTAACCTCCCATCCCTGATAATAAAAAATTCAATGCTTCAATCTACTTGTTCTCGGCGTCTAGAAACCCAAGTCTACAAGGTGAAGTCAACCAACATCTCTCGTGACTTGTACAAGAAAGTGGCGTATGATGGCTTGATTGTAAGAGAGTTGACCTTTGGAAATTACCCAAGAAAATACTTCCCTCTTTGTCCCCTCCACCTGCTAGTAAGCTTGCCACAAATGGATACTTCTAGTATTATGAGTTAGCCAAACATTTTTGTTAAGTGTGATTGTGTGACTCTCCTCCTCCCCCCTCCCCCCCCCTCTCTCTCTCTCTCTCTCTCTCTCTCTCTCTTAAGTTATGTAAAATATCTTATTTTTAAAAATAAGATTTCATGGGCACATTATAAAAGAGAACATATGTTATTTAAGACACAACGGAAAGCAATCGATGATGGTCTTTGACCATAGAAGCAAGCAAATAAAGCCTAAGTTACATCCATTGACTGGTAGTTGCAATGAACAAATTACTGCCTTTCACCTTTACTTTCACTTGACCTGATCCCAACAAATCAGGGATTGCTGAAAGTCACATCAGTTGGCATGTTAGAAAGCAAGGGAAATAAGGAGTCTTTAAGCTCAATTTATTCCATTTTTAGGCATAAAAAAATGTTATACAATTCCCATCACTCGATTTTATGATTTTAATTTTTTTTAAAAAATATTCCTATAGTTGAGCACATCAAAAACCCATTTTACCCTTAAAATTCATTCCACGATTGAACTCGTTGAAGTCAACATGCATGTAGTTGACCTTCCTAAAAGCTAATGCACCATGCAAGCCACAAAGGAAGTCTCAAGGGGTTGTAACATCAATCTTAAAGCATTGATTGATCATATCTACTTGGAATTGCATGGATAATAACCTTCTAGAATAATGAGAGCAATTATAAAATCAATGAGTCTATGGATGTATATATATATATAGAGATATATATATATGATTACTTTATGGATCACGAGCGATGATTTCTATCCCTATCAAACATGAAAGACTTAGTCTATTCTTCCTATTGAATTAGGCAAAAATTTCCTTGTCTACCACTATAGATGATAACTTTATTGATGATGATGATCACATCCTGCTACATGCCAGTCAATTAATGACATCCAAGCCCTTCTTAGTATGAACTCAATATATGCATTATTTTCGAAGAAAATATATCTTTCTTGTAGTGGGATGTGATGATGATCATAATCAATACAGTAAAATTAATCTATTGATGTCATTAATTTTTTTTGTAGGTAACTTCTCAAAATACCTATTAGTAGCGTATAGAGGGACTTGGGGTTAATACCCCTCCCCTCCACTAGTCCAATTTGACCAATTCCATCTTCAAAGGCAGTAGACGTTGGGCCTCAGCCAGATTTCCCTACCTTTACCTCTTACAAAAAGAGGCTTCCAAAAGAAAAGCTTACTCGGTTGGCCTCAACACCATCCGGACCGGGCCTGACACATGGAAATGCCCGGCCCGGCCCGTTGACGTTGCATCATTGTCGTTTTCCCATCGTTGACTGGCACTTTCGGCGCTGACTTCTGTGCTCGCCACAGTGAGGAAGAGATCTTTGTCCTTTCCCAAGATCCAAGATCGGCCACCGGGTTCTCCGGATCAGCCGCCGTCCACACGGTGGACCATCAGAGGGCTCACCAGATCACATCGATCGCGCTCGACAACAGCTGGGGGAGGCTTCTTATTCTAACCAGTGTAGTACGGCACGCGAGCATCTTTCTCGAGAATCCCAGAGAATCAGGCCCATCCGATGTCTATTTGACGGCAGAGATGGAATAAGAAAGGATGTACAGGTGCGGTGCTCCAAGCCCATCAAAGGGTCACATCGATCCTACACATGTTTGAGATATTTACAACGAAGAAAGAAGCCACAGGTACCGATACGTCTAGAGAGAGAGAGAGAGAGAGAGAGGAAGACAGAGGGGGAACAGCTAGATCGAGAGAGGGCCGCAAGGTTACGTTATACTTTTACAGGAGGAAGATCATAGAGAGAGAAAGAGAGAGAAAGAGAGAGAGAGAGAGAGAGAGAGAGAGAGAGAGAGAGAGAGAGAGAGAGAGAGAGAGAGAGAGAGAGAGAGAGAGAGATGGGGTAGGATGGCCTCACTATGTCAGCACTGGGAAGCCCTCGGAATGCATGGCTGAGAATCTGTCAATTGCAGAGGGTCTTGAGTCTCTTCGCCGCCTGGATGAATCCCGGGATGACCTGCAGCTCATCCAATTGCTTTTCCAAGTAAAGCAGTTGGTTTTATGCACATCACAACCAGTCAATCCAGCGCCCATTTCGTCCATAGATAGATAGGTAGAAAGATAGAAACGTTTAGAGAGAGAGAGAGAGAGAGAGAGAGAGAGAGAGAGAGAGAGAGAGAGACCTGTGACATGAAGTGCCTCTGAACCGCGTCAATCAACTGCTCCTTCGAAGGGTTAGGATCGGCACCCACCTGGGAAAACAGCAATCACACTCTCACAATCTTCCGACTGAACTTGTGATTTAGATAATTTAAATTCACGAGAACTTTGTTAAACAAGGGCAAGGATTGAATGATTCAAGAGGCACCCACCAAGTTGAAATGCCTCAAATATCTCCACAAGGCTGTTGTTTCTAGCTTGCTCAGGTCCACTTTCTGTAACATCCACCCGAAAAAAAAAAACCATATAAATAATCAAATTAAAAATCAGATATTAGATGGAAATCCATCGCTCCTGTCCGCAAGTTGATTTTTTTATACGTAATCCTGTGAAGAGATGCTTTGCTATGATTTTCTTCAGTTGAGAACAAGAAGCAAGATGATATTCAGAAGAAGATCAAATCGTCAGGTAAGAAGTATTCCTCACCGTAGCAGGGTTAACCGGCGAAGTGGGGCTCTTGGACGGTGAATCAGAGGGGCGAGACTGGTTGAGGATCCTGTTAGCTAATCCAACGGTCCTGTGAGATCTGTGTCTCAGTCTGTGGGGCTTCTGTGGGTCATCCGATGCTGCAGGGAGTACAAACAGGGAGAGGAATGTCGTAAAATGACTTGCAGATACATCTGCGATCTAGAAAATAAAATCTACTTCCATCTTCTCTCTGAGACCGCGAGAGAATTTATGCATAAACAAGGAAAATTCCTTTTGCATGGCTTAGTTCTGAAGGCAGGAACCCACAATTAGATATTCATTTTGAATCATTGCCATTACTAGTAAAGATCAGAGAATCATCCCAGATATCTTCCCTACTTCACCCGTGCAAGAGATTCTGTAAGCCACAGCTTACACAAGAAATCAAGAGAGCACTGAGAGAAATAAATCGAAGCTATCCGGTGGACTAACCCACGTCGGAGCCATTCCACAGCATGTTTTCATAGTCATTCTCGTTGTCCTCCTCATGACCAGTTGGGGCTTCAATGACACTGAGTGCATTCCTTTGCAGCTTCACCTCAATACCATTGGCCAGAACCTGCACATTCAGAAAGCCCAGATCCAAAACCTTCATAAACGTTGGCATTAAATTCTACCTAACGGTTGAATTCTACAAGCAGGATAGTTAGAAAAGAAAGCTCCACGATTTAAAGAGGAAAGCTTAAAAGAGGCCATCTAATGAATGATTCACATAGAAAGTCCCTAAGAACAGAAGGTAAAGAATCTGGAAGACGAGAACCCAAATAGAGATATCTGAAAGCACACAAGTCGAGATGAGATATGACGCGGTAAATTATGCACAAGGTGGTCGAAGAGCGAAAAATTCCATCCTTATTCAACCGACATTGTCATTGAAGAGGGAGAAGTAATGGCGGGGAAACATTCCCCTGGAAAGAGAAGGGCTTGTTAGGTAAAAGCTAAGCCACTTGTAGAAAAATTTCCAATGATTCAAACAGCAAGAGCTCAAGAATACCAACAGCCAGCTGCTGATACAAAAAATTCACTGCACTCAGTGGCTCGCAGGCTGAAACCTGGATGGTGAAGAGATGCAAACAGGAGAACAAGAGAGCAGAACATGCATCTGGTAGCGATCTGTGGAAGGAAATTTGCATGATATAACAATAACAATAACATTTACGGACGCATGATATATATATAAAAATTTACGAAATTTGCATGTGGAAGGAAAAAAAAAAGAAGGGAAGAAAATGTAAGCAATGGTTTAGCAAGGACTGTTGAGAAAGAGATCAGCACCCAATAAAACAAAACAGAAGTGAATCACTTTTACGAAATCAACTGCAGAACTTTACCAAGATACAAGCAGAACAGTGGCAACAGACCAGGAAATAGAATAATAATAAAAATTCCTCATGTCAAACTCGAAGTCAGTTGATCAAATGCCGGAATCAGATAACATGCAAAAGCAAATAGAAACCCTAAAATGCACGTACACTATGCCTAAAAAATTAGAGCCGAATTTGCCGAACGGAACTGACCGAGCGGAACCATTGATAAGAAAGAAACCTAGATAGAATCACCGCGGAATAAAGAAACCTTTGATTAAATATGAAGAAAACCCAGGCCGAAAAGCAAGTAGCGATCACTTCATTTTAGAAACAGAGTCCGTAATTATTAGCTGAATCTAACGAAAATTAACCGTTTTCAAAACTGATCGCCAAGGAAAAATTATCGGTAAGCCACCAATGAATATCACTACAAAATGCGAAATTCAATGACTCTGAAATGAAATTAAACCCAAATGCTTCTCAATCCATAGCCAGAAAAGCGCCAAGATCAAGAGACAACCACAGTATCACGCCCAGAAACTTTGAAATGCTAATTAAAGCCCCCTTGATCAGCTAAGGAGGATACAAAATTACAATCAGGAGCGCCGCATTATCCGTTCAGGATCAGAATTCTCTCAGAAATTACCAGCCAATGCCAGCCTCCAAGCCCCACGGCCTTCTTGACGACGCCCTCCAGGCCAACCAGCACCGACTTGGTCCTGTTATTCCCCGTCACCACCACCTTTGTGTGCCTGGGGAGTACCGCAAGCTCCTCCTCACTGCTCTCTCCCCAGCTGTGCACCTGCACGCACCCGGCAGTGACGGGGCTCTCCATAGCTTCCAGCATTTCCCGCCCTCTACACCCTTCTCCCAGAATCCAACCGGAAAAAAATCGCAGAAACCAGAGGAATTAAAACCCAGATCGGATGGATTCAGATCAAGCAATGTGCCATCCAAATTTCCGATTCATTGATGCAGGAAAAATAGACAAATAATTAGGAGAATTGAGACTTTCTAGGCTGGGGAAGAAGCACACATGCAGAAGAGAGAGAAAGAGAGAGAGCGCGAGAGAGAGAGAGAGGAGTGTGACCGTTTCGGTTTTATCTTGTAATGAATCCTGGAGTCTTCTAGACACCGAATGGCAGAGTGACACGTCCACAGTTCTTCCCTTCCGTTCGCCCTGCCCCTGTAAACGACGGCATTGGGTCACGTCCCGATCCCTAAATGACATTAATACCCTCCATTTTCATTAAAGTATCATAATATTTAAACCTTGTCGGTTTGTGTGAGACTGCAGGGGTGGGGGGGGCCCGGCCCGAACTGGAGAAATACGAAGAAAATGGGCTTGCCTTCGGGCTCTAATCAGCACATTATTTTATTGATATTATTTTTAGAAAATAAATAATGCTACGTTTATTTTTATATGGAGTAATTTCTTGATTATGATGAAAAAAAGTTATCGTGAAAAAATGGGGTAAAGATGGTAGCTAAGATCAGACGATGCAGATCCAACGTGCTACTTCGAGATCCGACTTGATGGACGGTTGTGATCTGATCGAAAGGAGTAGTCCCTCTCAACCAGGTGTGGACCTCTTTTTGGTTCGGTCCAATCGGGATCTCCATGAGATCGTATTCAGTGGCAATGTCGATATTTCAGTATCTAAGTTTGGATATAACGGGGAGAGAAAATATACCGCCGTCAGCTGACGGTGCAAGGCCAATCCGACGGTTTTCCGGGGAAGGAACATGGATCCGACGGTTTCCGGTGGCAGGTAAGGTTATCCGCCAGTTCCATTGTCTCTAAAAATATCTATCATCTTCCGACTAGAAAATCCTAGCCGTTGGCTTGCGGGGGAAGGGGGCGCCGCCAAGCAGAACGGCGGGAAAGGGAAACTTTCCCTTCTTTTCCACTGAAAGTTACTACCAACATAAATATCGATACATATGCCCCGGTCTAAATCTAAATATGCTCTCTTTGAGGGTTGTTTAGTAATTACTGAATTATACACAGTAAACGCAAATGATGACGTTATTCTGTGACGTGTACACCACTAGCCAGCCTGTCAGCCGCCTCGGGAGAGGTCAATGCGGCGAATCGGCCGAGTCGGACTCGCCACTCACCTTCCCTCCTCCCCGCTTCTGGCCCCTATCTGCTTCACCAATAGCTCTGAGAGGCACCGCTACCACCTTCCTCCTCCCTCCTCTCTCTCTGTCTCTCTCCAGTCAATAAACCAGAAAAAGCTCTCTGTACCCCCTGTCAACACCTAAAAAAACCAGAAGAAGACCTCTCTCTCTCTCTCTCTCTCTCTGCCAGATCTCCATTCTTCTGTTTTCCTTGAACACCCTCCATTCTCTCTCTCTCTCTCTAGGATGATGGCTGATGAGTTTTTTTTTATAAATATTTTCACGAAGAAATATCTAATACTAGTGAAAGGATCGGTCTCGGAGGGGGTGTCAAAGGGCCGGGGCCAGTGTAGATCAGACTAGACACAAATGGGCCTCGGCCCAGACCCATTTCGACCCTCCGCACTTGTCTGGAATTCCTTAGAGAGAGAGGGGGAGAGAGAGAGAGAGAGAGAGAGAGAGAGAGAGAGAGGGAAGGAGGGGGCAAGCCTAAGATGTACGAGAAAATGCGTCAAAGAAGAAGAAGAAGCTATCCGACTGGGGCAAAATCATGACTTGAAGAAGGCGACCCATCTGTGACAAATTACAACCCATCTCTAGCGAGAGAATGGGCCAATCTCTCTCTCTAAAAAATCCCCACCTGGTGGGACTGGGGTGGGGTCAGTTGGCCTTGGACTGGTCGGACGGCTTGTCTGGCTTGGGAAGGTTGTAGAGCATCAGGCCCAGCACAAGCACTCCCGTACCCACCATGAAGAACCCGTCTAAGTCTGCTCCCCGAGGGATATACGGCAGAGGGAGGGACAGAACATAAATGGCGATCGGAACTGCAAAGAAGGTAGAGCCTGTCAGTCCATTGACACATCGATGCATGAGAGAGAGAGAGAGAGAGAGAGGGCGGGGAGGCACCTGACAGGGTGGCTGCGAGAGAGGAGACTAGGGCGGATGATATCTTCACCAGGCTGAGGAGCGATATGTTGAAGGTAATGTTCACCAGCATGTAAAGGAGGGGCAACAGTGGGGCTCCTTCACAGCCTGCGATAGTTCAACATAGATATGAACAAAGACGCAGAATAATTTCTTCCATTGAAGAGAAAGAAAGCAAAATCCTTCAAATATATATATATATATATATAATACTTAATATATAATATACATATATCATTTTTTTAATTAAAAATACGATTTAAATTCATGTAAATGATGATATAAACACAGTATGGAAATCAATGCGGAATGTGATGTAATATTCCTTAAAAAATCGCCACCCTCTGAACTAGCTAGATTTTCTCGATTAGGCTAAAGAAATTAAAAGCTGCCATGAAGAAAACTTGCCCGTTGCAGTGCCGAGGTTAAGAAAGCACCCAGCGCCACTCCTCAGGTATGCAGGGAGCTCGGCAAAGGGAATTCCCTTTAGATTTGACAGGAAAGGAAGAAGCAGGAGAACAAAAAGAGCCTGCAGAATCAAGAAAAATGGATTAACTAAGTTGAAGGTTTATTTAAACAGTAATTTAATAACTAATAGAAGAAGAAGAAGAAGAGGAGGAAGTGAACATTGAAGATCCAATATATCAGAAAACCAGATGGATACTGTTTTCTAAGAGTAGTAGGGTCACCTGAAACCCAGATCCGAAGGAGTTGACGACAAATATGTCAAGCTGCTTCCCCTGAAGATGATCGGTGAATAATAATCAAGATCAGCATAGTTTGAAGATGAAATACAACCAGAGTTTTCCAAAAAAACAGATAAAATGAATGATACCTGAAGACGCTTTCCAGCATCAATGAAGATAAACTCCTGTGGATTTGTAAAGGTCAAAGGCAGTGGCTTAGAGTTCATTTCTTTCATCATCTGCGTCGATTTACCAGAAAAAAATAAGAGCACGGGGTGATAACCTTGATAATTGAAGCGGCAGCTTGAAATGCAGTTGAAGCTATCATTAAAGCTGGCCAAAAAAACTCTGCTTCGGAGAGGAGTTGACCATCAGACAACCCGCTGTATCAAACACAACATGGAAGAAAAAAAAAGGGAGTTGGCATCAAATGTGATTATTGAAGAGAGCCCAGTGTTAGTCCTGAGAAGGTTGACTATCCCCGAAATGGGCATGGGGAAGGTTGACGAATTCAAACATAGACCAGTAAATAACCGAAATCAAAAGGTTCTAGAAAATACCCTGACATGGCTACAATCACACCGCCCGCTACCAGCAGGCACCCCAGGATTTGGTTGAATGAGTATTTTCTTCTCAAAATAACAGAAGAAAAAATAAGCTGCCACACCAAAAATGCCTGCAAAGGGAGGTACATCCTTAGCATATAGTGCAGACAAGGTATTCACTTAATCCATGATCCAAAAGAGTCAGCATTGCCATTCAAGGCGTCACTTCTAATCGGAAGAAATTAGAACCCAACCAAATGGCACTGTTATATTAATAGTATTCTCTAATCTGTTCCAAAGAAACAGAGCATTATTAACAAACTCTGCAACGTATATCTTATTTTCTGTACAAATGTCAAGGGTTGAACATTACTAAAATTTTGAACTCTCATATCATTCTATGCTTCGTTAAGTTCTAATTTTTTGGTTAATTTTTAATGCGATTTTTTCTGTTATAATTCCTGTATAGTCGTTATATGGTTCAAAGTAAATATGACTGCCAAATTATATGGCCATTCAACTCAAAGCCAATTGGAAATGATATAACTACAGTTTTTATATCAAGAAAATGAATTATTTTGTATTTTCGTTTTGAGACTATTCTAACATGTCCCTTCGTATACATGTATACTATTATGCGGACAACAAAAATGAGGTGCATGCAATCCAATAATACTCGTTATTTTTTATACCATGTTAAAGTATTCCACCGTCAAGCTAAACAAATGATTGAAAAGTGGAGTATCCCTGACTGCATAACGGCAGAATTTTGTTGTCTTTCTAGTATTATACTATTTCAACAAAGATCATCACTTGTTTGAAACATATGGAAAGATATAACATTGTTCACATAAAACAGCACGTAACAAAATACTTCTATGCCATCCAGCTTGATGAACCTATATAATGATATCAATAGAACTAACAACTTTTTCTGTTGGATAACTGAATCATTGGAAATCCTATCAAAACCATCATGGTCGGATATCTTAATCCTTGGAAATTCTATCAAAATCCTTGGATATCTCCCTTTCCCTAAGGTCAATATTTTTCTATTTGTATAAATATTTTGGAGTTGATCATAGCATGTGGCCACTTGATTAATTCTTGAACAACTGTGATACAGAAACTAAGAAGCTGGGCTTTACCGCTGTCAGTTAAAACTAAGTTCTACAACCGTTAATGTCTTTCCTGGAAGTAATTAGACAAACTTACCTGAGTTAATATGGGTATTGATGGTCCTGGAAGCATAGCTGTAGAAGAAATTTAGTAATTAGCCAAAAGTAAAAAAGAAATAAGTGTTACACCTCCTAGAAGACTTTTTGCTCGTCTTCACACTAGGTTTCTTACATGGGTGGCTGAATAATATGTGCATAAAAAAAATTTCTTAGTCGAAACGAACCTAAGATGGCATCAGACTCCAATAGTAAATGTTTTTCAGATATTTCGTAAATATCCAACGAGTCACATAAATCGATAGGGGAATGCTACTAAATAACTTATCGCCACACAGGAAAAGCGAATTTCATCCTCAGAATAATTCACGAGGCATGGTTTTCAATGGTGGTACTCCTTGGATACTTGCACCCTGGATATATTTGCCTCTGATACGCAACAAAGTTGAGAAGCTCAGAAGGTGGCTGTCAGTTTCGAATATCAGCAACCCTCCCCCAACAAAAAAAAGAATGAAAAAGAACACTTATCTATATAGGATCATGGTACAACATATATATTCTATAGAGTGTCTTTTTCATCCCTGTAATCGTCACAATTCAGGTAAAATACCTCCAGCAGCCATCCCAACTGCAACTCCGAGGGCTTCTAGAATACCAATAGCTACAAAAGGAGACTTCGGCAGCGCAAGCATTTCTTTGGTTACAATTCCAGACTGATAACGAACATATAGAATTGACAGGTATACAGCCACATACCTGCCCAAGAAACATGTGAGTTGACTCAGTGATGAGTATGAACATCTGATGCAATGAATTCCACATGATACTGGACTATGACAGTTGTTAAGGATAAAGGTAATTAAGTGTCAAAATGGATAAAATTATAAAATAATGACATAGAGATATTACTTGGCACGAAAGAAAATCGTTCGTGTTGGGGAAAGTATACGCATGAACTAAGATTCCAAGTCCTCTTCATCGTGGAAAAAAAAAAGCATCACATAGTCTAGCTAAACAAGGGCATCTGAACTGACGTTGAACAATCAGGGTAACTATTCATCACCACAGACTTCTCGGTCATTGCCCTTCATTAAAAATAATATTAACAAGCTAAAAGAATGGAAGAACGAGTGACGGAACTTTATGCCAACCTATCAACTCCAAGAAACAAAAGCACCTGTTTACCTTGAAACCACACTCGCTGGAGTCTTGCCCACATAATACAGGATTTTTAAGGAACAAGGCCAACGCAGTTAGGCAATTTAAAGTGCGAACTTGACAAACACACCTTTTTTGAGCTGTTCTTTGGAAATGACACAAAGAGAAAGTGGGCGTTAATTACTGGATTTTCCAATATTCGTACGGTTCAAGAAAAAAATATTCCAAAAGAGGGAGAAAACTCCAAAGGAGCCCCAGTTGCGCACCTAAAAAGCCATATTTGATCAAAATGAATGAGCTCATCAACAATGGTTAGCTATTATCTCTCTTTAGGGGGAGGTTCCAAGTTACCACACAGATTTTAATAGTTGCGCACAAGGATTCGTAGGATGAGTATTCTGAGGAGCTTCACTTATACAGACAAGTATCCTATTGTCGGTATACAGAGAAGGGAGATGCAAATCCCCTTTCAGCTTCGAATCAGTAGATTAAAGAAGGTTTATACTAACACGGATTTGATATATTAACCACTTAATCACGGAGTCCGAGACAGAAATGCCTACTCTTCATCAAGAACCATCATCAACAGCAGCTATTCCTAATACACACAGAACACTTGCCGGGAAAAAACGGTAAAACTTACCCGAATGTCGTCATCTGAGCCAAGAAGAAGGGGAATTCCCTCATGGGAGTCAGGGCGAGTTTGTACAGAACACGGTTGGCAACCGCCAGAACAACCGTGATCGCAGACCCCGCCACGATTCTCATGTCCACACCGCCACTCTTGGAGGTCCCGGGGGACTCCATTCCTGAGGCCTGGGGCTGGAGGACGGGAGATTTTTTCAAATCTCTCCGCCTGAAACCTCCAACTCCCCAGGGAATTCCACAGTTTCGACCGAATTTGCTGGCATCCAAAGAAAAAGAGGGTGGAAGCCTTGGCTTCGGAGGCACCACCAGCGGCGCAGCGACAGCTGACAAGAATTTGATCCTCGAAGTGCTGCTGAATCGAAGGGTAGTATGTAGAGCTGAAGAAGAAGAAGAAATTTCCATGAAGCTAGATGAAGGCGGTCTCTTCTCCTTGCCCACTCTGAATCCAGAGTTCGTTTTCAGGAGAAGAACCTACGGTACTCCGCGGTGAGGATACGACGTGGTACCGACAAACTTCCCACGTGCGATTAAGTCTGTTAGTCAGGCGGCTGAGACTTCGCGATCTTTTGCACGTGTGACTGCGGCTGATAGTACCAGTTCTGCCGCCAGATCTCGAGGTATTCTTCTGGCCCTCTCTCTCTCTCTCTCTCTAAATCTCTGATTATCTTCTCGCCTCCGCTCGTCGGATCTCTGCTTCGCTGCCACGGAAGGTATGAATTCGCTAATTCCTGCTTGTATTTTGGCCTTGTTCTTTGTTTTCTCCGGGTGCTGCATAGGCAAATTATCGGCCTATAGATGGGACGGCTGTCTGGGGCCTCTAGAACATCACGAAGCATCTGTTCTTCGCAGAATTTCGTGTTCAATCTTTGTTTTAGGTGTTCAGTTCGTGTGTTTACGGCTTTTGGTGATTTTCTCGCTTTCCACTGCAATGTATTATCTGAATATGTCGATCGGAATCTGTGGTGATCTGTCCGTGGAAATTTATGAGAGGTTGTGCTCAAAGTATCCTAGAACGTCAGGAAGCATTTGTTCTTCGTAGAATTTTTTTGTTCAATCCTTTTTTAGGCGTTCAGTCCGTGTGTTTAGTGATTTTCTCGCGCTCCACTGCACTGTATTGTCTGAATATGTCGATCAGAATCTGCGCTGATCCGTCTGTGGAAATTTTTGAGAGGTTGTGCTCAGGGTATCTTAGAATCTTGTGGCTCGCCGCCGATGCCCTTCGTCGTCTTCTCTTAAACAAATTCGTATTTGAGCCAGCCACAGAGTTCGACTCTCTTTCTTTTTTTTGTTCCCTGTTTCTTGCTGTGACAGAGAATTCGATGATTCATAAGAAAATCCGAGCATACTGGAGACAACCTGTGGATCTTCATTAGTTGACAAAAAATCTTCCAATAGGAGATAGAAAACTATGGTCTCCTCTCCCGACTCGTCTAATCTTTGTTGTTATCTCTCTTTTATGCGTGAAAATTAAGCAGTTCTATCCTGTTATGCATTTGCATCTCTTCCTTTCTTAATGAAAAAAAGATACAAATCATGGCCTGTTATTTATTCTGATTCAGAAGAAATCTTTTGGAGTGAAACCTATAGAACAATGTATCAAAAATAATCTTTACAATTTTCTGCGCTCAATTCTTTTTAATAATAAATGCTCTTAATCTGATAAACAATTCCATCTTCATAACCACGCTGCATGTTAAATAAGGTGTTCACTTTCATAATGCTGTAAGATCAAAAACTTATTTGATGATATATTCACACTTATTAATTCGTTTAAGGCTCTCTGATTACTAGCTTCTGTTGTTATAATTATCCTCAGCCGACTGAAGCTTCCTTTTCAACTCTTCCTGGTTTAATGAAGTCCGATATACCCCCAGGATAAACAACCTGACTCTTCATTTAAAGATTCTAGATAATTGCTGCAGTGTTTCCATCTCGTCATGGGGCTGGTGGCCTTTGAAGATTTTCATTGGATGGCCTTCATGATGACAGGAGCAACTGTACCCTGAATTGTCCTTCATTTGGATTCGATTAATGTGGAAAAGAAAGAGCGAAGAACCGATTTAGAACTGTCCTTCATATGGGTTGTTCGATTAATGTGGAAAAGAAAGAGGGAAGAACTGATCTAGAACTGTCCTTCATGTGGGTTGTTCGATTAATGTGGAAAAGAAAGAAGGAAGAACTGATCTAGAACTGTCCTTCATGTGGGTTGTTCGATTAATGTGGAAAATAAAAAGGGAAGAACTGATCTAGAACTGTCCTTCATGATCCCAAGGAAAAAATTAGTTGAAAGTTCCCCATTGGGAATTTGTCCTGCCTGTATTTGTCAGCTGGTTAAGAAAATGTCGTCATAATGGGCTTTTCCTTGTAAATTTAATATATAAAAAAAATCCGATAAAGGCAAAAATGGCCCGCATCCTTTCTTCTCTGGAGATTAATTTCTTCTGTTGTTCTGTTTATAGATCCTTGAGAACCAGGCTGCTCAACCTAAAGCATCACATTTTCTGACGGGAATGGATAGAAATTTCGGAAGCCATTCGGGGATGCAGAAGCCACCCTCGAATCCCCAATCTAATCCATTTGGGAACGCCTTCTATGGAGGACCAGGCTCTGGACTCATTCGCGAGGGACTGAGTTCTTATGGAGGGAGATTCCTGGGATCAAGCTCAGAGTTCATGCAAAGCAACGTATGTTCATCCCCTCTTTTGTGATCCTCTGCTGTTCATTTCTTCATGAAACATAATCGATCGTCTGAGTTGGACCGTCTGATTCTGAGACAATCATCTGAAGCTACTGATAATCACCGCTCCTCGTCTCATGATGGACAGATAAGCAGCTACTTCTCCGACCCTCAATACTACTTCCAGGTCAACGGGCAGTACGTCAGGAACAAGTTGAAGATCATACTCTGCCCTTTCCTCTACAGGGTCAACCCCCCCTTCCAAATCATCATCTTTGCTAATTTCTGCGTCTGTTCTCGCATCATCTTTGCTATTTCTGCTACACACAGGGCCACTGGACCAGAATCAGCGAGCCAATGGGGGGCCGGATCTCCTACAAGCCCCCAATCTCCGACGTCAACGCCCCCGACCTCTACATCCCCCTCATGTCCTTCGGCACCTACCTCGTCCTCGCCGGATTCTCCCTCGGGCTCTGCGGAAAGTAGGATAAATCTCCTCCATCCAGAAATAGCAAAAAATCATCATCAGAACCGGCAGAGTCTCCTCTCTGATCCGATCGATCTTAAACAGGTTCAGCCCCGACGCGCTGACTCTGCAGTTCTCCAAGGGCCTGATCGGGTGGCTGCTCCAGATCCTCCTCCTGAAGGGGCTGATCTACTCTGCGGGCGGCGGCGGAGAGGCGGCGCTTCTGGACGTGGTGGCGTACGCCGGCTACGCCTTCGCCGGAGCGGCGATCGCCGTCGGAGCGAGGATCTTCTCCCGCCATGCCTTCTACCTCGTGCTCCCGTTCGCCGGCCTGTGCGGCGGCGTGTTCCTGGTGAAGACGATGAAGAGGATCGTCTTCAGCGGGGGGAGGAGCTACGATCATGGCGGCAGGCTCAACTACCTCCTCCTCTCCCTGGTCGCCGCTCAATTCCCCCTCCTCCTCTGGCTCGGAAACGTCTGCAGATGAGCTCTCTCTGTGCTCTGCTCTGTGTGCGTGGTTCGAGGAAGAAGAAGAAGAAGGAATCTGATTTCCCTGAGGGAGGACTCCATTTGGCGGAATCGATTCACGTGGATATCCATTTCCCGCTTCTTTTTAATTGCTTCGGTGGGCTGAGCTTGGTCGGTCTGAGAGAGATGGAAGAGAGATCGGGGAAGGTTGAAAAATATATATATATAGAGAGAGAGAGAGAGAGAGAGAGAGTAAATGACGTGGCCCTTAGCACGTGTTTAACGTGGCATGGGATTAATAGGGCTGACTGACAGGTGGAGACAGAACAAATTCCCTATGAAAAATATTGCCAATTTTTTTTCGAAGAAAACGACTAACTTATAATTAATTAAACTAATAAGAATTGTCGAAGAGAGAGAGAGGGACAACTAGGCTTTTTTGGCTGACCACGTGTGGCGGCAACGTTACCGGTGAGCTACATTGGCTCAGTCAACGCTGAGGACTTTCCCTCCTTTTTTGTGCCGCCAAGGTGAGGACTAGGCGTTGACCATATAACCGTACGGTCGGATCATCGCTTTCAGGGGACTAACGGTTGGGATGCGGTGTCCCGCGAGTTAAACTTCCGACGCTTCCCTCTCAAAAGTCACTCTTCGACTCCCCCAGCCAGGGAAGTAGGAGCTAGAGCGGTTCCGAGGCACTGCAGACCGATCTTCGATGGTCTCTTTCTTCTTCTCCGGCTCTCGCGTCAGAGATGTCTGTCTTCTTTCTTCGTCCCACCCCGACCTCTCACTTTCCGCTATCTGGAAGTCTCTGAAGTTCCCTGTCCTCGAAGGTCCACCATGACTTTCCGTCGCCGGCGAAGGGATATGCTGCGGAACTTGGCAGCGATCTCGTTGACGGAGAAGAATAAGTGGCCCCCAACACTTTCCCGTCTCAATCGGCAGAATAGTATTTGCCGTCGGTCTTCTTCCTCATCGTGCCAGACCTTCCATTCCATCCCCCTGCTCTGTTATCCTTGGGGGGATTTATCATCTCCAGCCCCCTTCTTTTGGCGAACGGACTGGCGAGGGAGCCATGCGCCAGGTGAAGACGCCCGCGGTCTCCAATGCGGGAGCCTGGGCTATGAATATCATCAGCTCCGTCAGCATCATCATGGCTAACAAGCAGCTCATGGCGCCCAGCGGATACGGATTCTGTTTTGGTATCATCTCTCTCTCTCTCTCTCTCTCTCTCTCTCTCTCTCTCTCTCTCTCTCTCTCTCTCTCTCTCTCTCTCTTTCTATCATCATGGCTAACAAGCAGCTCTTGGCGCCCAGCGGATACGGATTCCGTTTTGGTATCATCTCTCTCTCTCTCTCTCAATCTATCTACCTATCTATCTATCTATCTATCTCTCTCTCTCTCTCTCTCTCTAAATTCTATCTATCTATCTCTCTTTCTCTCTCTCTCAATCTATCTATCTATCTCTCTCTCTCTCTCTCTCTCTCTCTCTCTATCTATCTCTCTCTCTCTCTCTCTCTCTCTCTCTCTCTCTCTCTCTATCTATCTATCTATCTCTCCGTTAAATTGCAATCGAATTCGATCGGATGTGAATCTTACCATTCGATCTGACGAGTCCTCCGCCATTATTTTCTTCTGTGCAGCCACAACGTTGACGGGATTCCATTTCACTGTCACATCCCTCGTTGGGTGGATCTCAGCCAAGTCCGGGTACTCCACTCCCAAGCAGGTTCCCCTGTGGGAGCTCTTGCGGTTCTCCATCGCCGCCAATCTGTCAATAACCGGGATGAACTTCAGTCTGATGCTGAACTCTGTCGGCTTCTACCAGGTCCATCTCCTCTAAAAATTTTATAATCCAACCTGAAATTCACACCGCCTTTTATTCCTATCATATGGATCGATCCCTCGTGCCCGAATCGTGCAGATCTCAAAGCTGAGCATGATACCAGTCGTATGTTTTCTGGAGTGGCTTCTCCACAACAAGAATTACTCGAGACGTGTGATCATGTCCGTGTTCGTGGTAGCGTTCGGCGTGGGCATCTGTACAGTTACTGACTTAGAAGTTAATACGAGGGGGCTCCTCTGTGCTTCTGTGGCTGTACTCTCCACTTCTCTGCAGCAGATTGTGAGCATCGACATCTTGTTCCTTTCCATTTTTTAACCTCATTTCTTCAAATTTAGTATGCTCACATCATCGTCGAGATATTGCAAGATTAGCAGGACTAGCTTTCGATTGCTCAATATCGACCGCCTCTTAGAACCAGGTCTCAACCCAGATGATCCTGTCATATAAGAAGTTAATTATTATCAGTTGAATGTTATTGGACTGAATCAGTGGAACCCAAATATTTCTTGATAGCATGATGAAATCAACATGGAGGCCCTCTTTCTCCTTTATGTTTTGATCTATTTCTTCATTGTATTTTTCTGCATCAAATTCTCCGAGGATTGTGGAGATAGTGCTCAGATTTCCTCAGTAAGAAGGCATCATATGTTATATGATCAACCGAATCAGCTGAAAAATTGTGTTAGAGAAGGCACATTTTTCTGTTCTTACATGGTTTATATTCTGATAAGATCTTGGGAAGCTGGACTCCCTCTCCCATCATCAACCGCAGCAATTATTGAATTGTGGCAGGGGAAGGAGATATTATCTTCAGACTACCGAAACAGAGCTTTCTCTTCCTTTTAATCATGGGCATCTCGTGCTTATTACTGTTCTTTATCTCTCGTTCTTGATGGGCTGTAAACGTCAACTTTACTGCTGATGTTGCAGATGATCGGCTCACTGCAGAAGAAATACAGCATCGGTTCTTTTGAGCTCTTGAGCAATACTGCGCCAATCCAGGCCGCTTCACTGCTTCTGGTGGGCCCATTCGCGGACTACTTCCTGAATGGGTACCTCCTTCTAGACTACGACTTCTCATATGGGGCCATCGTGAGTCAACTCCCTACTTCTTCGCATGTTCTATTCAATCTCCTAAACCTGTCAGAAATTTTGACCCCTCCCCCCACAAACGCTGTTTATTTCTGAATTTACTACATACATATTCTGATTATTTTAAAAAATATAATCTCATGGCTCATAAAATTATAGAGAAGGCGTCATGACTCCCCAAATGCTGTTTATTTCTGAATTTAGTAAATAGCATGCACACTCAGTAAACAAAATATTGACTTTTTAGATTAGTCGTCGCGTCCCTTTAGAACTCGGATGAGTGCCTCGATTTACAAGGAGCTCGCAGAGAATTGGTCAGTTGACCAAGATTGTATTAACTTTTTATTGTCTGGTCAGACAATTAGAGTCAAAGAACATTCCCCATCCATTCCCGTTTGTATCTGGGAACTTCAACGTCCATAGATCACTTCTCACTGTTTTTTTTTATCGCGCAGCTCTTCATCCTCCTCTCCTGCACCCTAGCAGTCTTCTGCAACGCGAGCCAGTACATCTGCATCGGCCGCTTCTCCGCCGTCTCCTTCCAGGTCCTCGGCCACACGAAGACCCTCTGCGTCCTCATCCTCGGCTGGATGCTGTTCGACTCGGCCCTCACCGTCAACAACGTCTTCGGGATGATGCTTGCGGTGCTCGGGATGATCTTCTACAGCTCTTCCATGGAGGCGGAGAAGCAGGAGCAGCACAATCCACCCCTTCCCGGCGCCGAAGACGAAGAAGCTCAGCCTCTGAACGATCGTCCCGACGGCGCCGGCCAAGCGAAGGCCTGATCTCCGTCATCGGCCAAGCTCTGGTCAGTCCTCCCTCCCTGCTTCTAAGATCCCCGCACATCCTCTTCCCCGTTCCATTGATTCCCTCTCCCTTTGTTCTCAGTTCAAATCGATCGGCCTGTTCATTCTGTTCTTGGTTCGAGCAGATTCCCGTCTCATTCCAATTTCAGTATCTCAGATTCGATTTGATCTCCGTCTGCACAAAGATCTGGTCAGTCCTCCCTCCCGCTTCTAAGATCCTTGTTCATCCTCTTCCCCGTTCCATCGATTCCGTCTCCCTTCATTCTCAGTTCAAATTGGTTGGCTTGTTCATTCTGCTCTTGATTCGATCAGATTCCCCTCTCATTCCATTTTCGGTATCTCAGATTTTTAATCCGTCTTTGAGAATGCATTCTCGGAAAGTCGTAATATGTTCTCATTCCATTGATTCCGTCTTCCTTCATTCTCGGTTCAAATCAATCGCTTGTTCATTCAGTTACTGGTTCTGCCTCATTCTCCTCTCATTCCATTTTCGGCATCTCAGATTTTTAATCCGTCTATGAGAATGCATTCTCAGAAAGGCGCAATATGTTCTCATTCCTTTGATTCCGTCTTCCTTCATTCTCGGTTCAAATCAATCGCTTGTTCATTCTGTTCCTGGTAATATGGCGTAATATGTGCTCCGTGGCCCATGGAAATCTATCAGTCCCTCTCTTCCTGAATAAGAATCCAGATGGATTCGCTCGTCCAGCATTTATCACCCGTCATTTCACGAATGCATTCTCAGAAAGGCCTGTTCATGCATTCCCGTGAGAGGGGTCTGTAACATGGGTTGGATTAAACCATCTTACTATACACAAAGGCAATGATTTACATTTGACCCCTCGAAATTTCTTAATTCGTTATTTATCACATAATGACGGGTAAAATAGGATTAGGAAGTCTAAATCCTTTGGGGTAAAAATGGACGGCCCAGGTTTCAAAACGGGCCGGTAAGCCCGGCCCGGGTTTAGTTCGGGTGTGGCTTGGCCCAATTAACGATCCTGGGCCGAACCCATTTGCTTGATCCTGTTATCCGAAAATGGCCCAATAATGGGCCCGGCCAGGCTGTCTTTGTCGATGTTGACGTGCAACAAGACCGCCCGAATCCGCTTTACGAGATACCCCATTTCCTATTATCCAAACGCAGGGGAAACTCGGAATCCGATTCCCCCACATCAAAAATCATGGATAACATTTTAAAAAAACCTTAAATTAGATATTTTCTCCCGTCGTTGCCTCCTGAAAATGCTCCTATTATTCTACCAGAAAAATATAATATTCTTAGGCAGTTTAAAATAAATCACACGGGAAATCAAATTAAAAAATCCATTTAAATTTCAACCATTTTATATATGTATATTTTAAAATCCAACTCATTAAAATTGATTGCGGCCCAATATAGAAATAGGGTCCAGACCAAATTCTCATAGCCCACTTCTCTCTCCTCTCTCTCTCTCTCTCTCTCTCTCTCTCGGGCATAAATACACCCCCCTCCTATTCCAGAAACTTCCAAATATCGTCAATTTTCATAAGGGCCATCTGGAAGTACCTTTCGGGGATTTGACTGAATCTAGCTCATGGCATAAATATTAATAATATTTATATGTAGGACCTAGATGTAGTTTTCAACTTTATAAAGGGTATAACAGAAAAACCTAAGAATGTCAGGCCTAGTCCGGAGACCTCTCGTCGATATCTGACGGCTGATGACAACCAATAATTTGCTGGTGATGTAAGTAAATTCATATTTTTCAAGGGTTTTCTGTAAAATAGGCCGCAATGTATTAGCAGATAAATACCCTGTTGGTTATTAATATCTGACTCCTCTTAAACTGCACAATTATTTTGGTTTTTCTATTTTTCTGTGAAATATTGAGTCTGGGGAAAGAGGTAGAAATATGTATTTTTTATTATATTTATTTTTAAAAAAAATATTATATATGTTATCATTAACATTTCTATGGGAGTAAAAATGAGAGTTGGTGTTTCACGTAGGGTTCTTTAGCATAAGATGAAGAAAAGAGGGAGTAATTTATCATTAAACTAAAATGAGATTAAAATTGTATACGTGATTTTTAGGTATTGCCATAAATTTTTAGATTGCCTGGTATTTATTGAATCGAAACATTTTCCAAGGGTCTAAGACTTGACTGATCGAGGTGACAGGCCTCCGTTGGACATAAGATAATAGAAAGGAAATCCCATCACGTCATGCTTCTCTCTCTCTCTCTCTCTCTCTATCTCTGTGTCGGCCCTGCCATTGTTCTCTCGATCGTCCTCTGAAGGGAGGATATATTCGCAGGACGGCCGCCGAAGCAACCACGAACAGAGTTGCCAGAGGAAAGTAGCGCAATCGCCATCTGAGTCTCACGGCCGGTCCATCGCCTACGCAAACTCCGCCGTCCGGCGTGGTTGGACGATTTTTTCTTCGATTTAATCCCTTTTCGGTCCCTCTTTTGAGGTTGTCGTGGAATTTTGTCAACCCATCGTCGGCCATTTCACCTGGTCTGTTGATTCCTCCGAGGAGGATATTTTATCTGTTTGTCAGTATAGTTGGTTGTTATCCTCTTGATTCTGAGTTTGTTCGATCATTTATTTTGTGAATTCGTGTTCTAGGTTTAGCAGATTTGTAAAATTCTCTATATCATAATAACTACATGCTGATTTATTCTTGGGATTATCAATTTCTTGAACCATAGAGAACGAGAAGAGTGCTCTTCATCGCCATCAGACATTTCACTATAAATTTGGTGTCTCATTACGGGGAAACAAATCCCAGTGTTCTGATCATACTTTCTCTGGTGGGATGTCGGACCTAGGTGAAACCCTCGTTTCTTGTGCCGAAGGCCTGCTGCAGGTCAACTTGCTTTCCAGGCCATCTTGAAAGCTGCGATCTGATTTAGATTAGTTTGACTGTGGTGGTGCGTATTGGCCAGGAATAATAACAAGAGCGAAATAAGAGAAGGGGTAAAACACGAGAGACAGATTGTTAACCCTAGTCTGCGGTAACGTCTGTGATATGAAGCGTGCCAAGATACTTTTAGACGTAAATTTGGTGTAAGAAATGTTTTGGGAAAAGTAAAATAGACGGTCCATTCGTGCCATGAAACTATACTAAGGTAGTGGAGTCATGAAACTAAATATGACGATGCAGTGAGATCTCATAAAAAAACCTCAATCTTCTCTCCCCGCTAAGTTCCGTTTCAGACAAGATCTTTCTCTTCCCGCAAGTATTTTTCGCCAGCTCTGACTGCTTTCCAAAATATTTATTGGTCCTTCCCTGTTCTTTCTTCAACTATGATGCTGGTTCTAAGAAGATGATTCTTGTTTCCTAGCAGAACCCAGAGATATAGTATTTTAGTCCTCATGTATTTCCTTGGGACATGGTTCAGGGATTTACAAGTAGACCTACAATGCCGTTGTGTATTGTCGATGCATAGCTATAAACAAGATGAAGAAACTATTGTTCCATGTGCCAGTTTTGGGGTTTGCCACAGAGCAGGGATTCATATCTACTGTTTATATGGCGGCCTTTATGCATCAAATACGCTAAACCTCTTTGTATCCAACAGATCTTGATGTTGTGTTAAGTGCCTTCGCTGTAACTCAACTTGTCACTAATTATCTTTGATAATCGCCTGGAACACCCGGAGGATGTCTTGTGATGACATACGTATTTTAAAACACATTTATTCCTTAAAAGTAACTGTATATTTGCGAATATATATATATATAGATAATTTTATTTTTTGTTCTTTCGCGGAAATTGAGTACAATATTTAATACACATTTGGTACTCACAAGTAATTGCATGTTTGTAAAAAAAGTTGTGTACTCTTTGCTGGATATTGAATCCATGCAGAATTATAATCTTTGACTTTAAGAAGCGTATATTATAATTTATTATCTTGTTAAGCGGATGACAGGTTCATATTTTAGTTGTAAATGTGTAATTAATGCAGAATTGAGTTCTTTATCTGCTTATACATGTGCTAAATATCTGATAATGCGAGTTCATTTATTTTCTAGGGAAAGATGATTAAGCTTTTCAAAATAAAGGACCAGAAGAAAGATGATGCTGGTAACGCCAATGGAAGACCTGTGGGCAAGAAGCAGTCCGCTGGGGAACTCCGTCTTCATAAAGGTTCTCTAACGCTATGATCCTGGATCGAAAAATATTAGAAATGAATTTTCGTTATAAAATAATCTTCCAGTATATTTTAAACTTTTGTTAAATTCTGTTTAAAAAGAGTCTTCTATCTTAGGAAACTTCACTGTTTTCCGTGGGATGGTGTTCTTACAATTATAATTTTTGTAGGTTTTTTATCTCCTGGACTGAAACTAGTCCATCTACTGCGATAATAAATCCAATCATCTTGTCATTTACATTTTCTCGTTGGATTTCCATTATTAAATTTGTTCATCCCATTCTAAAAATAAAAATTATACAATGACAGATATCAGTGAGCTCAACCTACCGAAGACGACTACCATATCGTTTCCCAATGGCAAGGACGACCTTATGAATTTCGAAGTTGTTGTTCGTCCAGATGAAGGATATTATCTGTAAGTGATGCTATTTTCATTTGAGTATCCATCATTTTTCAGAGCTGTAGAACAACACGGAGAATTTACCTTCGTTATTCATTGCTTCTTTATTTATGGCTTTGTTGATTCTACTGGTGACTTTATACCCTCTTGCAAGATCAATTGTAGTCAGCAGGATTTAAGTTGACTTTATTTAAAAGAAGTGGATTTACATATATGAACATTTTTTTTCATTATCCTGCTATATATCAATCCTCTCTCTTATTCTAGCTTATTCTCTTGTGAACCGACTGTGACGATGATCGTTTTCATCTTCTTAGCGGTGGGATGTTTGTTTTCTCATTCCAAGTCTCTCCTTCTTATCCATACGAGCCACCGAAGGTTAAATGCAAGACCAAGGTAATTATGTTTGTTTTATACGGGATCTCTGTTTTATAGAATTCCTGCGGTGTCTTACTTATATATTTCACTGCGATATTTGATGAAGGTGTATCATCCTAACATTGACCTAGAAGGAAACGTTTGCCTGAACATCCTTCGAGAAGACTGGAAGCCCGTCCTCAACATAAACACTGTCATCTACGGCTTGAATCATCTCTTCATGGTATGTGGCTTCACCTCTACGGATGGGCTTCGCATTTGACTTCTCAAGCCTAAATTTTTCCAATAATCCCACAAGATCTGAGGAAGAAAAATGCGACTGTGTGGGATAATTCTGAAAGCAGGATCGTTTTCAGACGAATCCAAAGAAAAGTATGGTCGTGTTTAATTTTTTGAACATCGTTCGTGGATCATAGGCCTGTTCTTGCGAATTCTAAGTTCCTTGAGAATTTCAGATTCCTTATTTTATTTCCCCTTGGATCATGATGACATCCGATTTTATTTTCACATTGGGAAACTTTTCTGGATATGGATCTGGTTCCTGTATCGGATTGAATGAATAATTTTCATTTATCTCTGAATCTCTACATCTGGAACCACTCCCAATTACGACCCATTTGCGTTTAGGCTCAGTCACAACCTCTTCTGGCTGTTCTATTCCATTATCTATGAAATCCTATTCTCGTCTGCTCATTAAAGTCATATATGGAGTGGAATTACGTGGATTCATTCATCTTCATCTGGAATTACTTGTCGGATGTCAGGGGTCTCTCTGCAGATAATAGCCCCACCCCTCTGGTTTGATCTTGTGATGGTCAATTCTAGCTGCTCTTCATATTTCTGCTCCTCCTTTGGGTTCAGGGTTCAAGGGTTGACCTTGAGTATCTTTCTGAATCTCCTAGGCCTTTAGCCTTGATTTTATCTGGTCAACTCCGGATTGGGTCCTACATACTGATTTTGGCAGTCAGCTGGCATTTCTCCTCCGTGAAAAGCTAAGGTTTTAAGAGGCTTATTTGCGACGAACCTATCCTCGGTCATGTTCTGAAAACCCTAATCCAACTCAGACTGGCTCTTTATGAGTCAATCTGAGTGTCAGTCTTCGTTGAAAATCACCCAAAATTGTGTGATCGAGTTGTGATTGATTTGCGATGTGGGTTGAATCACCCAGGTCAATCGATTCAACCAATTGGGTTTGCTCAACCGAGTCAATCTGGGTCGTAATCTACATCTAATCACCCAAACTGCACGCTTTTGCATCCTGTTAGAGTGGGTCCATTCGAAACTTCTTCAAGGTATTGATGATCGATAACCTCATCAGTTCGAGACAGCTGTGTCAAGCTGGTTCCTTTACTCTCTGAATCCTCCTACTCCAATGCCGTCTCAGGCAAAAACCCTAATCACCCAAACTCTCTCTCTCTCTCTCTTTCTCTCTCTAACTATCTCTATCTCTATGCAGGACCCGAATGACGAGGACCCTCTGAACCACGACGCGGCGGCCGTCCTCCGCAGCAACCCGAAGCTCTTCGAGAGCAACGTGAGGCGGGCCATGAGTGGAGGGTATGTCGGCCAGATCTACTTCCCCAGGTGCTGCGTCTGAGGCTCATCATCATCATCATCGTCATCGGCATCGTCGTCCTGATCGTCATCTACAGAAAGAATACCATGGTTAGCGTCTACAGAAAACCTTCGTTCTGAGGCTTCTGCTGTCTGTCTGTCGACCGAATCATCCACTCTCTCTCTCTCTCTCTCTCTCTCTCTCTCTCTCTCTTTCTCTCGCTCGCTCTCTGTTTCTCTCTTTCCTCTTTCAGATGTGAATGTGCCACGCCAGGTGTCGTCTCATCGGGTGTTAATGGGCCGGGTGGGCTTGTATGGGATGGGCCCAGGGGGAGGTGGTAATTTCTGGGCTTTCTTGAGGCCCGGTAGATCGCGGTTGAGCTCGCTGGGGGTTTTGATTGGCCGGCCCCGTGTATTGGGCCGGCCAAGAATTCATGGTGGGCCAAATCTTCAAAATCCATAGTCCACCACATGAATACTGGACCCAGTTGATGTTATCATGGCCCGGTTGTTGCCGTAATTCTGTTATCCGAGACCGGGGCTCACATCTTACTAAGGGCTTAATAGTAATTTCTCTTGATGGGTAGCTGGTGATCAATAGAACGTGTTAAAGAGAGACGTCACGTTTAACTTCTCTTGAGAATTAGTTGGTGACCACACCGTTAGAGAGAGAGAGAGAGAGTAATCAGGAGCGCAACAGTGGTTTATCATGATGCTTAGCTGGTGACCATTATGCGTTAGAGAGAGAGAGGGAGAGTTCATATAAGTAACCGTTTTTTCAGAGGGGTTATAATGGTCAATTCATATTTCAGGCTCTCCTGGTCGATCCAATCATCAGCCGTTGATGTTGAACCTGTAAACAGCCAAGTTTTGCCAAAATTAGATTATACGAATACCCAGACAGCCCTCTTTAATCAGTTTCTCATGAAGAACTTGGCATCGTTCTAAATCTCCACGGAGTCAGCTGGTCTGAGCTACTTCACATCAAAATTATTAATAACAAACGTTCCAAATTATCCACCCTCTCTTCAATATTATTCATCTCTAAAGCCCGAAACTTTCTACTCCCACATACCCCTGCTTCCTCTCTCTCCCTCTCTCTCTCTGGAGATTCACAGGACCTATTTTCCGGGCTTTTCTCTGGGCCACGGGAAAGTGCAGACCATCCTAAACTCTACCAGCCCATTAAGACTCCCCAGGAGTTGACTGGAGTTGTGGTCAACTACTCCAACCGGGGTCAAAAGGGATGTCAACGGATCAGGATTCAAGGGGGACCGAATCGAGGAAAAATCTAAGAGCCCAGATCATCCGATCACAGATAAAAGCAAGACGATTAGGGGTCCTCCCATCACATCCTCCACAATCTGGGCAGATAATATACGATAATATTACATATTTACAGGGGGGATAATTGAAGAAAATGAGCGTTATTAGGCCTTTTCGAAATGAATGATAAAGAAGATTTTAGGAGCTAGGATCTTATTGTACCTGCCGTTCGATGGGAGTCGGATGGGGCGACGTGGCGCGATCTCAGAGGGCGCCCAGGGAGTTGAAGTGGTCCCACGCTTCCTGTGAGGGGGGAGCCACGAAAGGGGTTGAGATCTTGATTATTTGCGCGAGAGGGATGATGCTCTCACGCTTATGCAAGGGAAATAAAAAGAAAAATAGAAAGAATTCCGTGCACGGAACCCATCACAAGATTGCTACTTTTGACCACCCGTTTGACTCCTCACATTTGATGTGGGGCCTACCCATATACATATCTAGAGAGAGAGAAAGAGAGAAAACAGAGCAAAACTATAAAGATGAAGCAGAAAGAGTGTAAATTCTGGAGATTTGAGAGAAGGATTGGTCATTCCGGCCGGCATTGACTTCTAAAATTTGATATGGAGGCTATCCTAATCGGTAGATAGATAGATACATATATATATATATATAGCGAGAGAGAGAGAGAGAGAGAGAGAGAGAGAGAGAGAGATCAGAGCTATCCTGGAGATTTAAGAGAATGGTTGGTCATTCCGGCCCGCATTGACTTCTAAAATTTGATATGGAGGCTATCCTAACCGGTAGATAGATAGATATATATATAGAGAGAGAGAGAGATAGAGAGAGAGATCCTGGAGATTAAAGAGAATGGTTGGTCATTCCGGCCTGCATTGACTTCTAAAATTTGATAGAGCGAGAGAGCGAGAGAGAGAGAGAGAGAGAGAGAGAGAGAGAGAGAGAGAGAGTCATAAAACACAGAAGAAGGCCGCTACTTTGCTTTGGAGGGAAAGAATAGAGATGTACCTGCAAGATATCGAAGACCTTCTCGGCAACATACTTGCGATGAATGTCAGCGCCCTTCTGCTGCAGCTTATCTGGGTGAATGTACAGCAAGGCTCTCTGGTATGCCCTCCTGACCGAAGGCGCCTCGATGATGTCCACCAGTGGGACTGGTTTCCACCCGCTCCCAGGCCACAGAACCTTGAGAGAAGAGAGAGAAACTCCGGTATGATTTTGAAGGACAAAATTGAGACCATTATTGCCCAGATAAAAATCACGATTCTGTACTATTTCTGGTGACCATGGGTTGACTTTCTCAGGGAAAAATCCTGATTATTCTATGGAAAAATTAAATATCCGCTGTGAATTCAACATAAGATGCAGAAAACAGGAGTCGGATGATCTTAGACAATATATGAATCCTTGTCGATGTACTATTTCATGATCGATGAACATCAAAAGCATCTCTGATAATTTTCTTGTAATGGAGATCAGATATAGTTTATAGGGAAAGCCAGATTCATGGGTTTTTAAATCATGACTTACTACATATAGCTATCCAAAACCTTAACACATGAGTAATGCAGCAGAAACACGGTGTTGACCACATGCATTGTACTCACATATTGCAGTGTAGAAAGCAGCGATCGAATGTTCCCCTCTCTGCCTTTTGACCACTCCAGTATTTTAGCATCCGATTTCTGAAGTAAAGGAATGGACCAACCCTTGATTAGTCAAAATCCACGGCAGAAATAGGTCCACTGTTTCTTGATGAGATCTAAATCTTACTTTTATTTCTTCCTGATGTAAGTCGGCCTCTGTAGCTTCGTTATGCTCTTGTGATAAATCTTCAAACTGGAGAAAAAAATAGTAAGCGTGAAAAGTATTTCATGATTAGAATGATTTTCTAATTATATACACATTCTATGTTTGGGAAAAAAAAATTAATAATGGTAAAAAATTGGCCTACTCCACTTATTTTCAAAGTATATACACATTCTATGTTTGGGAAAAAAATCTATGATAGTAAAAATTGGCCTACCCCACTTATTTTCTAATTATATACACATTCTATGTTTGGGAAAAAAATAAATCTATGATACTAAAAGTTGACCTACCCCCCACTTGTTGCCGTTTAATTCTGAGTTCGACAGCACAATGGTCCACACCATCAATAATTAATCGAAATATGAGTTGACAACATACTGAATATATGTTGTTAACTCATTTTAAATTAATTTTAGTGGGACGTTTCAACAGTCCACATTAACAGTAATCAGTCAGAAAAATGTATGATTCTCGTTTCATTATACCATAGGAAATTGAATTGCGTATGTTAATATGATTCCAACATAGACCACCCTTGGGGCTTGGGCACTGGGTGACAGGAGACAACACCATATGGAAACACTTCAGACTCTGGTCAATGGAGCATGAATGCTCTGTCAGATCTCCTAAACTGGACATAGACAATTGTACAAACGCAAGAGTAGGTAAAGGTTATTCTGAGAAAGGCACTGACTGGCTTCTCAAGGTGGGGGGCCATAAAAGGGATGCTGTAAAATGGAGTGTATCAACTTTGACCCATAAATAAACCCAGGGAGGAGTATGCTTGTCTGTATATCACCGACTTGGTCAACGGTGAGAAATCTCGAGGAACAGAGCTATAATTAAACATTAAAAAATTGAAAAACACCCCCGAGCCGCATGAAAATCAAGAAACATGAGAAAATGTGTAATATTTTTAATGTAAATTAATGATTTTCCATAGGTAAGAACTGTAATGTATTATTATTGGGCCTTTTCTGAGAGTAAAAATATGGGTACTCCAGCCTCGTGGAAGATAAGGCACAAAAATAAGAAGGCACACACATTATTATAAAGTTGAAGAGAAAGAAGGATGGCATACCAAGCAATCTTCAACATGCTCAAAATCTGTAACCTCTATTTTGCAGAAGAAGGCGTCCAGGCTATTTATGGTGGTGTCTGAAGGCAAAAAACAAAGCATCAGTAGCCATGTTATATGAAATGCGTGAGAGCCTAGGGTAAGCAAGTGTTTAATGGATGAGGAACATCCTCGGTTCCTCATTACGAAGAATCAAAGCTATAAAGATCTTAGTTTAGTGGGAAGAAAGGAATGTCCCAATGGTTACTGGCATGAATATGCAACTTACAAATTGAGCTTAATACTCCCATCTATCTATGTTAAGAAAACATAATTGACACATTAGCGGAATAAATTTCTCTGTACGAAAATATTTAAAACCAGGTGGGATTTTTTTATATTTTCTAATTTCTATCAAAACTATCTGAAATATTCAGTTCCCACCAAAGAAAAAGACCTTGCATTCCCACTTTAGTCATATAATTTCATATCTATAAACAAGAATTAATATTCCAATTCGCGAATGTTTTCATATTTTATAATTTTTATTGAAAACATTTGAAACATTTGAAACATTTGATCTCCATCAAAGAAGGAAGAGGCGACGGGGATTCATGACAAAATATTTTCAGCAGAGGCACATCTACGTACACAAGATAAACGACTCGTGGGAAAGTTTTAATGTACCATAAAACATTACCACGCTTTTTATGACTGGTGACCTCTAAATGAACTTCAAATATAATGGTAAAATAAATTACCTCGTTTTTTAATGGGAGACCAGGGAAACAAGAACTTTGGTATTCAAACAGTAGTGCTTGTATTGCAGATATTAGAGACTAAAACACTCCGATTTCAGAAATGATCAGCACATAGAACTGACCAGAGAATGTAACCGAGGTGCTGTCCATCTCTGAGAAAAAGCCATCCAGCTTTTGCTCGCCTAAATTTTTAAAGGAGTCCGCTCGTTCTGCCTTCAAATTCTGACCAGTCTGCATAAACAAGATCAATTATTAGATCAGAAACTAAATTTTTACTTGTCTAAATTTTGAATTGATACCTCTTTGTTGGGAACAGTGGAAATACTCTTTATTTTTAATTCTAAGATTATGTAGCTACACATACTGGAGCAACAGGGACGGATGATGCTTCGTAGTTGCCTTTATCTTCATCTTCCTTGACCTCCTGTGCACTTGGACGATCTTCTACCCTTCCCTTCATATTTTCTCTAAGGCCAAGCCTCCTGGCTTCAAAGTTCTTCACGGATTCTTTGACCTTGCCTTTGGTTCTGACTGGACGATGTGAGGCCAGGTTGGTCTTCTCATAACTATCCGAGGCCGGATCTTCTCTTGTTCCTTGCTTGGGTTTTGCAGTGCTGTCAGTGCCTTTGGTCGCCCTCCTGACGTCAGTCGCCATACCCTCTCTCTCTTTTGCATGCCTGGACGTATCTTCGTTTCCTGAAAGAGAAAAGATAAAAATGGGGTACAAGAGGCTAAAAAAGAGTAAGTCATCCTGATGATGGGCTGTAAGTTCACCTTCCTTGTCGACGTCATCATCGATCAGAGGACGAAGATTCTTCAATCCAGGTTTCCTCGTTTCCACAGAGAAACCAGAGCCGTCTTTCCCACATACACCAGCATCATCTGAATCACCATTATAGTTCACCAAGCAGATCCTCATGTTCTTCTGCCAATTTGTGCAGAGAATAAGTGACAGCTAAAATCAGTGACAGGGACTGTACCTGACTGGTCGGTAATGTCGCGTAGAACCTCTGCAACTTCTTTGGGCGAGGCAACCTTATTGTTCTCTGCCGGGGGAGGGTTGCCGAACAGGGTTTTGTCTGGTTCACCTTGATTATGGAAGGTCGGGATTCCCTGCGGCAAGTTTTCTTTGTCGAGAGGGAGATCCGGCTGCTGTGAAACCTGAGCGTAGACACCGCTTAACCTGCTTCGACCCTTGGTCCTTTCCTTGAGGTTAGGAGGCATGACGAGCGTCACTCCTTTGCTTGCCCATTTGTACATGGAAAAATGCAGATGGTCGCTCCCGCTGTTATCCTTGGAACTACTGTCTTCTTTCATCGGGGGCTCTTCAGCTCCTCTGGTCCCGTCACCGGCCGGCACATCGGCGGCTTCTGCTGGGCGATGGCTGGGAGGAGCTCTGTGAGTGTTACTGGCCAGGCCGTCCGTCGCATGGTTGAGCCGGCTCGGACTATTGAGAGGGGGAACGTCGAAAGCCCTCGGAGTGCTCTCCTCGTTCTTCTGTGAAGCGCGTGAAGTGGGAGAGCTGACTGGCGAGTAGTCGAAGTTCTTGGCTAGCCGTGAGGAGTAGCTGGAGAGTTTCAAGTTTTGACATGTGGATTTCAGAGCAAGAAATGGGAGAAAGTAATGAACAAGATGCAGAACTGAATGAAATACAACGACCAGAAGAACATAAATTCATCGGGTAAAGGTCCGATCAGATGATAAGCCTCAGGGAAAGCAGAATCAACGAAGAATTCACAGAAAAAACGCGGCGGCATAGTCTTCTACCTCTGTGACTATATTAATGAAAGGACTACTACGCCTATTTCCCCGATGGAGTTCGAGAAAAGAATAATCAGAGGGAAGGAAGGATATTATGAACCTGAGATTCGGAGTAGATGGGTCTCCACCGAATATGTCTGCCGTGGGAGGGAGAGGACGGCTGGGGATGAGAAAGCTCGAGGTCGGGGTGGAAGCGAAGCGCTCGCGATCCAGTTTTCTTGGGGTGGAACATGGAGACTCGTTGCCTCTGAAAATGTCGCTGAAGAAGTCGTCGCCCAAATGCCTCCGGTGGGCGGGACTACTGAACCCTCCAAAAACAGGCTTCTCGGCCAAGGACGGAGACCATAGCTGGCTGCTCTCGCCAGCATCTTCTACCTCCAATCGGCCCCCAGACTCAGAATCATCCACCGACTCTCCAAGGCTGCTACGCGTTTCGCAGAGGGAGAATCGCCTCGGCGGGCCGCCGAACACGTCGCTGAAATCAGTCCCAATCCTCTGCCTCACCTCCTCACCGGAGAACGGATCGCGAGGAGCGTGGCCGAGGAGGTCATGTTCCCGGACGCGACGGACTGCCTCCATATCCAACCAACTCCGAATCCCTCAAAAGTCAGACTCCACAGACGTCCCCCAGCGATCTCGTACCACAATCATCACCATCCAGCCAACCGAAGCCTGGCCGTCAGAAACACCGGAACGGGATCCATCAAACAGCGTTCATTCAACCAGCCAAATCGATCAGACCTTCAGGAGATGAGGAGCTCGGAGCATACCCTATCAACGCCAATAATCCATCCAGTCAGTCACCTCGATCACCCGCCAAGGGAAGAGGCAAAAACACCATTGAAGACCGAGCTGGAGGTGGGACCCGTTGCAGTCGGCGACGGCCGCCAATGGAACTTGAGGCTAGGCTTGGATAAGAAGAGAATCGGGGAAGAAGGCGACCGGAGGAAGGGAGGAAGAAAGACGAATAGAAACCCCACTACGAACAGATCCAAACGGCTGAGACCAATTTCCCGGGTTTTTTCTTGTGGCCTCATGATTTTCAGGAACAACGGCAAATAACGGACAGCGTGAAGGTGGGCCCCGCATTCGATTCGTGGACTAGCAACGCGCTGGAGGGCCCACGTGGAAAGCGACATTCTAACCTCTGCGTTCACGCTGTCACGGGGAGCCAGTATGGGCCCATCTAGTTGGGCCCAATTTCATCCATTTTCTTAAAATGACCCAGCCCAGTGCGAAATCGCTTACCGACTGCCACCGGCGTCGTTGTTACCTCTCTCTCTCTCTCTCTCTCTCTCTCTCTCTCTCCAAAGTCAATGTAAGCATGAGAGGTCAAACAATCCCGGTCAACACCGGGTAGATCGTCAATTCTTTCTAAATCACTCGGAAATCCAAGCTTTCACAGAAATCCATATTTCGGAAAAGGAAAACTCATTAATTTTAGTGGGAGAGAGGAGAACATGGGTCGATAAGAGAGAGAGTGTGAGAGAGAGGAAGTCAACAGCTACAGCCGCCCTGAGCATGGAGAAGTCAAACAGACGCGATCGACACCGGTTAGATGACCAATGCTTCTAAATCTCTCGGAAAACGAAGCTTCCACAGAAATTCCATTTTACAGAAAAAGAAAACGCATTAATATTAGAGAGAGAAAGAGGAGAGAGAGGGGAACATGGCTTATGGACAGGAAGTCAACAGCTGTAGTCGCCCTGAGCGAACTTGTCCTCGGGGTAGTAGACTGCGGCCACCTGGTTCCCACCGAATTTCCTCCCGTTGAGGCCCATCTTAGCCTTTAAAGAGCCGTCGGAGTCGGCGTACTCCAAGAAGACCTGTCAGAGGATAAATATTATATTTTATATTAAAAAAAAACACCCGGTTATTTCAGGAAAATCAAAATTTTCTCAGCAAAAAAAAAGCCAGCCCCCATGAAAAAAATAGGAGAAACACCCGGTCTATGGCCACGGTCAGGGAGATTAAATCCAAAAAATAAGATTTATTTAAGGCTTTTTTAATATGATATTTTTATTTGGCAAAAAAAAAGGCACTTAACACCTCAGAAACACCATCTTCTCATAATATGAATTATTTTTATTTATAATGTAGAAAGCCAGCCCCCATGAAAAAAAGGCTATAATTATTTTTAAAATATGCTCAAGAAAATTAGGGAAATCATGCGCTAAAAAAACTAAACAGAATATTAGCATTTCACCACGGAGGGCGGCATATGATAAGGAGAAACATCATATTTTTTAAAAATAAAAATAAATTGATTAAGCGCTGACCTTCCCGACTCCTGGGTTCAGATCGCCATTCGGACCTGGGCGGGGAATTACCACGTTGACAAGGTTACCTGGGTCAACGGAGGGAGTCAAGAACACCCAACATAAAAAAGGAACCATCTTCAGACATCGGCACGAAGGAGGTGAAAATTACCGTATTTGCCACCTTCTCCCCTCATGTCTTCCAAGATGTCCTCGTATTCTTCATCGTCTCTCAGCTCATCCGCAGACACCACCTGCGTCAAGCACACGACCTTCGTGGGGAGCGTGCCTGGTTGAAGCATGAGCTGCTTCTGGAACATCAGATAAAAATTTATAAAAAATAAATACGTTAGACATATATATATGCATGGTTCAGGAAAGGTGAAACGCGAATAGGTTTTACTTAGGCTGAGGCCCAGTCCGACCCTCTGCAAACACCAATCTTAGAGAGAGAGAGGCAAAAAGAGAGAGGGATAGAGAGGCACAGAGAGAGAGAGAGAGAGAGAGAGGGAGATGGACTTACCTGAAGAGCAACCTGCTGCTGGGCCTGCAACAGTATGCTTTCCTGCTCTGGCCTGGGCTGGACGGCGCCCTGGTTGGCGCGCCTCACAGTGAGAGTCTTGTCCCCCATCTTGATCCCATTCAGAGCCGCACAGGCAATATCCGTGACAGATAAATCTTGGTAGACGCAGAAGGCATAGCCCTTCGAGTTCCCCGTTTCTCTGTCCTTGACCAGGTCAAACCCCCGGAGAGGCCCGAATGATTCTAGAAGCTCCCTGATCTGGGTCTCCGTCAGATAGTATGGGAGCCCACCCACAAAGATCCGGTCCGGCCCCTCGAGCCCACCGGCCGACCCAGGGGTCAACCCAACCGCAGCCAGGTTCAGATTTGGGTTTGGCTGGCTCGGGCCGAGAGCAGCCGCCAGCGAGGGGTTGTAATCAGTTGGTCGCCTCACCTTCACTGGGGTTCCCTGGGTTTATTAAATAAATAAATAAAAACAGGTGAGATGATCAGACCCGTCGAGGGAGGATCAAACGGTGGAGGTGGGTTTTCTACCTCGAAAATAATGCCGTCTAAAGCCATGGCATTGCTGGCCTCTTCGACGGACCTCATTTCCACGAAGGCAAACTTCTTTTCGTGGTTTATGTATACATTAACGACGGCATCACCTTCAAAAATAAAGATAAAAAGATGTCAGTGAGAGCATTGAAAAGTAGCAGGGTGGGTGGGTTTTATGAATGGGAAGGGAGTACAAACCGGGGCCTGCAGTGTTTCCCCCTATCACCGCCATCACCTGGCTGAAGAAGGTCGCCACCGACTGTCATAGAGATTATCATAATACGCAAAAAATTAGCAGACGCCAAGAAGAAGAAGAGAGAAAGAGTAGCAGAAAGAGAGGGATAGAGAGGCACAGAGAGAGAGGGATAGAGGCACAGAGAGAGAGGGATAGAGGCACAGAGAGTGAGAGAGAAAGAGATAGAGGCAGAAAGAGTGAGGGATAGAGAGGTCGAAAGAGAGAGGGATAGAGAGGCACAGAGAGAGACATACACAGAGAGAGAGAAAGAGAGGCCGAAAGAGAGAGAGAGAGAGGGAGAGAGAAAGAGAGGCCGAAAGAGAGAGGGATAGAGAGGCAGAGAGAGAGAATGAGGGAGGGATAGAGAGGCAGAGAGAGAGAGAGGGATAGAGAGGCAGAGAGAGAGAATGAGGGAGGGATAGAGAGGCAGAGAGAGAGAGAGGGATAGATAGATAGAGAGAGAGAGAGAGAGAGAGAGAGAGAGAGAGAGAGAGAGAGAGAGAGAGAGAGAGAGAGAGAGAGAGGAAGGGAGAGATGGCAATTGAATCAAACACAGGCCTACATGAAAACAAAGAGATTACTGTAAAGATGGGCCTACCCATCCCACCCAAAAAAGAAAGAAAGAGAGAGAGAAAGAAAGAAAGAAAGAAAGAAAGGAAGGAAGAATTTTATGGAGAACCTGTTCATTTGCAGTAGGCGGAAGACCGCCAACATATACCCGCCGTGCATGTCGAGTAGCCTGCAGTGACCAGAGTCAAAGCTAAAGGAAGGATGAGATTGAACGAAAAAAAAGGCAACTTGAAGAGAGGGAAGAGATCAGCCTACCTGCTGGGTCATTGCTTGGACTGGCATCACAGGGATAGCAGGGAACTGACACGAAAACACAGCATATCAAACAAAGCATAACAAAACTGGGAAGCGAAAGGGGCTACGAGGATGTGAACATACCTGTCCAGGCAACAGGAGGTTTGGGAAAATTCCAGAAATAGCAGGTACAGCTCCGGGCACTTGGACTGTACGAATAACCAAATCAAGGTGTTGAAGGGAAAGCATGAGTAACATGAGATAAGGAATGGGAAATGATATCATATAGTATGTAGTTGTTTGTACTTGAAGACAATGTAATAGAGCGCCTTCCCTCTAGCAGAAGTTATAAAAGATGAAAGGAATAGATTACTTTCAAGTAGTGAGGGAAATATTTGTAAGACTACCAAAAAAGGCAATAGTTGCCTGTTGAAGACGAACAAGATCCATCAAACCGTTGCATTGATTGCTCCGTCTACATATAAGCTACAGTAGTCGGCTCAGGCCCATTGGCAGCACAGTGGGAAAAGTGGCCCAAAATTGCCTTCTTACAACAACATAAAAACACAGGCAGACAAAAACCACCAAAAACAAGAAACAACCAAAAAACGGCGCTCAGTTTGGGATTTGATTGTATGATCAAAAGACAAAATAACTCAGGTCATCCAAATTATGTAGTTTATATAGCCAAAAATTAATTTCTTTATAAAAAGAATAAATGAACATTGCTTACCAAAATAACCCAATGCAATTCATATGAACCTTCATCTAGCTATAAAAAAGGAGAAAAGTCAAAACGCAATCAATGTAAAAGATGAAGAACCAATACCAGCAGGTGCAGCACCGGGTATCAATGCGGCAGCAGGAGGCGCCATATCAAATCCACTGGTTCTTTTGCTGCATCAGATGACTCAATAATCAGCAAATAATCGAAAAATAAGGCTTCTCCTTTATACATGAGAAAATGACATTTCCAAAAGGACGATTAGCAGGATCATAACACAACAGGCCAAACTCGTATATAAAATATTGAAACTGTCAAATTAAGTGAGGCCATAAGAAAATCTGATGAGAATCACAATCAATGAAAGAACGCATGAGAATCCACTAATCCACTTACATGAATGATAAGATCGTAGTAACTTTGGAGGGAATTTTGGCAGGATAGAGACAACTTGGTACAAAAAAAAGGCAATATGAACTATAAAAGAGAAGCCCAACGCAAAAACAATGGGATCAAGAGATGTTGAGATCAATCATCTACCCACTCTGGACAATCTGATTGATAAAGTCTCCTAAAAAAACATAAAAAATAAATAAATCCAAAAAATGCCACGTGAAGGAATAAAAAATTCTTCCTCTTCAAAATAGAATAATCTTTTCATTGATTATCCACAAAAGGTGAAAGGGAAAGCATCCTTGAACACATTAAATTCAAGACAGAAAAATTCTTCCAGTGACAAAGGCGATCGCATGCTAAAAAGAATTAGCATGGAATAAGGATTGTTAGACAAGAATGGAAAAAAATAACGTTGAACTTATACACCTAATTCTGTAACCTTTTTTTTTATGACAAAAGATAAATTTGATAGGAATCGTGAGTGACACTTCCAAAGGATTATAGTTTTAACATGAATTTAATGTCCAGTTGCTTGCTGCATATAAGAACAACAGACAGGAATTGAAAAGGTTGATAAGAAATAATGAATGCTGAAGGAAGGAAATGTAGCAGACTAGAGAAGAATGTGATCAACTTAAAGCTGTGTAAAAGTCAGGAAATGTAACTATGAGTCCTAATATCTCGTGGATAGAGATGAGATGAACGTCCGAAATTAAGTCAAAGAAAATCGCATGCCAGAGCAAGGATGTGTGCATCTCAATGGCATTCAAAATGAAACTCTGGACCATCTATTTGTGAACTACTGTCTTGATACCATCGACTGAAGAGGTATTGTGTAATATCTGGGAATCTAATGAAGAAATGTTCGTCATCAATTTACACTGGAGATCAGGCAGCAACTACCAGCTACCTGTGGTACATGCGCAGATAAAATGTTGGTAACTGCGCAGATAAAATGAGCGGTAGATGCTCCAACTACCAGCTGCATTATAGGATATTTGCCAAAAAAAAAAGAAGAAGAATCCAGGTACATTAAAAAAATAGCTTTTAACTTGGGTAATACTAGCAGGCACATCTGATCCTCACAATTCTTTGAAGGATCGATTCCTCTGATCGGCTATAAGCCTGAATCTATAAATCTGCTTTCTGGTTTCCTCCCTAGTATTAGACCTCCAAGAATCAGGAAGCACCACGGTCATCTAAGACGATTACCTTTTAACCCTTTTTTCTTTCAGCAGATAGAAGACTGAATTGCGATAGATACCCTCCTGTTTTTTATTTTAAAGCATCACTGCTACCACCATAAAAGAACAATCCTTCAATGTGTAAAGCATAGTACGCATGGAATGATAAGATTATAGAGACATACAAAAATTCAGAATATGGAATTGCCCCATGGTAGGAAACAGAATGATACATAACTGCTTCTTTGTGGAGACAGTGTTGATGAAAATAATACGCACATAGAATAAAATGATAAAGAATAAGAACGTAAAGAACCATCCCAAAATAAATTCCACAAACTGACGGTACTATCAGTCAGAGATAAATAACAAAAGTTTTTCAGCTAACCTTTTTGACCTAGAGCGAGAGCGAGATCTTGATCTGTGTTCTGATCTACTCTTTGAGTGGGAACGAGACCTATGACTGTGCCGTCCTTCTCTGTCTCTATCATAATCCTTATGCCTGGAGAAACCGGGTTAAGAATTCAAGGAAAATATAAATTATTCAGTTTCAATGAAAGAAACGACAGAATTGATGATACAAAAGCTTATTGAAAGGCATTAAGAGAGGACAAGTTGTTGAGGCCTAACAATTGGTAGCAACCGCAACTAAAGGGACCAGTGATTCTTTGTCCACATCAAAATTTATTTAACAAAAATATTTACAATCCATTCTAACTGAAATACTTTCTCTATAATGTGGGAACCAAAGAAGAAAAAACCTATATCCGAAAGAATTCCTGAACAAGATTAATGCAAAAGATCTATTTCAGAGAAAATTATAATTCTTTAAAGAATTTAGATGATGGTTGTTGATATCCTACACAGCAACCGCAACTAAAGGGACCAGTGATTCTTTGTCCACATCAAAATTTATTTAACAAAAATATTTACAATCCATTCTAACAGAAATACTTTCTCTATAATGTGGGAACCAAAGAAGAAAAAACCTATATCCGAAAGAATTCCTGAACAAGATTAATGCAAAAGATCTATTTCAGAGAAAATTATAATTCTTTAAAGAATTTAGATGATGGTTGTTGATATCCTACACAGCAAAAAGAAACGATTTCGTACTTTGATAGAAAAACTGCATTTTGAGTTAAAATCACAGAAGAATTGGCTTTCATGGTTTAAATGCTTTGAGCAACAGACGCAGGTGTGATACCTATCATATTCTCGACTGCGGCGATGATCATTGTCATCTGACCTGTCTTTGCTACGCTCCTTTCTATCTGCCTTATCCCTATCTTCTCTGTGGTGCCGATCTCGTTCTCTGTCTCGCTCCTTGTTTCTGTTTCCTTCGCGGTCCCTGTCACGGTCCCTGTCATGGTCCCTCGAACGAGCACTGACCCCTCTGTCCTTCTCCCTTTCCTTATCTTTGTTCTTGGAGGAAGCCCTCTCAGAATCATGAGATTCATACTGCAATCACAAGCCTAGTCATCAGGCTTTGAACACATACTAGAGAAACAGACAAGAGAAGATCATCAAAAATAAGTGCATAAATACATACGGGCACGAAGAGATAGATTGCAAACAAAGAGACGGATAAAGAAATTCAGTTGTTGTTGAAGAAACACAACAAATAAGGGTATATGCAGCCTAACCTCAAAATTTCAGCTAGAGGCCATTTTTCGGTGGAAGTAGAAGAATCACAAAGGAAATAAATTTAAAAAAAAGCACTGAGAGGAAACCTAAAATCCTGAGTGTTTATCCAAGTGGCTATCTTAAGAAATGGGAAGGGATGATCCCAAATGAGGAAAAAAATAACACAATTCTCAAAAATGTTCCAATCTATGAACTGCTTCAAGCATTAAAAACGAAAAACCAAGACCCCGACGTCATCAGATATGTAACGACAGAACAAACAATACGAGATAGCTAACATTCGGTCGCCACACGAGGAACCAATCCTACTCCCTAGAGCCGTTCTCTTCAAAATAACCGGGGAGGGGAGGGAAATCTCGAGAGAACAGAAATCAGACCCGCAGAATAGAGAAAAAGTGTATAGAGGAGAACCTGGGATCTGGAGTCACCACGAGCATCGAAACCCGAGCTCCGATGCTGCATAGGATGCAATTCCTGGAAAACTCCTCCGTTACTCTCGTACCGTCCCTCGTGCTCCGCCATCTCCCTCCGTCCTCCCTCGATCTCAGCTTCCCACTCCCTCACTCCCTTTGTCGCCGGAGCAAAGCTTCGCCGGGGACACTCTAGGGCTTTTGGCGTCTCCAACAGGAGCCATTTCCCCTTATAACCCTAGTCCGACGCAGCAGGTCGGCGGACGGGGAGGGCGGGCTGGGATCGGAGACCGAACTTGGGTGCGACCCGCCCGAGTCACACCGAGTCAGCCGGGTGCAACAGGTCCGATTTTCAACTAAATATGAGGAAATATTGCGTCATAAATTGTGAGTGGCATATAAAAAGGAAGGGTCGAGCCTTCCTAATTCTTTCTTTCTCTCTCTCGTTTGATGTTCCCGACTTTCAACTAAACATGAGGAATTATTGCGTCATAAATCGTAAGTGGCATATAAATAAGAAGGGCCGAGCCCCCCTAATCCTCTCTATCGTTTGATGCTCCCGATCTTAAACTAATAAGAGGAATTATTGCCTCATAAATTGTAAGTGGCATCTTGTTAAGGAGGGCTGAGCCCTCCTAATTCTCTCTCACGCTTGATGCTCCCGATGTTCAACTAAATATGGGGAATTATTGCGTCATAAATCGTAAGTGGGACCCAACTAAGAAGGGCCGAGCCCTCCTAACTCTCCCTCTCTCTCTCTCGTTTGATGCTCCTGAGCATTTGCTTCTGGGATTCCACGCCAAATTAATTTATAAAAAAATTAAAAAATATATTTACTGAGGAAGTAGTGAAACAGTTGAAGCAGAACCCATCAAAGACTACAAGCCACGTGATGTGACAAGAACCAGAGTTAGAGGTGTAATCTTACAGGAGAAAGATTAAATCCTCCATACGTCATCATGTTTGTAAAATATATACAGGAATGGAAACTTTTCTTGATCTGATTCATGTGAGAAATTGGGAAGCGGAGACTTGATCCGTACCATATGTTTAAAAATAATCAGAATGCAAGGATTCAAGCAAGATGTTTCGACATATAGTTAGTTCTACATTGCTAGATCAGCCAACCCACCGAGGGCCAAGATCAGTAGCTCCCATCGCCAGACGAAATCTGCAAAGAAATAGCTCAATCTACGCCCCCCATGTGCCGACCATCATACAATCACCATATATGAGAAACGATGATTACTAAAATACAGGAAAGACAAATAATCAAATGGAATGTTCCAAACATATTCATGACTTGCTTGGGGAGCACAAGTAGATTCTTAGAACTCAACCAGGGCAACCTAAAGCTTGGGGTTTAGGTAAAGGAAACAGATTTTCTCGCAAGTATGGTACAGAGAGAAGATTTAAGAGATATAATAATATCTCGGCATTACCAAGCGATGAAAACCAGATTAATTATTAGTCCCAAAAAAAAAAAAAAACAACCATTGGGTGAATGATGATGGATTAGTGGTTGCAGTTAACCCAGATGCCTTTAAAGGAGGGTTTCCAGATTTTAGAAACGCTGATTGACCCAAGTGTGCAGCCGCGTGGTCTAGGATTTCAACAGCTCCAAGTTCAGTACTTATTACCATGGTTTCATGCAGTGCTTATGATTAGAGGACGCAAAGAGGACGAAATTAAAAAATGGAGATCATTTGATCTCATGATTGGGGAGGAAGGAAGAGTGTATGCTTCTGATTGAAATATATCTCCATTTATCAGATATTAATTTGAGAAAAACAATGATATATTTCATCGGGGCGAAGATCTAGATTATCACACAGACAGAGGAGCAAAGTAGGACGAAAAAGGTGGTAGAATATTTCTTCTTAGACAAAAATGGAGTCCCAAAAAAGAAAGCAGATTAGTTATATCATTTTAAAATAACCATTGATACATGAAAAGTATGCAGGTTGGGAAACTGCGGTTAGATCTGCAGAGAGTACTCGAATAGCTCGCGCACTCTTGAACGCATAGAGAATCGATTGCAATAAAACATACACATTCTAACTGAAACTCTGATTCATGGTGCGTCAGGAATGATATATGAAATTCGAATAGTCCACGCTTATTTAAAGAATGTAGTTAGATCAGCATGGGTGGGTCATCCAGCTGAAAGGGGATTACTGCAATACTTCCAAGAGGAAAACTGGAGAATAGAAAGGGGAACAGTCACAGCAGACGGATTCCACTGGATACTGATTTGGCGCAGCTCTATTGTGACAGATCTTCCCAATCGCTACAAGTGCATCACGAAAGAGACAAGTAAAAAGCTCTGAGATTTTATATCATTCTTCCAGCAGAGGAACTTTGTCTATGGATAAACAGGAGATCCCATTCCAGATTTGGATTGTATCCTTCTAACCTTTCTTTGCTGAAAAAAAAGTACTATATCGAGATGATTAATAAGGTCGGGAACCGCCATGTCTCAATGATGTTGCAAGCCGACGACTCTCTTTAAATTATGAGGGGAAAAGCTACCGTACAGAGTTTTCTCTCTTAGAACCGAGACATACCTCACTGAGCAGAATCCTCGGAGAATCTGGAGTCGAAAGGAGGGGAAGAGTGAGGATGGGGCGCGCCGGCGGTGCCCGAGCCATGCTGGAGCTCGATTACGAGCCACCTCACGGCCTTACTCATCTGCTCCAACCGGACGGCGCTGATCGGCGGGAGGCCATTGCCGGCGTCCTGGACCTGCCTCCCCGAGACGGCCGCCGCCGCCGCCACGCCGGTGGCCTCGTCGACAAGGCACTCCGATCCGATCCGCTGCTTTGCGGACTCCACGAACTCCTCCGCGTGGTCGCAGGCCACCCTGAATAGTTCCCACTTCTGCTTGAAGTTCTCCAGGGCGGCATCTGTGGCGGCGTTCTTCTGCCCCCCCGACGACTCCTTCGCCTCGAGAACCCCCGCCGCCGCCGCGACGAACTCGTCGTAGGCGTTGCCAAGAGCGTCGACCAGGGACTCCATTTACGGCGGTTCTGGATGGAAGGGGAAGGTCTGTCTCTCTGGGGGAAGATCAGTTCATTGGAACAAAAAGAGCTCCGACCGGACCGGACCGGACCGGATGGTTCTGTTCGAGACAGGGCCGGACGGGACCGGAAGTTTTTATTAATTATTTATCAAAGTTATATACCATCTGTGATAATTAATAATTTAGAGAAGTTTTGTGTTTTATATTATCTTTATTTATAAATATAATTTCACTATATTTTATGATAATTTATATAATATATTATTCTTTTAGTACTTTTCAGAAAATTATAGTACATTAATATATCTAATACACTTTAAATTCAAAGTGTGATATTTTCCTCCCCATTTTACCTGAAATAAATCCGAAAATAAATTACAAGAATAATCCTCGCTATTATTTACTAAATTAGCCATATGCCTCTTCACCTCAACGGAATGAGCTGTGATAATTATCGATTTATCATTTAGAGATATTTTTTTGTATTTATAGAATGTAACTATACATTTACTATATTTTATGATATATAGTTGTCTCCTACAATGTATGTTAGAATTATTATAATTAATAATTATTTTATAATTTATGTATGGGAATTTACAACACATTTACAGCATAAAATCCGGTGTATACTTTTTTCAAGACTTGGAGGATAAAAATCATAGACATGTTTACTCTGTAAAATTCACACTTTTGTCATATCCTTTGACTTGAGAAGTGGCGTCCGTCCCTAGATTTGCCTCCTACTGTCAGTCAACTCCTGCTCATCTCCTCTCTCTCTCTCTCTCTAGTCTTTAGATCTATCAACCATTGGCTGCGCTTTACAAGACAATGAGTCAGCCCACAATAATAGAGAGATAGAGAGAGAGAGAGAGAGAGAGAGAGGCCCAAATGAGTGTAGAAAGGGCTCTGTCCACCCGACTTGTTCTTTCTTAACGGGCTTAGTTTTTGCAGCAAAGCCTGAAAAACTGAGCCCAGCTCTCTGTGGGCACTTCGACGCACTAAATATTCGACGGCTAAATATTTTTATAAAATAATTATATTAATAAATAATGAAATATTAGTTTAGCTGTTATTTCAACGTAAGGTTCGTCCCTAAACTAACCAGAGCCATCTGACTCTCCTCACTAGCCCGACCTCGCGAGTTTTCTTCCATTCTCTCTCTCTCTCTCTCTCTCTCTCTCTCGCTCTACCTGGAGAATTCGGAGGGCACCGCGGCTCGGCCATGGCTCAGCCTCTGGTGAAGAAGGACGACGACCGGGACGACGAAGGTCTGATCTCGATCCCGATCCCCTCTCTGCTTCTGTTCTTCGATCTCTGCTGCCTCGGTGGCGATTTCGTTTTTCGTTTGCGGAAATTCGCGCGAGTGTAATGCTCGGTGTTTCTTGGAGCATCCATTTCCTTTTAAGGCGCCATCGGGCCGCCTTTCCTTCTGCCATTGCCCTACTAGATCTGAATCTGAAGTTGCACGAGTAGATCTGAGGGTGACGGTTTTGGGGACTTGTCTACATCGTGAAGTTATACTGGTTGATGTTGGACCTGGTCATTCTAGGCCTTTTATCCTTCGGATTATGCCAGACTCGTTTAGATCTAGGGATACTTTCTTAACGACTTGGATCGCGTGGTTTATTATCCGCTGTACTCCGTGTGATGTGAGCCGGAACCGTTGTCTTGAATAAAGAAGCTGAAACTTCGTTCGTTTTGCAGAGGAATACTCTCCATTTCTAGGGATCGAAAAAGGTTCTGTCCTACAAGAGGCTAGAGTATTTAATGATCCTCAGCTGGATGCTAGGCGATGCTCTCAGGTACTATTATCCCACGGCAGAAATACTCTTCCGACTTAAACCTTTTTTTTTTGGTGTAATTCATTCCCTTTTTCCTTTGATTCTATGTGTACAGGTGATAACGAAGTTGTTATATTTACTCAATCAGGGTGAAACCTTTACAAAGGTCAGCTTTTATTGAACACTCGATCCACAAAACCCTCGACCTCCTCCTATCCTTATATACCCTTGGCTCTTTTAGTCTATTTTTCTGACGATTGAATCATATTTTTCTTGCGGACTTTCGTAGATTGAAGCAACAGAAGTTTTCTTTTCCGTCACCAAACTTTTCCAATCCAAGGACTCAGGTCTCAGGAGAATGGTTTATCTGATCATCAAGGAGCTCTCACCTTCTGCTGATGAGGTTGGCTTTGGAACATTCCCATATTTCTTCAGAACCCGCTGTTCTACTCTCCTCCAGATAGAGAGCCTTTGGAAATTCAGAATTGACTCTTCCCTCTTTACATTAGGTTATTATTGTCACGAGCTCACTGATGAAAGACATGAATAGCAAGACGGATATGTATAGGGCAAATGCCATTCGTGTTCTTTCTAGAATAATCGACGGTACACTTCTCACTCAAATTGAGCGATACTTGAAGCAAGCCATAGTTGACAAGAACTCAGTTGTTGCTAGTGCTGCACTTGTCAGTGGCGTGCACTTACTGGAGGTAATTTCTATTGATTCTATATCATTGATGATCGATATGTTCATAGATCAGCCACCTTAGGGTCAATTTGAAATTGTTTCAACAGACCAATCCTGATATTGTCAAACGATGGAGTAATGAGGTGCAGGAAGCTGTCCAGTCAAGGGCTGCCCTTGTGCAGTTTCATGCTTTGGCTCTTCTTCACCAGGTAATTTTTTTTATTCTTTGTTTGTTCACGTACCTATAAGGAAATGAAAATCCCATTGGCACATTGGTGGCCAGTTGATTGATGTTTTTGCACAGTATTTCTTTAAATCCATCCCTTTTCTAGGCAAGCCAGAGCTTTAAACGCTCTTATATTGTGTATCAAGGTTAAGAAGGAATTTCATTTGGGAATATAACCAAGCTCTGAAATTGCAGATACGACAGAATGACCGCTTGGCTGTTAGCAAGCTTGTTACAAGCTTGACGAGAGGAAATGTCCGTTCACCTTTGGCCCAGTGTCTTCTGATACGATATACTAGCCAGGTTATTTGAACTATTTGATTATTGATGCATAATGATGTATGCCTGTTTTTCGTTGATGAAAGCTCCTATCATTTTTTGCTAGCATTATTGTTTCGGTAAAATGATATTAATGGTAGGCCTAATTTTCTACTGCCAGGTGATAAGAGAATCAGGTACGCAAACAGGAGAGCGACCGTTTTTTGATTTCTTGGAGGCCTCCCTGCGGCAGAAAGCTGAGATGGTAATATTTGAAGCGGCAAGGGCAATAACAGAGTTAAATGGGGTTACCAGTCGGGAGTTGACTCCTGCAATTACTGTTCTGCAACTATTCTTGAGCTCATCAAAGCCCGTTCTTCGGTTTGCTGCTGTTCGAACTTTAAATAAGGTTGCAATCTCTTTCTTTCAAAAAAATATCTTGTCATTTAATTTCTGTAATCTAGCAACGTACCAAGTTCCTGAACCCATCCATTCTTGGCTGGACCTGATTGGCCGCTTTCCTTCTACTGTCATGGCGTAGATTCTTATCTGGATTCCAGAGAACTGATCTAATGCGTTCTTGCTTAGTGAGACAGATTATAGAGTCGGTATTTTCCTTAGTGGCATTTCTGTTAATGCTAACTCGTTCTTTTTATTTATGTACTCTACCATTTCCTTAGTCAGAACGTGGTGCTGTCATCACGTTCTAAAAAAGAAACGTACCACTTTTCTTCCCTTGTTAGTAGAAGCCTTTAAGGCTAAAAGCTGTGTTGAATGATATAAGTTCTATGGTAATGACAAAAAACCTTTATCTGCGGAAAATAGTCGAACGTTCCTGTTGGTGAATATTCCTGATCTTTACTGTGTTGCTGATGGATGATGTGCATACATTTCTTCCAATGTTCCATTTCTTTTTTTTCCAAGTCCAAGTTTTAGATATGTGCTTATGATAAATATGTCGCTTTTTTCCCTTTCTCCGTTGCTCATTTTTGCCTCAAGACGAACTCTTTTTCTTTTATTTCGGTTCTGGACAGTATTTCTGTTTCTTTGTCATGGATTCGTAGACTTCTCCTAAAAATCATGTTGTGATCTGACATAATGATAATTATTTTTTATTGTTTCTTGCAGGTGGCTATGGCACACCCTTTGGCTGTAACAAACTGTAATATAGACATGGAGAGTTTAATATCAGATCAAAACAGGAGCATTGCTACACTCGCGATCACCACTCTTTTGAAAACTGGCAACGAATCAAGTGTAGATCGTTTAATGAAGCAGATAACCAATTTCATGTCTGATATTTCTGATGAGTTCAAAATTGTTGTTGTTGAGGCTATTCGATCCTTATGTTTGAAGTTTCCGCTGAAATATCGCTCACTGTAAGCAATTCACGTCCACATTCGCGCTTTTTATATTAGTTTTTTTTAAAACTTTATTTGAAGCCATTTTTTTCTCTTTGTGCAACCATATTTCAGGATGAGCTTCTTAAGCAATATTCTCCGAGAAGAGGGGGGCTTTGACTTTAAAAAGGCAATTGTTGACTCGATTGTTCTCCTCATCCGAGATATCCCTGATGCTAAAGAAAGTGGATTGCTGCATCTGTGTGAGTTCATTGAAGACTGTGAATTCACATACCTCTCTACACAGGTACTTATTTATCTTCTATTAATTCCATTCACTGTCGAAGTATTTTGCCTCATCTACCTTGTTTCCTGCCTCCATTGTTTTATCTCTGTTACCTGTTGCGGACGGTGCTGACGAGGCATTGCCTTCCTCTCAGATGAATCTCGTCTGAGAGGAAGGCAATGCAGCACATAAATCTTAAGGCTCTTCTTCCTTGTCCTCTCCACTGTCCTAACTTGGAGGTTTGCTGTCTTCTTCCTCCATCACCTCCATTTCCCAAGGGGCATATCATCTCACCGACAATAGTCTGTCTCCTCCCCGCTTCCCCCCACCATTTAAGGTCTGCTGCCTTTGCTACCCACGCACAGTCATCTTTCTTCTTTCGTCATCCAAGGTCATCCACAGTTCTGTGACGCTACGTTCTCCTCATCATCCATAGTTCTCCATTATCCTTCTCCCATCCAACGCTCCACCATCTCAGGCGTGCCCACATGCCCCCACTCCTTCCCTCGTTTCCTCCCCCCATCACTAAGGGCCAGGTCACGCATCTGAGCTCTGTGAAGCTACTTGGGTCATTTTCTTGGAGTTTTCCTGATAGCTAAGATCCCTTCAGCAGTCATACCCTATATTGCCTGGGCTTGTTATTTCTGATGCCACAGGACTGATAAGTAGGGTTTCACATCATGTTTCTATAGTCCCTCACCAAATCCATTTTCTGATGTTTTCCTGGTGCTTTTCTATAGATCCTTCACTTTATTGGAAATGAAGGCCCAAAGACTTCCGATCCCAGTAAGTACATAAGGTACATCTACAATCGTGTCATCCTCGAGAACGCCACTGTTCGGGCTGCCGCAGTGAGTACCTTGGCGAAGTTTGGGGCTTTGGTCGGTTCTTTGAAGGTATATATAAAACAAAGAATAAAAATATATATATATATACTATTATTTTTCTATTTTATTCATTTTCTTGTACTCAAATATATTAAATTGTGCGGTCATGTTTCAGCCCCGCATTCTTATCCTTCTGAGGCGTTGCTTATACGATATTGATGACGAGGTGAGCTCTGGCTACACACATGCCCGCTCTTTTTTATCTTTGCTGATTGGAGAGTTAACCCGGACCAAGTAGTCAAACATCATCTATATCCATAATTATACTCCATCTATGCATTCTTACCGATGAATAACAAAAAACCACTATGGTCACAATATGCGAGACCTCTAATCCGATATCTTTCCTCATTCATGCGTTCATAAATAATAATGGTTCTGTAGCATTATCTGACGCTCTCATTGTTTGTTCCTATAAATAGTAAAAGATGCCCCAAGCAAGGTACCCACTCGAATAAGCTCCTCCCATTTATTTGGGGCCCTCGGAGAACTCAATCATCATCTGACCCTCCCTCCGATTATCTCTGAATCCAGCTCTCCATCTGTTCATTCGTTCTTGCATCACGAATTCATCTCTCCACTCTGTTCCAGGTCCGTGATCGTGCCACGCTCTATCTTGACACACTTGCCAGCGGAGAATCGGAAGCCACCAACGACCAGACCGATGAAGATGTCAAAGGATTCCTCTTTGGGTCACTGGGCATTCCACTGAACAATCTGGAGACGAGCCTTCAGAAATACGTGGGCCCTGTGATACGCACATTTGTATTATATTCTGTTATATTATATTATATTATATTGAATATGATTTATTTAAATTATATCGGTCTGATGGGTTATTTTTTATGCGAACGCAGGAGGTCTCTAAGGAGCCATTTGACATAGCTTCGGTGCCCAAGGAGGTGAAGTCCCAGCCTCTTGTGGAGAAGAAGGCGGCGGGTAAGAAGCCCACTGGATTGGGGCCGCCTGCGTCAAAGCCTACATCGGCTGTGGATGCATACGAAAGGCTGCTGTCCTCCATTCCTGAGTTCTCCTCGTTTGGGAAGCTCTTCAAGGTCACTGCCCTTCTCTGTCTCTTTCCCCCCAGTCAACACCCAATAAACAGCAGAACTCTCTCCCTCTCTCTCTCTCATGTTCTTGGGAGCATTTAAAGACAGATGGGTTGATTTTCCAGTTCGGATTATGAAACTGGGGTGGAATTTTTTTTTAAAAATTCTTGGGTTTCCCCTTTTTGCAGTCATCGGCGCCAGTGGAGCTGACAGAAGCGGAGACCGAGTACTCGGTCAACGTCGTCAAGCACGTCTACGACGGGCACGTCGTGCTCCAGTACAACTGCACCAACACCATCCCTGAGCAGCTGCTCGAGAATGTAAGCCAGGAACCCTAAACCTAATTCTTTAACGGAGCGGGTGCGATGTCCTTCATTTAACCCTTTTTCTTCTCTCTCTCACTCTCTCTCTTTATCTCTGTGTTTCTGTTTGGTTGCAGGTGACCGTGCTGGTTGATGCCTCTGAAGCTGAGGAGTTCTCGGAGGTGGCCGTGTGGCCCCTGAAGAGCCTGCCCTACGACTCCCCGGGGCAGACCTTCGTCGCCTTCGAGAAGCCCGAAGGTGCCGTCAGCGCTGGAAAGTTCTCCAACCTGTTGAAGTTCATCGTCAAGGAGGTAATCCTTTTTTTTCTTTTTCTCCATTTTAATATTTACTACTTGCTAGGTAGGGTTCTTCCCTTCTTCTTTTCCTCAACTGGGAGGGAGGGCAGTCATCATCATCTCTCTTAACACTTTTTTAGTGAGAGAGAGAGAGAGGGTATGGTGGTGGTGGGTGGTGCTGACTGGGTAGTGTGGCAGGTGGATCCGTCGACAGGGGAGGCAGAGGAGGAGGGGGTGGAGGACGAGTACCAGCTGGAGGAGGTGGAGATCGTGGCGGCAGACTACATGCTGAAGGTTCCAGTCTCCAACTTCAGGAACGCCTGGGAAGCCATGGGGGATGAGAATGAGCGCGTCGATGAGTATGGTCTCGGCCCCAGGGACAGCCTTTCCGAGGCTGTCTCCGCCGTCATCAACGTTCTTGGCATGCACCCTTGTGAGGTCTCTCTCTCTCTCTCTCTCTCTCTCTCTCTCTCTCTCGCACACACACTATATCGTTCACACGCTCTCTCTCATCCATATCGTTGCTTCTCTCTCACCCTCTCTTTCTTTATCGTTCTCTCTCTCTCTGTATCTATCTGTGACCCTCTCTCTTTCTTTACCATTCTCTGTCTCCGTCTCTCTCTCTATCTATCTATCTTTTCTTCTTTCTCCCACTGCCTTTCTCTCTCTCACTCTATCCCTCTCTACCGCTCCCTCTCTTTCTATCTCTAACCTTGTGAGGTCAGTCCCTCCCTCGTCTTTGAATCCACAAGATACGAAATTCCAAGAGAGTATTGATCCTTGTGGATTCAGAGGGTCGCCTCATCAAGTCCTCGAGGATTCAACGATCCAAGCTCCACATTCTATAGATTCTGGACGTTGTTCGTTTCTTGTAGATTTTTTTCTTCACACAGATTTCAGATTGCGTCAAGTTCCTATTCTCTCTCTCTCTTTCTCTCTCTCTATCTATTTATCCTTGTGGATGTAGGGGTCGGAGGTGGTCCCAAACAACTCGAGGTCCCACACGTGCCTCCTCTCGGGGGTCTTCATCGGCAACGCGAAGGTCCTCGTTCGTCTCGCCTTCGGCATCGACGCCTCCAAGCACGTCGCCATGAAGCTCGCCGTCCGCTCCGACGATCCCTCCGTCAGCGAAGCCATTCACGACATTGTCAACGGCTGATCATCACATTTTAACCACACCTCCGCCGTTTGCTTGGTAGGTAAGTCAACGCGTTCTCCCCATCAGTCAATGAATCGATCGCTGGATGGTTTCTGATCGTAGCTGTCGGCGCCGCCGTTCCCCCTGATCAAACGAAGGCAGAGTTGCTTTGCCGGAGGGTTTGTCTTATGTGGTTTTTTTTTTCCTATTACTAGACGCATTATTCCTCTCCTCTGGCTTTCCATTTATTCCCAATTTTATATCCTCGAAATAAATCCTGTCTCAGTCCGGGGTCAAATGTCGAACTATCAGCTGAGGTGGTGGACGTATTAGTGGGCCCAGACACGCCCTCAAGTTTGGCCTCTGAATAGATACGGCCCAGTACCACCCTCTCTCTCTCTCTCTCGCGGTAGCCTCCTGATGGTTAAGGATGAGTAATTTTGTAGTCGTGATGAATATAATTTTACTAGTTAATACAGATCGATAAAATACTTGCGAATATCACATACTAACAAATGATTAATGCTACCCACATGCCGATTAACTCGTAAAAATAAAATATTTAATTTATAAATTGGACGAAAAATAAGAATGTAGACTCGATTATATCAATGGTATTATTAATATTTGGGATTATGCAAAAAAAATTAAAATGGCATGCATAGAATAGGCGGCTAATGCGTAAAAGCATATAGAGTTATGAGTTAAAGGATATTAATATAAAATTCGAAACAATTTATGAAAACAATAATCTTCTTGAGCATGTAATGAAAGATCTCTCCTAGGCTTTAATTTTTCCTTGTTGGTTATGATTTTCTAATTCAAGACATTCTCTCTCATCGGATGTTAGCTCAAGATCCCTCAATCTCGTAGACTCATTTTGACTAGACTTTTGTCCTTATGAAAGGTTAAAGCCCGATCGCACCAAAAAACCCTGCGTCGGAAAGAGAACGGCGGCTTAAAAAGGCGGCATGGTAGAAAGTCAACAAAAGGCCAATCTACAGGAAAAGCAACGGCAGAAAGTCAACCCAAATTGACACCGCGAATACTTTCTCGGAATCTGACGGCAGAGGGGCTGGAAAAAGGAACGGAAAACTCTATCTGCAGAGGCTGGTCCTTCACCTCCAGTGAGGGGGAGAGAGAGAGAGAGAGAGAGAGAGAGAGAGGGGATTCTCCATCTCTCCCCTAAAGCTGATGATTAGCGTTAGTTTATAGGCTAATAAATGGATTAGAGAATGAGAGCTACAAGCGATACTAAACTCCGAAATTTCAGAAGGTCTGAGGAGAATTCTTACAAGTATGTAGCTCCCGGCTTCCAACCCACCGTGACGCCAACCATATACAGTGGACGAATAGCCCCGGAGAGGTGGGGCCTCTTCAGGGGGGGGAGGGATAGTGAGTAAGTGAGAGTGAGTGTGTGTGTGTGTGTGTGTGTGTGAGAGAGAGAGAGAGAGAGAGAGAGAGAGAGAGAGAGACTACATCACCCTCCTGTGACCACCAAAAGCCCAGATCTGCGAGAAGAGAGAGTTTGGGAAATCAATAAAAATCAAACAAGAACCAACTTCATGTCTCAGTTGCAGTTGAGGGAATGCATTCTAATAATGAAGGTTCACGCCTACCCAGAACTCGCGATTGCTGAAAACATGAACTTCTTCGTGAGACCGGGGGGGTGGGGGCGTCCATTCTTACCAATCAGAATGCATTATAATCGTTGGAACCATGGATTTTTAAGGAATGAGGCTGATCAAGGACTAGGAAGGAAAGTCTCAGAGACCCTTTCACTCGGAATGCATTCTAGACACGGGGTTTGGGTCTTCCTGGAACAAGCAATCGCGCAAGCTTCTGAGAAGTGAGGGAAGCCTCAAAGCCCTCTCCTTCTTGGAATGCATTCCACTCATAGAGTTCAGGTCCTCCATGAACAAGTAATCGCGCACACTTCTCAGGAGTGAGGCTGATACATGGAGTAGGAGGGAACCCTTATAGGTCCTCTCCTACACGGAATGCATTCTAATCATACATTTTAGTTTTCAAAAGAGTGGGACTGACGAAAGGACTGGCAGGAAGCCTGAGGCCCCCTTTTCCTCAAAATGCATTCTGATAAGGGTGTTCTGATCTGGCAATAGCACAAACTTCTAAAGAGTGAGAAACCGAATACATGGACTGGAATGCAAGTGCAAAGGTCCCCGATAACTCATAATGCATTACAATCGGGGAGTTCAGGTCCTCTAGGACCTAGCAATCACATGGATTTATAAAGAGCGGAACTGATTCACGGACTGGGAGGAAATACTCTTTCTCATTACTCAGAATGCATTCTAATCAGGGAGCTCAGGTTTTCCCTGATTTAGCGATCATGAGGACTTCGAATGGTGAGACCGATTCGTTGACTGGGAGGGAATTCTAAAGGTCTCCTCTTTTGTCCAGAATGCATTCTAGTTTGGGAGTTCTCATCTTCTCTGTTGTAGCAGTCCCACGGACATCTAAAGAGAGACTGATTTGTTGACTAGGAGGGAACTCTAAAGGTTCCATGCTTTACCCTAAATGCATTCTAGTCAAAGAGTCGAGTTCTTCCTTAAACTAGGCGTTAGAGTATGAGGGAGAGTGCTGACTTGCTGATCAGGAGGGAATTCTAAATGTCTCCTCTTTTGTTCAGAATGCATTCTAATCCGGGAGTTCTGGTCTTCTCTGATGTAGCAATCGCACGGACTTCTAAAGACAGAATGATTTATCGACTAGGAGGAAATTCTAAAGGTCCCCTTTTTTGCCCAAAATGCATTCTTGTCAAGGAGTTGAGGTCTTCCTCGAACTAGTGGTTGAATTATGAGGGAGGGCGCTGACCTTCAGGGTTCTGTCCCAGCTTCCCGTGCATAGTGCGCTCCCATCGGCAGACAATCCCAGACAAGATATCCGGCCCTCGTGCGAGTTCTGAACGGCCCCCAGGTTAAGCACAACCTGAAAGAAGCAAAGATGAAGAGTCAATCAATCTCCAAGGAACCCAGGAGGTCAACGAGCCCAGCAAGCACAGACGCCCAGCCCGGATTTTCAACAATCGGGCCTAAAAAAAGCCCGGAGAGAGAAACCAGGTCTGGCCCAGATCCATGCTCATCTGAGACAGGCCCAGGGAAAAGCCCGTTTTCTGGCGTTCCTGGGCCGTGCTGCCAGTCATGGGCCTGGCCCCGGCCCATTGTCATATATATATATATATATATGTATATATAAACGTTCATGTGAATATGAGAAAAAAGCTGCGTACCTTGCCAACTAAGGTGTCCCAAACGTAGCAGTTCCCATTAGAATATGCTGCAAATAATAGTCTTCCAGATATAGAAAAGGCAATGGAAGTGACGATTGGAGAATCAGCACTGTTGTCTCCTTGCTGCTGCTGTTGTTGGTACACTTGAAGTTGGTGCCCGGTCCGAACATCAAACAGCCGGCATGCGCCATCATCTGATCCTGTTCCAAATCTCTGGCCATCGGGGAAGAACTTAACGGTGTTGACGTCACCTTTGTGGCCGTGGAACGTGTGGACAGCCCGACTGGCTATCCGGGCGTCCCACAGCCGGGCTGTTGAGTCGCATGATCCCGAGACAAACATCTTTGAGTTTGAACCGTTGATTGAGATGCTGAAGTGAAAAAAGATAGCAAGAGGGATTTTGTAATGCCCACACAGAAAATCCAGCTTAAATAATATCTACAGCAGGGGAGAAGAACGATAGTCACAGTAACAGCAAAGGGTATATTAGACCTAACGTAGACTTTAATACTTGAATATATCATTATGCGATTGTAGATCTGATGTGCATCCCGTGTCTAGCTACAAGGCTCAATAATAATGAGCTTGCACGAATTACTAGGAATGTATCTAATCAACAGCGTGGCTTTACAAAGCTATGCAGCTCAAATGGCATAAATTAAAGCATACATATAGCTCATAAGTTTATTAAGTGGGTATCCTACACAAGCAACGAATGTGCTTCAGCCTCATCCCAAAGACATAAGCGGGTCAACTCAAAAACTTGTCAAATAGATCTCATCACATAAATTAGTCAAATGAACTTATCAATTGAAATTCGTACCATAGAATTATGACCAAGCTTAATACTTTAAACTTATTCAATAGGTTTCATCATCGAAACTCACACATCAGGCTTCATCTCGTTAATTCTTAAGGGTCCTCAATCCATATTCAAGTTCGTAAATTCTTTATTGTGATATAAACTATTTTTACATGTGACAGCATTTTCTAACAATTAGTCAAGAGTGTTCCTTTGTTAGAATGATGCATCAACATTGACCCAATCAGTAGGGAGGATCCAATTAAACTAACATATGATGGCCAATTCATTTCCAGGTCCCAAAACAATGTACGGAAATATTTTCTCAAATATATTAAAAAAGGCAAGAGAACAATTTTCTCTGTTGATTTTTTTTGAAAGTACTAATATCACATGAAAACACTCAATATGAATTTTCCCCCCAAAAAAAGACGAAAATAACTGAGTTAACATATAAAGCAAATACCCAGAGACAAAGTATAGAAAAAAAAATGCAAAATGCATGTTGCATACAAAATATTGACACAACCCATCACAGTAATGGACAGAGGGACAGATCTTATACCTCAATACATCTGCCGTGTGCCCAGACGGAAATTCACCTCCAAAAACAGAAAGTCTCTGACCAGTAGTGACATCCCATAATATGCATGTCTGATCACCAGAGCCAGTGACAAGATGAGTTTCATCATCGGGGACATATTGGCATGAGGATACATATCCCTTGTGGCCACTGAGGAATCGAGCTACCGGAATATTACCATCTCTATCAATCTGAAAATTTAGATTGAATATAGAACAGCCACTGTCAAGACCACCAGATGCAACAGACTGACCATTGGGAGAAAAGGCGCAAGTCATAACCCATGCACAAGGTAGTTTAATGGCATGCGTTTTCTGGCTGGTTAAAGCATTCCACACGATTAACCTTCCATCCTGGGACGCACTAACTATCCTATTTCTTTCAGGGGACCAGTCCAAAGAATACACCTGATACATGCAACTTCAGTCAGAATTTTGGGGAGAAAATTTAAAGCTTAAATTTTGGGGAGAAAACCAAGCCTCTAATAAGTGCAAGCGAAAATGATATGTATAATCATTATATCCAAACCATATACTAATTATTTATGCAATTATAACTAGATATCTGAATACAGAAGTATAGTTTAACTTAAGAAAGACCTGGATCTAAGCATAAAATCACCAAAATAAGAGGACTGCCCATAAATATACCTTAATTACTACTCCTTCGGACACGAAGAAATAAATATCAACGATAACAACTAGCTAACCCGACTTGGAATATGAAATCACGTCATCCAGAAAATGAAGGAAATGTATACCTACTGTCTATTTCCAACATCAGAGCACAGTCCATTATCAACCTGTCTTCCTATTACTCGGACAGGCATAGAAGGAAATCACGAACTCGATTATTCAGTCAGCCTAAGAAAATGGACAACCTCATCACGCTGCTCACGAAAATTTTCATCAAGCAGACCATTTTTTTTAGTACTATGCATACATATGCCCCATTACTGTGGGAACTCAAATTCAAGACAAAATTAATAAAGCAACAATTGTGAAGTAAATGATCCCAGTTTTGGCCATAATTATTTTCCAAATCACAGAAAGACGATTCTCTTATAATAATCACTTTTATCATAATTACCAATCCTGAAATTGTTTGTTCACTTGGAATTACTGTCATTTGCTCGTTTCACTCAGTAATGGAAAGCAAAAGTCCAGGGAGAGAGTACAATATGAGAATGGAATCAATGCTCGAATAAATAGTAATAATTACCCTTCGTAAGTGATGATTTGCCCTCTCGAAGTTGTTCAGTCATTAAGAATCAAGGTGTACGTAACAGAACATGGACAGAACAGTATGGATAAAATAATTCTTGAACATCCGAAAATTACAAAGAAAATATGCCAATATACATCTTTATCTCTATATACCTATTACGTGACAGCATTAACAGATACGGAAAAAACACTGATTTGTACACAAAAGCAAACCATCAGGAGACGCCGAGGTCTACCTTCCCCGTGTGGCCTTGAAGCGTCCTACAGCAAACCAGATCTGTGGAGCTGAAGCTGATGGCAGCTCTACCCTGCGTTCTCGAGTAACCAACAACTGAAAAGAAGGAAAACACGCGCACTGAACTATCTATGGCGCAGAAATGCGCAAACCGAGGGAATACGAGTTCGCGTGAGAAAATCATACGGTCATTGTCGAGGAGCATCTGCCGCTTCTGCCTTAACCGTTCCCTCAGTGAGTCCACGGCTGCTGTCGCAGCCTCGTGCCGCTCCTTCAGTTCCGCCACAGACATTCAACACAATCCACTTCGCCTCCCAACTTGCCGAGTCTCCGCGGTTGTCAACCCCTCACACGACCATCCCAGTCACCCCTCCGCTGCTCCAGACTCTGACCCACTACTCTCCTCCCATCTTCCCACAGGTGGGTTAGGGTTTTCTGGGAAAGAAGCGGAGAGTCGACGGGAAAGGCGGGAAAATGGTCGTGAGAAAGTGGCCCAGGGCATGGCTGTTACCCCGCTGACGTCAGACGGAAGAGTCTGGAAATCATCCTCCTTGGTGCATCATCTCCGTCCGTCGTTAGACGGGCCGTCAGGATTGAATGACTACCAGAACAGCACACGTGGCTGTGGCGGAAGTGCAGACAAATTCAAACATTTATACAGAATAAAATACACAATCTACAGCTTACGTTGACTTTTTAAAAAAAAAGTAAAATCTAGACATGGATTTAACGGTGAACCAAAAAGTCAAAGAGTCTGTGGTTTGTTTTTGGATTTTGTTTCTGGGTTTTTTCTCGGCTAAACCGACGTGAAGAGAAAAAATCGTCTTTTCAAGGTATCTGGAATCCCTCCGCGAGACAGTAACTATCGGCGATTGAGCAGAAATAAAATAATAACTATTGGCGAGATGAAGACAGATCGTGAATTAAATATTTCTGCACAGGAGACATCACAGTAGCTGCCGACGAATGGATGGCGCCGCACCAGCCAACCTCGCTTGTGACTCTTCCGAGAGAAGAGTATATCAGCTAATAGACGAGAACTTAGGACGAACAAGACTCGACGGACTGTAGCTACAGTAACCCTTCTGACGCGAGAAGATAGAGAGAACAGTGTAGACGCGAAGAAAGATAAGAGGAAAGTTATCGTTCTCTTGAACGATAATTAGTGGCGAAAAACGCGGTCTTTAGAAGGACCTTTTCTCTCGTGGAGCGTGACTGAAAGGCATGGGCCTACCAATATCCGGTGAAGATTTCAGAGCTGTAAAGTGGGAAATAGACTCCCGCCTCCACCTGTTCCTTCGCCGTCGGGACGTCGGTTTGGGACCGCTTCATCCGCCATTGTTGAACTCCAATTGGGCGGCGGCCTCCGTCATGAAGGACTTCATGGCGGGGAGGACAAGGAATCCGCAGCTCCGTGTCGAGAAGGTCGTCTTCCTGGTCAAGGACGGGCTGCCGGAGGACGTCTTTGTCTCTTTGTCCATAGAAGACGCCCTGCTCTTCCCGGAGGACAGCGCACTAAATGATCGTAGGCGCCGGAAGAGGGACGGAAGGGATGTCCGAGAAGCTCACTGGGTTTCCTCTCTCCATGGTTATTAATCGGAGAGGACGCTGCTCTTTCTCTCGTCTGCTCTCCCTCCACCAGCCTTTGTAGATCCTCTCCCCCACACCTGGTATGTTTTTTCTTTCTTTCTTATTGTTTGGTTACAGTGGTCATGCACGTCAGGTGTTTGTGTTTTTGATTGCTACCATCGTCTTCTTCCTCCGGGTTTGTGCATCTATGGTTTTGGTTCTCCGAACGTTATTCTAGACTTCGTGGGCACTGATCTGTAGGGGGTTGACTCGTGGTCGACCTAGTTATGGATGGGATCATACGAGTGCCTCTGAACACCAAGTCACGCGATTTTCTTGATTGTTTTGACGCGATTTTTTTTATAGTAAATTTAAAATTTTGCATCGGCCTATGACATCAACCCGGTGAATCGACCCATGATGCCCATTTGCGAGAAATCTGGAGAACACTGTCAACTCTCGGGATATCTCCCATGGGTTTTCAAACAAGCATCATTAGGGCCGGGGCACAAGGTTTTCTATGTTGCCAAAATCACGCTATTTTTCGGAATGATTCCTGTTTCGGATTGACTAAGCGATAGTCTGAATCCTCCCTCAGATTATACTTTGTCAAAATTTTGCATTATTTTATGTTAATAAATAATTAATACACCGGATAAAATTCTCACCCAGGTTGAATAGAAATCCAGTGATCGCTGACTGACCATGCTCCGCTGGGGGTCCAGAAACCATACTACAGCAGGAAATGATTCTGAGGACCGTGACCAGAAGGTAAACACTATCATTCCTGAGAGCAGATCGTTCCGCTTCGAAAGTATGATCTGCCATATTTTTATGGGGTTGCAAAAGGTCAATGAGTTAAGAATGGCAGATTAAAGCTCAATTAGTCCTTTTTATAGCGATAAAAAATATATTTATCCATTATACAAAATATATATGGGTATATCTATGTTTTTTGCTATTTTCAGACAATAACTTGAGATTTCTTTGAGACAGGTACAAGAGCTGAGGACAGCGATCGGGCCCATCTCCGGACGCAGCCTGAAGTACTGCACTGATGCATGCTTGAGGAGATACCTGGTAGCCCGGAATTGGCATGTCGACAAGGCCAGGAAGATGTTGGAGGATACGTTGAGATGGAGATCGGCTTATAAGCCAGAGGAAATCCGATGGGTGGGCAAAATTATTCTCCACTACTCCTTCTAGTTCTTGGATTTTTGCAAAAAAAAATCTATATGCATAAAAGAGATACTTTTTTTCGATTTGACTAGTTGCACCATAGCCTTCTTTTGAGAGAAAATGGAAGGTACAATTCTAATTATATTATTACTTAGGTAGAATACCCTCTTTATCTAGGACGTTGTGAGAAACTATGACATAATATGCTGATTACATTATTTCCTAAAGTATAAGTACCATACCCTCTGAGCCTTAGATTAATTGAGCATATAGAAGATAACATGCTGATTATATTGCTGGCTAAACTGTGCTCACTGTACCGTCTAGCTCTAAGAGTTGGTATTTTATATAATTGCCCATATTAGATCCACCGCAGCCTCTATCTCTCAGATTTTTTGAGAAAATTGAATGAAGGATTAATTATATTATTGCCTGAAATAAATCCTTTAGGATATTGTGAGAAAATGGAACATAATATCCCCATCATATGATTGACCAAAGTAGATCCGCATTACCCTGTAGGTTTTGAAGTTCTGTAAAAGCATAGAACATGATGTACTGATTAGGTCATTGCCTGTCTCCAGCATGAAGTGGCCGGTGAAGGGAAAACTGGGAAAATCTACAGATCAGGCTTTCAAGATCGCCAGGGGAGGGTTGTTATCTTCTTAAGACCAGGAGTGGAGGTGCGCTCATCTACATCTACAACTGTGTGATAACTTTCTTTAAAGGGAGACATGAAATACTCTGCCTCTTTTTGCCATTTTCAGATGCTGTTCTTGCTAGATCAAAGGGTTAGAATGTTTTGAGAAATATATGGTTATTACTGGAACACTTGGGTCTTATTACTAATTTGGGGTGTCTATATAGTTAATATATATATATAGATATATTATAGACTATAGTCTATAGATGTGCTTTTCGATTCTGAAATATGGAAATTATGGTTCTCCTTGCTTATACAGAACGGGGATTCACATGACGGCCAGATCCGCTATATGGTGTATCTCATAGAGAATGCAATCCTCAATATGTCCTCAGGACAGGAGCAGATGGTGTGGTTGATAGATTTCACTGTGTGGTCGATGGGCAGAGCTGTGCCCATGAAGACTGCAAGGGAGGCGGTGAATATTTTGCAGAATCATTATGCTGAAAGGCTTTATGCGGCATTCCTTTACCACCCCCCTAGGATATTTGGCACCTTTTGGAAGGTGAGTACTCTATCTTCTCATTGATATTTGGTCGCTCACTGGGGTGTCAAGGAGTGGGGGGTTGACTCTTCTTGGGCCTGGAGAAAAAGCCCTTCAAGGGCTGTAGGCCTGTTGACTCTGGCCTTGTCTGACACGTTGACTCCCCTAATCACCAACACCCAGAAAGCTAAAATGTCAAAGATTGCGCTGACCTGTGGAATCATTTTCTTTGATTCTGTTCTCAGATTCTGAAATACTTCCTGGACCCGAAGACATTCGATAAGGTGAAGTTTGTTTACCCAAAGCACGAAGAGAGTATGGAGCTCATGAGGAAGCACTTTGATCTTGAGATGCTACCACTGGAGTTCGGAGGCAAGAGGAAGGTCACCTACAACCATGAGGAGTTCTCCAAGCTCATGGCAAAGGATGACATCAGAATGTCCGAAGTTTGGGGATTGGAAGATAAGAATAGTCGCCCATCGATTGATCACTCTGCATCGGGAGGTTTCTCCAAAGTCAACCCCTGATGAGCCAATCTGCCCATCAAATAAGGCTCTTGGTCTCCAGCTCTTCTGAGTTTTTCTTAAATTCGACTGGTTGTTATATTGATTTCACGAGTAGTGGTGACGATGGGCCAGGCCGAGATGAATTGGTTGCCTTAAATGGACCATAAAGTGAATCAAAATTTGGCAACCTGAGCGGTTTGGCGCCCCAACCTACTCAACTCTTCTAAGAGAGTCTCTCTTGAATTCTTCCAACTCTATGATAGTATGAAAGCCAACCAAAAGGCCACAGCTCACCTATCCATCAGATTCATGACTCAATAAAATATTTAACTGCTCCCAAGACTTGTTTTTTGTAATACTTTATTTTTTTTTGAAGCCCTTTCAAGGAAATATATGTAAAATTCTAATATTTTCAAAGAAAAAATGCTTGAAGCTTTGAAAGTCAATGAACACCAACTTTCTCCATAATTAATGATTAGAAATTTTGTGAATGTGCGTGTCAATGAATTAATGGATGAATACACAAGTTTTTTCCTTTGCAATGAGGTTAATATATATATATATATATATATTTGAGGGGTTTAAATGGTAAAAAAATTGACCATTCATAATTTCCATGATTACTACTTGGGAATGCTTAATAGCTAGTTTAAACAGTGCTTGCATCATCTATGGTGAGACCTTATTTTTTTAGAATATGGAAAAATATGAGAATGATTAAATATTTGATCGTGTGAAACAATTTTGAAGGTTCATACAAAGTAGAATCATTATTAAGATACTAAATATGATAAATGTGACATAAAATGGATGTTGTATCATCATCAATTTTGCCTATGATTGACCCTAAATTTCAGCAATCTCCTCCCACTTGTTGTGGCAGAACTTATGGTAAATATTGTTTTTTTTTTTGGTTTATACTAAGAAAATGAGTCAACTCAAATAGTTGACTTATCTAGTATGTAGTACTTACTACATGACAAAAAGTGCTAAAAATATGTACTGCACATAAAAAATGGGTGTTTGTAAGCAATTGAAATGGCAAGGAATAATTGAGTTTTTGTCTATTTTTAGGCTACTAAATATAAAAAATTGCATAAATTTGACATTCCACAACAAATCATTTGTGGAATTTTTTTTCAAACGTCGTCTTAAGCTCTTATTGAAAATAAAGTCAAGATAAATTGTTGTGTTCATCTTCAATCTTATAAACTCAAGATAACTCTTTCTCACTCCCTTAGGGGAAAATAAACTAAAAAATTGTAGAAATAACAAGATAATGTAAAATATTTAGTGGCACTCGATCAAGAGCTATGAATCTAATATTGAGACTAGTTGATGCCTTGAACTATAATATTTTTCCATTAAGAACATAGCATAATTCAAGGGGGGAGTTCAATACAGTGAAATTAGAAGATTATAAATCATATCTTGAATCAATCAAGGACAAGACCCAAAATCCTTGAATCCAAAAAGATTATGGTATGTTGCCTTAACTCATCATTTCAAAGAACATCATCATTAGATGGTTCATGGCTTCTTAAATAGGATAGCTTTTTTAGATCCCTTTAAAGTAAGTTTTGGTAATAGAAAATACCAAGAGAAGGGCGTCATAGATAAAATGAAGCAATTCCTAAGATAGCTTATGAAAAAAATGTGCTTTGATAGCTAATGGGCCACCTAAACAAATCCTAATTTCATTTTAAAGCTCGAACCACATACGTTATATAAATAAATAATAGAACAAGTCAAAAGTACAAAATATTCTTAATATGGGGAAAGTTATTTTAATTTAGTCATAAATTTTTAATTATTAATAAATATTTATATTTCCCTCATATTGAGTCATAGGCCAAGAGGATTGGAGGGGTCATAGAGGATTTTAAGTCTCTTTGGGCTGGTGGAAAAGTTATGTCCCTTCATCTTCAAAAATGATTGGCTTGGGTACATATGATCTACTTTTTTCATCAATCACTTATTTTTACAATATTTTATGTGTGATTATTATTAATATACCCCTCACAGATGTTTGTCTTTGTCAAATAAATAGTATAAATGCAGTATATGCACCATAAGAGCAAAAATTAGTCTCGATACTATTATTAGTATCATAAGCTATTTTATTCAGCTCCAAATTTCTATGAATATAATTATCCCATGTTTTAAAATTCCGCATTTATTATTTTTAGTAATTAAATGGAGACTATTTATTTGATGAGTTAAGAGCTAATTTAAGTGTAGGGTGACGTTGGATCAGCATGAGGGACTACGGCCCAGGCTGATCCAAGTGGGCGGATAGACTTCCTTCGAGGGGAGGCTGTCAGAATCATAGTGGGCGGTTGAGTATATTTATAAAAGAATATTAATGTTCGTGGACCCCACAAAATTAGAACGTGCCCAAACCCAGAGGCACAGTACATGTGCGAATCATGAAACGGATGATTCAAAAAGTGTGGAGCGCAAGTGCAAACATCATTATTTGATTGGATGGGAATCTGATTCGAATGCGCTGACACGCATCACAAACCGATTGGCTCCTCTCCACGAATCCCCAATCTGAGTCGAATAAACCGGTCCACCCGTTAGAACACGTGGTATTCCCCTCTCCCCCCCCCCCAATTCCCGCCATGAGTCGGCTCACTCGAGGGTTACGATAATCCCCGAGTTCGCCGCACCTTCTCGAGTTCAACTGGCGCCTCCGTCACCTCCCCCACGCCGCTCCGCCACCTCCGCATTCCCTCCGCCGATCTACCGCACCACCGGCGAGGAGATCGAAGATCGAAGGGAAGAGAAAGCGAGATCCTTCCCCATTGATTGGATCGATTGCTGTTCTCCCCAAGTAGTGGGAGAAGGCTGGTGAAGGGATCGGGAAGCTCATTCGAGGGATCTGGTCCTTGCAGGAAGCATAATTCTGGAATTTTTTCTTTGTGATCTTCTCCGCATCTCCCTTTCCACTGCTTTTGTTCCCTTATCTGACCTAATTTGGGGGTGAAAATGGGGATGAGGTAGATGTCGCCAGCCACCGCGACGGCCACTAGAGCTTCCACCACCACTGCGGCCGCCGTCACCGTCACTTGGTGCACCCGCGGGATAGCGGATACCTCGCCTCCTTATCTGGCTTCGCGCCGGGTGGTCCCAAAGTGTCTATTTAACTCCCGCAGTATGCGAATTCCGAAGAGGCCGTTCGCTGCGTTTTGTTTCTCCTTTATCGCGCCCCCCGCGGAGGTCTGCTCTACTTCCAGTTCTGCCGCCGACTGGACCTTCTTGAGGCGTCGATCTTCACCCAAGGTAGCCTGCTTCTGCTCTCTGCCTAGCGGCCGGCGTCATCTCTCCGTAAAAGGTAAGAATTATTGCCTTTCTGGTAATGCTTGGTGATTTGAGATAGTGGTCGTTAATGTGCTTTTCAGATCCAAAGGAGGGAGCATGTCCCGTTGCGGATTAGATATCGTGTTGTTAATTTTGTCAAATTTTTGACTTATTTTGTTTTATTAACTACTTTTTATGCTCCCTGGATGTTGACTTTCTTTGGACCAGTATTTGACCTGTATTAATGCCTCGTACGAGGCTTGAAAGAGAATCTGATTCATCCTCATTTTTTTAAGGGCCTATCTGTATAGGCTCTCGTTCAAGACTGCGGTAGCTTTCTCAGTTGGTGTGTTGCTAATATGTATAAATCGTTATTCCTCTCAGAGCATAATATAATAGTTTTTAAGCATGTTGGGAGTTTTTTTTATGCTTGAGTCACATTTTCTATTTATTTCCTTAGTTAATCCATATTTTCCTCGACATCTTACACGTTTTTTTTTTCATCTTGTCATTGTTGTTGTTGCCTTTTTCTCGATAAGGCTTTGGGCTCCATCTGGAAGATTTTGCAATCATCAAGATGAAGCAACTTGTTTGAAAAGTCTCTTGTATAAACTAAAATCACTGAATTCCATCTAGTAAAAATTCCAAGGATTAATTGGTAGAGTATGGAGTCCAATTCGACACTGATATGCTTACCTCAAATTTATTGGCTGGGTTTTACTGTAATATTATCAAAATCGGTTGAAAATCTTAAGCCTAACCTTGGGTGGGGATTGGGATCTAAATGCAATAATTAGGTTGATGAATTTTACATGGTAACATTTGGATTCTAGGTTTCTGAACGAGAATTAAAGGAAATAAGGGTAATGAAGAGTTTTTTATTAAGTACTTTAGCTCACGAAGTCTGAAGATCAAAGATTTTTTAGGCTGTTCCTAGTTCATGCTATGCTCACATAATTTTTGGTATCACATATAACGTATGTTTATGTTTTCATGCTTCTGCTGAAAATTCTGTAGTCGCAGACAAAGAGATGGTTTTTCTTGCAGCTTGATGCTGCCTGCTTTTTGAAAATATTGTTGAAAGCCTTTCCTGCTTTGAGCTTTGTTATATTCATTATGTGCTACATGTACTTTTCTGCATTTTATAATCTGCATATTTATGTGTGTACTAGTATTCATTGTAGGCTGATGCCATTCTAGCATCCTTACCAGGAGATCAGGAGGTTGCTAGGATGGATGCCAAAGAAGGTGGCAATTCTTCTGTGCCGATGGAACATAGACGTGATTTTGGAGACCATGGAAATCATATATGGTCTTCACCTGAGTGGGGCCGAACCATTTCCATGGGAAAGCAAATATTTTGCAATAGGTCCTTGAATATGAGAAATATTGTTGCAGTTGGGTTTGACATGGATTATACTTTGGCGCAATACATGCCTGAGACATTCGAATCCTTAGCTTATGAAGGCACTGTCAGAAAGCTGGTTTACAACTTGGGATATCCTTCAGAGGTAAGCAGGTTTTCAATCTTCCTCTGAATTTACAGATACCCTTTTTACAGTTATGTTTTGTGAGGAGTGATGCTCTCTAGCATCTAACTTTATATAGTTTGGTTTATTTCTGATTTTATGATCTGCGATCATATGGGTTCGTTTTTGGTTCTATTTCCTATTTTTCACCTTGGTAATGACGTTGCAAATGATTTCAACATTCATTCCCTGCCTTGAATTATTATTTGACGTTATTTCTGGACATAGTACTTCCTTTTCCTGAATTTTGAAATTCAAACGTATCAGACATTTATGGAATCTGAAACTTTTTAGTTAGCCATAAAATGGAATGTTTCCACAGAGAGGGAACCTCTGATTCTATATCCATGACCTCGTACTCTACACCTTTGTCAATTATTCAAATCCGATAATGTAATGGAAATGACGAAACTGATGTTTATCTACTGGCGTGATGCTAAATAAAAGTTTCACATCTTTCGTGAGTTACTCAACTTAAGTATTGATCTTGTGTGCGTGGCATTAAGTTGATTTTTATGGTTTTTTATACGGTTCAAATCCTTCATGTTCTCAGTTTCAAAATTTCTAGTGTATATCGATTGTCAGAGGTACATTTTGATTCTCTACAGGGGGTTGCTTTTATGCTTGCCGCATTTTTATGGAAACGGCTGATTTCATTGAGTCCAGAGTCATTTTCCTAGCTCATATGATGGCGCTTAAACAAAATCTTAGCAGTTATTTTTCAGTAGTTTTCTAGATTTGGTTTGGGCCAGTACAATAACGCTGATTGCAATTTTACATCAGTATTTGTAGCTAGATGATAGAAACATTTTTCATACATTTTATAGGCTGACATTGATGAAATACTTTGAGCATAAGAATGTTTTCTTATGCCTCTTCTCGACAATTAACGTGCCCTTTGGATGTTGTGTGGAGAATGATCAGTTGTGTAATAATGCCTAATTTTTTCTTCATTTAATTTATTTCAGCACACCGATAAGAACTTAGACCTGTGCAGCAGCATTTGGTTGAGTTTTCTATCTACTAGAAACCTACAGTGCGTAGTCAGAGAATTTGAGCTTAATAAACACATGTTCTTTTTCCTGCTTGCAGATTGCTGTGCCTTTCATTTGTGAATCATCTTTACCATTTGTCACTCTTCTATTTATTGGTTAATCTTGTAGTTAAATGCACAGATGATGGCTCAGGGAACTGGAAAATTCCTTCTCTCTCATTCCTATTCTATCCCCGATCCATATTCACATTATTTTTTTGTTCATCCATTTGTCACTTTTCTTGCTCAGGTTTCTTTATTGATTTGGTAAGTTTTATTATCCTCTGGTGAGTTTGGTTCAATCCTAGACAAAATCAATGGATTTGGATTTGGATTCCAGTTCATAATAAACGAGGATCCTAGATTTATTGGGCAAGTTTTTGTAACGATGATAATTCCTTAGCATTTTCTGATCCTTTTTTTCCAACAAAATAACTATTGCTGGACCTGTTCTTCAGTGGATATAGAGTTCTGGGTGGTGGAAGACACACCTATCCTCGAGTCCTAGAAGACCACTTGATTTTATAATGTTATTTTTTTTCATAGCCTGCTTAGACACATTTCAGGTGGAATAACTAATAACTATGAAGCAATAAACCACCCGCTTTAAAAATGTCATCATTTGGTCTTTCTCGGTCACAATGGAGCTGCAAGGAGGCGCATGCTATGTCTTTCCATTAGGTTGAACTGAAGGATGGCCTAAATAAAATAAAACATATGCAGTGGAGGCCAATCTTAGGCGTTCTCGTATCTTCATTCTCTGTTTTCCTCATCACGTACTGAAATTTATTTGATATTTCCAGAAATTTTATTTAAATTTTAATAAATTCTTCTGCTCTATGTATGTACATGTATACACATGACTCCTGCTATCTTTTTTAGGATCCAATCAATGCTCGTAGAAGTGACTTTGCTTTAAGTTTTACTTTTCTTTAAGGTGATGGTAGAACTTTTTGAGGGAACTCATATTTTCCGATTATTGCAGCTGTTAGAGTGGTCTTTTGATTGGAAATACATGGTCAGGGGTCTCGTTCTTGATAAGAAAAGGGGAAACATCTTAAAGGTCTGTCTTTAGTTCTCGTTTCATGCATGCATGTTTATTTATCTATCATTTCACCCGAACGCCATCATGCTATTATATATACTTTTGAAGATGTCTCTAGTCGAGTTTTTAATGCTATACTGATATGATCATGTCACGATGACTTGATATAAATGTGACATTCTGAAGTGCATTGTTGGCCGACTTGGTATATAACTGAGGGTTGCCTGGAAAATGAAAAAAATTAGAGTCGGATCATATAGAGTTTTTTGCCTTCAAACCCACGGAGCCTAACCCTGGCGTCTATTCTTAGATACCTTCAATACTGCATAACGCTTTTAAAAGGCATTAAGCTATGCTACTTGTTTGCTTGACCTGTATTGAGGATTAGAAAGCAATCATAATGGACTTGTATAATTCGGCAGGAGTTGCACAAAGTTGACAAAGCATACTACGTGGCCTATGCTAGAAATAAACAAAAAATTATTGACGCAGTATGTCATATATTGACATATTTATCCTTTCACATGTGTTCCATGCTAGCACCAATTTCATGATGTGTGAACAGTTTTTTTAGTCTCTACCATGCGGATAACAAAGGTCGAGCACACAATCCAGGAATGAAGTCTATGGCTATGGTGTTTTGTAAAGGCGGTTGATCATCTAACCCAAAATCAATGGGTCATGAGTGAAATAGATCCATGTATTTAACCACAAGATTTAACCTATCCCTTTAACTTATCTATATACAAGTGAAAAATTAATTATCCCTTCGTGCACAAAGGTTAGGATGCATGGGTAGCATCAAGAGAAGATACATTTCCAAATGATACTGAATTTCTTTTGTTGGGTATCCTCTATTAGAATACAAAAATATGTAGATGGGAGGAACTGTAATATACCCATAAAGAAAAAAACAATTGGTTGTTCGAGTAAAATTATTGATAGCTTTTGGAGCCTCAAAGTGTCAGAACCTGGAAGCTGTGTTGTACGGCTAAAGGATGGGTAAGGAGGGATATGCGGGATATAATTCCCTAGTTACCATATGGACGAACATTTGCTTTATGCTTTATCTGTTACTCCCAACGCCGTTTCTCTTACTGATCGCCACTACTGGTAACTGTCCTCAGGTTTCATCTAATTTTGTCTAAGGAGAACTATGCTAGCGCTTCTCCATATCAGGAAAAAGAATATCCTACCTTTCGCTTAGAGACATGTATACATGTTAATCATTTTTTTTCATTCAATATTAACCCTATTTGGGTCTGGCACCATTACAAATTTTGTGATGATATCACTCTGACGGGTTTATTATCATAAATGTTTCAATGTTCATATTTCGGTGGTTTTTTTTTGAAAAAATACTTTCTTTTACAAACAGATTATCTTTTTTTCAGATGGATCGTCACAAGTATGTCAAATTAGCATACCATGGTTTCAAAGAGATGTCGAAAGAAGATAAAATTGCCACATATGGGAACACCTTGACTCGGGATTCATTTGATGAGCCTGACTATGCACTTATTGATACCCTTTTCTCTCTTGCTGAAGCTTACTTGTTTGCCCAACTCGTTGACTTCACTGATAAAAATCCTGGAAAGGTCCCTGCTGGTGCTGAGTATGTTTTCACTACCATCGTAGAATTTGATTTCCTTATATATTTGTTATAATGGTCCACTTTATAATTTTTTATTTCATGATATTAGTCACGGAAACATGCATGTGCATAATTCTACATGTGTGGATCCAAGGATTGATGGTAGAGGACACAGATGTATAGCGGAGTTATAACTCCTGAAGGTCATCACTGCGTTTTTATTGAAACATTAACAACCATCTTATTTGGCATTTCGATTGTGAAGAAATATCATATTTCCTCCCCGACGTCTGGTTGTGTTAGTAATGATAAGAAAACAAACGCTAAAATGGAGAATGAGAGTGGCCATGAAACTGTATGCAATATTCTATGATTTACTTGAATGCTAAACTGTTTATTTTCTTTGACTATTTTTTATGCCAGAAATAAGAGTATTCTGCTTTCAGGACAAAACAAGTACTAAAAAAAATCTTTATTTATCATTTATAAATCCCCTAACAGAAGAAGCAATGGACAGGTTAGACTGCATTCCTAACTAAGGGAGTTAGGAATGCAAATATAACATCACGATTTCACATTTTGAAGTTTGTCGTGAGTTGTGTACCTTTTGTGGTGATTTCCTTTTTTTCTTTTACATGGACATGTCTGCCAATGAACTGCTTCCCAAGAAGTTAGTGTATTTTTTTATTCCTTCTATAGCTTATTTTTAAAATATAATGTTCAATATTTGAGATATTGAACATCATTCTAGATACTTAAGTTGTATCTATCACCAGTTTTTTATGTATTTAAGGAGTTTAATGTTTAGTTGGATCATGCAGTTATTGTCAGATGTATAAAGATGTACGTGCTGCAGTTGACTTATGCCATCGGGATGGAACTCTGAAACAAATGGTTGCAGATGATCCTGGAAAGTAAGAAATGATTCGAATAAATACTTCACTTTCTATATGATAGTTGTGCCATAGCTGACTTGAAAGAAAACCATTAATGATAATTGATGAGAACTCTCTTCATTGAATCATATGATTTCCAAGATCCGATTTCATTCTTGGATGGATTAATCCACCCAATTTCTTTCCATGCTCATGGCGTTGGTTTCCTGATTTCTAGTACAGATTTACCTCATGCACGTCCTGGATTTTCTCCAAATTGTGATTCTTTGATGCTTAATTAATTCTATTGACCCCTCAAACTTTTCAACTTACAGAGCCACCGATCTTACTCATTTTCACAATTGTTTCGACTTTCAGGTACATTAAAGAGGACTTATCAATTGTACCAATGCTTAAAATGCTTAGGGATTCTGGCCGCACTACATTCATGGTTACAAATAGGTACTAGTTTCGCCTATGAAACAAAGGCATGATTGCCCATCAATCGTGTACCCTTTCGTGGGGGATCCTTTGTTGTAACCTCTTTAGTTAATTGAAGCATGTAAAAGACTGATTGTAATGTCTTATATCTTGTAGCTTATGGGACTATACAAACGTTGTAATGAATTTCCTTTGTGGGAACAAAAAATTCGATAGTGCTTCTTCTCAAATATTCGATTGGCTGGATCACTTTGACGTGGTTATCACAGGAAGGTATTTGATCTTAACTTATACGCATGTAGGTTAACAATTTATCATGAGAAATTTAGGAATCTTCTTCGCTTTTGATGTATTATTCCAGCTACGAAAAATAGTTTTGAACCTGTGTACTGATGATTTGATATGACATAATGCAGATATTGATGCTAATTAGACCGATATTTGGTTTATTTGGTTACCTGATAGCATCTCTGTGCACTTGAAACACGAATCTTTTCTCCAGGGAAGGGGGGGGGGGGAAGAAATAGGCCAATTGTGCTAACTGCTGCTGGTTTATATACTTCCACATTGCTGATCGGCCTTATCCTTCCTTTTTTTAGGTTTCTAGGCAGATTAGCTTTGAGTATTAAGTGCTTTTTCCTCATGATTTTGATTTCATGTGATGTTCAAACTATTGAAATTTTGGAGAGGCCTATATATTGTTGATGAACGAGGATCGATTGGTCTTCTGGAGTAAATAAGACCATTGAAGAAATATAAAATAGATAATAGGATTAATATTTTTAGATTTGGATCAATTTTCTCCCCCTGGGGTTTTCTCCAATAATTCTCACGAAACTCTGTTTATTTTCCTTCTTTTCCGGTCCCCTTTTCTCGACCTACCTTCTCTTATTCCTATCTTAAATAATATTTCAGTTCACTCGCTTCTTTTCCAGAGTGCTTTTTTGACAGGTTTCAGCTTCTTCTATATATGTTCTTTGAATCATCAAATAAGCATAATACATTGAGTTAAATTCAGCTTCTGATATCAACGACCATATCCTTGTGGAACATTTTAATGTGTATTTTTATGTTAGATTTATGTCGTCCATTTTAATCATTTTCACTTTTCGATAGTACCTGGTTCCATCAGAATCTAAACTTTTCCTTGAGAAATTGCACTCCGAAATAGCAGTAGCGTTAATTGTTTTCTACTCTTACAGTTCAAAACCTAGTTTCTTTCATGAAGATAATCGTGCAAGTCTATTTGAAGTCGATCCTGAATCAGGAATGCTTCTTAACACTGACAATGGCAATATCATTCCTCAGGTATGTGGGAATAAATATTGTTTATAACCCTGTAGTTATGTCCATTGATTTTTTGTTACCTCATCTGCTGTCATTTTTAATTTTTTTTTTTAAAGATTGGATGTACTTCACCAAGATTACCAACAAAGGCACTGAAAAAGGCTTGCAGAGTTTTTCAGGTAGTTTCGCAGTGAACAAGATACAGTGGCCGTTAGGCCTTCAATACTTCAACCATTATCTCTGTTCATTCATTTCAGTTGGATCATTTAACTGCTATCTAGCAGGTTAGCCATGAATAGTAATTGTATCCTTCACTTTCAGGGAGGCAATGTTCGCCATCTTCACAGACTGCTATCTATTGAAGCAAGTTCTCAGGTAGTGTATTATTTTATTTTGATTATTATAGGAAGCGTGCTTCTTTATGTATGACTCAGGATAGAAATCTTCTGATTGATCAACAAACAAAATCATCTCTGACCTGGGGTCTGTAAGAGTCAATTCTCCATTTTAGTGGCCTTACGTAGCTTTTCAAAAATCTCTCTCTTGTAAGGTTGTCATGAGCTACTCTCATGCTAAGGCTGTTATTTTTAAATTATGTCATTTGTTATCAGTGCGGTTAATTGATCCTAAATCATATTCATCATCCATCAGACTAGCTCTTTGGCACCAGCGGCAAGAATCCTGTTCTTTAATTCCTCTCTATCACTTACGATATATCTTAAATATCTATTTTTATCCTCCACTGATTCCATCTATCCTATTTATGTTTTCCATGTGGATTTATAATCAAGATGCAATTTTTTTTATCTATTTTAGTTCTGATACGAAAAATTTACATATGAAATGGTTACAAATTAAAGGCTTGCATTGGACTCAACCTGCTTATTCTTATATGGCTCTAACATGGGACTCATCTTAAGAATAATCTTCTCTGCCCTCTCTCTCTCTCTCTCTCTCTCTCTCTTCTCACTACTTGTCACATGTGATATTATGCTACTAAGTTGCAGGGACTACTCTTATTAAGCTGGCCTAAGTGGCTTTTGGAGACCAAGACCATAAATCACACATCAGAATACAAATTCCAACGTGAGAAAAGTCTTATAGCTTGTAAATGGACCATACCGTCATCTGGTGGATGTCTTTCCAGTGCATAGTTCTTTCGCCAGCTTCCCCTCCAACTATGTTTTTGCTGTATCTCTTCAGTGAAAAAAGTATCTCCAAAATTCCATAAACCTGACTTAGTATAATGGTAGAGAGAAAAAGGAAAAAAAATATCATTAAAATTAAAATTTCTCATATACATGATAGAAACGAAACAACTATGTTAGGTCTGTATACAAGCAGGCCTATTTGTCCTTGTAGGTTCGTTAACTCCAACTAACAAGTATAACAGCCTGCTTGCATAATGTCGCATTTAAACCTACTTTTTTCTTGAATAAATAAAATATATTTTTACTTGGATAAAATTAGTTAAATAAATTTCTATATCTTATTCCAGCTCATAGACATTTTTATGGTGTTTTCACCTAGGTCTTGTATGTTGGCGATCATATCTACGGTGACATTTTGCGTAGCAAAAAGGTTCTAGGTATAACTTTTTTCACCTCTTATTTACTTCGCGGTAACTAATTTTTCCTATCCAAATGACTGTTGAAGGCTTTTTGATGGCATGTTTTGATTACTTTGACGCTTTTATCGTGACATGTTGTTACAACCCTGTTGATGAGTGAGCAGCGATGAAACCGAAGTCCATTGCTGTGCTTGATTAGGGAAAGTATCAATACTCCCCTCTCCCCACCTCGTTAACCTCGTATAGACTTCTAGTTAAAATATCCCTTAAGGTAACCAGGATGTCACTTTTGAATGCCAATCATAACATTAGATTGAATGTTAAAATATCCCCTATGGTACATGTACCGCATCAAGCTCACTAGAATTCTTGAAACCGGATACAAGAGTCTAGGAGATGGATGTGATCTATGTTAAAAAAATAAATCATCATCAAAACGCAGTAACACATGTCCAGTAAACTTCAAATTTATATAGGCGGCCAGAGCATAAAAAAACTGTATGAAGTTCGAAGTGTTATTCTCTGGCCAAAAAAAGCGTTGTATTATACGATTTCATAGCTATGCTCTGGCAAGTCAGAGAAGCTAAGTTTCAGATCGCTCTCCTAATTGTTGAAACTGGATCTACGAAAAAACTTGATCGTAAGCATGTGAAACGTATTTCATCTGTTTTTTTTGATAAATTTAATCCCTTTGTCTGCCCTTCTGCTACATTTGCTATGTTTCCTTTTTTTTTTTCCAGTTGGTTTATGTGCATTGGTAGCATCTGGTTGAGTACTCTTTTTTGTTTAGGTTGGAGAACCATGCTTGTTGTTCCAGAGCTTGAGAGGGAAGTAGAGCTACTTTGGGAATCAAGAGATTTGAGGAAGGTACCTTATGAAATTCATATTTTCTATGATGTCCTCTTAAGACGCGAAATTTAAGGATATCGCCTACTTCTGAATTATTCCTAATGGATATTGTGTATAATTTTTTTCTGCTGCAGTGCTGTGTCAGCCCGTTTCAGTGTCTCATTTTCGGTTGATTATTTTAAACATGAAACTCGTAAAACATGCTCTTTATTTTAGTATTTCGTGAGATTGATGTAGATTCATACAGAAAGATGGTGCATTAAAGGACGGTTAATTATTTTTCATTTTACCATCTGTTCATTTGTCCAGGAACTTAGGCGATTACGAAAAGAACGGGATGCTATTGAAGACAAAATTCATCATCTGAGTTGGTCTGTCAAGTAAGGAATCATGTATGCCTGGATTTTTGCATTATTTGTCCCATGGAGACCGAAATTCAACGTTCATTTATGATATAAAGGAGATTATTGCGCCTATGAGGCTTGTAATGTTTTCGTCGAACCTTTCTTGTGATGAATGAAGGAACTATATTAGTAGAGGCATATTAACGTGTGGATAATAATGGGAAATTCTGCAATCATTGATATTCATTCATGTGCTGAACTCGATGGTAAAAATTGTGACGTTGTTTTGATTCTTTTTTTAAAATAAACAATCTGGTTCTGATCATTGAAAAATTATGAAACCTTTTTTTTTTTGGCATTCACCGATGGTAAATGTTTGAATTCTCATGCTTCACCGAGGGTAAAAATTTCCTTGAAAGATTCCACCTTATCTTCTACTTTTCCTGCAGTATATATATAGATGATCATCTAATAATTTTTCCTAAATTTACTTTCAGTCATGAACCATTTCATAAGACGAGGTGTTAACTCCAGTGTGATGTCATTATTCCGTCAATCTTGGCTGGAAATATTTCCATTCTTGTACTGTGTCAAGATGCCAGTGACATGATGAAAAACCTTCATCTAGCTTGTTATTTCTTCGCTGCAATATTTTCAAGAAAAATTACTTGAAGAAAGGGAAGAATTCTGGCAGAAATATCTATTAAAGCATAACAAAAAAAGATTTTTTAGAGATACTTAAAATATTATTAAATGTTTTATATAAGGGAAATTAAGAAGGGAGTTATGTAATAAATAAATTAGGAATCTCACCGCTGATGTCTACACGTGATTTATTTAATCATCGCATTTCCAGTAATCTTGTTAGACTGGGATTCATCTCTGCTAAATGAGTCAACGAGTTGGATTTGATCCATTTGTTGTTAGAAGTTTTGCACTTCTCACCAAGCCTGGTGGCATTTAGTATCGTTTTTCTCATAACTGGTTGACGAATTCCCCGTCTCCAAGTCACGATTTTTTTCCTCTCTTGCTTCAGGTTTGAAATCTCTGGTGACGATGAGAAGCAAAAGCTATCGCCCGAACTTTGTGAACTGGAGGTGTTCTTCTATCTGCCGTGATGAATAAGTAGTATTATTTGAGGAAATTATACGGTCAAAAGGCATTGAAAGAGCTTCCCCTCTTGTTTGCAGTCTCAGAGAGAACGAGTTCGCAGCCTTCATCAGCATGCTCAACGAGAATGCCACCAGAAGGTAACTCCTTGCTCTTCAAGTGTCAAAACTATTTTCTTTTTATTTTTTTCTGCAATGGAAGAAGCCCCCTTTCCTCTTTTGGTGAATTCAAAAATTTCCAGTGTGGTAGTAAGCATTCTATGCCATGTGTTCCTGATGCTTCCTTCCACAGTAACGTATGATGTCTCTCTCTCTCTCTATCCCCCCCTCTATCTCTCTCTCTCTCTTCAAGGGAACTTTTTTTTTTGTCGTTGTGATCAGGAAAAAAAAAAAAAAGAATAATTTTCATTGACATCTGCAGGTGTTGGGTTCAAGCTACGTGTTATGATAGAGCATCCCTCGTTTCATTTTCTCCTCCATTTCCCCTTTATTTTTGGAGATTCTATGCACCATCATGCTGAATTTATCCGCCATGGTTCTCCAGAGACGTCCCTCAAGAAGAAATATCACATTTTATACTCGACCATATTTTTTTTATTTGTAAAAAAGAAAAAAAGGAACCATATCAATCTGCAGCTGAAATCATCCAGAAAGGGCCACATTAAAAGTAACTTGGCTCATCTGGGTACCATTAATACATGACATTTACGTGCATGACCAGTTATAATATCCAGCATTCATTCCTTGATGGACCGGTGATTATACTCCTCCCTTACCCTTCCAGTTCCACAACGTTTGGGGGCAACTCTTGAAGACTGGCTTCCAGAACTCTCGCTTCGCTCACCAGGTCTCAAAACCAATTAAACCCCTATTTATTTTTATTTTTATTTTTCTCCCCCCCACACACACAAACTTCTGGCCTCTTATATGTGCAGGTAGAGAGGTTCGCCTGCTTGTATACGAGCCAAGTGACTAACCTTAGCCTCTACTCCCCTGACAAGTACTACCGGCCCAGCGAAGACTTCATGCCCCATGAATTCGACATCCTTCCATTCTAGGTAAGTGGTGCCAGCAAAAACGAATATTTTCCTTATTTTTAGTATAAAAAAAAATGCAATTCTTGGATTCTATGAAGTCATCACCTTCTTCAATAACAGCTCGAAACACTTCCCTTCCCCTCATTCCACTGGCGCATGTACATAAATAGCATGGCTGGCTCCCTCCCCCTTCCCACAAATGTGTAAATAATTAAAGAGGGGGCATCGGTTATTTTTTACCCCACTTTGGCTATGAATCTAAGGGTCCCATTTCATTAGCTCCACTCTTTGTCAATCTTACCTGATTCGGCTGGTTTATTGATGGGCTTTGGAGATATATGCGTGCACCAGCTGGTTGATTTGACCTATTTTTGTTTGTTAAGAATTAGTCTCATATTGATTATAGTTTGTCCCATGTTCTTAAAAAAATGGGCTAATGTCACTTCTTGGTCATATAGTTATTATAATTTTTAAATAATCCGATGACTATAATTATTACTCAAATTGTGGATCCTCAATTATCTAAACAAGGTTTTTTCATGATCTTGATCAATCTAAACAAGGTAGATATATACATATATTTTTCAGAATTTTTTTCTGTAAGTTGAGTCACTTTTGTGACCATATTTCGTATCTATAAAATATCTTGTTCTTCTGCCGATATCAAGAATTTCATTTTTAAAATAAATATTTTTTGCGAATGTATTTGTAAAAATCATTCAAAATGGTTGATGGTTCTTGATTAATAACATAATTTACATAAACAATTTGGGTCTTAAATTATTTCCATTCTTGTGCATGACCATTTTGGTTGATGGTTCTGAAATGAAACGAGGAATTCAATTAAATTATTTTTTAATGGTTTTAAGGTTGTAGAAAATAGTTTTATAGGCTTTTTAAATGGAAAATAAATATGATATATATATAATTTATTAACATAATAATTAATGATAATAAATTAGTATTACTTAATAAATTTGCCATAATAGATTTATGTATTGTCAATTAATACCATGCTCCTTAACTTAGTTACATAGATAGTGAGAGAGATATGGAGAGGAACATAGAGAGGGAGAGAGGGATAGATAGATAGATAGATAGAGAGAGAGAGAGAGAGAGGCAAAGAGAGATAGATGGATAGATAAATAGAGAGAAAGGTAGAGAGATAGAGAGGTAGAGAGAGAGTAGACAAGAAGAGTGATAGAGAGACAAAGAGAGATAAATGGATAGATAGATAGATAGATAGATAGATAGATAAAGAGAGAGAGAGAGAGAGAGAGAGAGAGAGAGAGAGAGAGAGAGAGAGAGAGAGAGAGAGAGAGAGAGAGAGAGAGAGAGAGAGAGAGAGAGTATTAGAGAATACATTAGAGTTTTAGTTGGATATAATTTGGATCTGACCCAAATAACATAGCCTTTAAATATCTTGTATCCCTCACCTTTTAGAAAGTGAATGTCAATTTTCACTTCACCTTTCTCTCTCTCTCTTGAAGGTTGAAACCCTCATGATGGTGGGGAGGTCAAATTTGACAATGAGGTGACTATGATAAATTACAAGTTCTAACATCATATAAGGGTTGACCAAGTGTGTCCATTTCACTTTGTATTGACCCCTTGATTGTTCTATTGGGTGAAATCTCATGATCTACTATAGTATCTCTATTCGTATGTCTTAGAAACTTCTTTCTTCATTCAAACTCTATTTTTCATAATAAATCATCTTCTGATTGTTTATTTGATGTGTTGGTTTCTATTAACCTACTTGCACATTCTCTCATCTATGGAAAAGAAAGAACAACTTTATATCATCTTAGGAGGAACCAATCTTAGTTATCTGACCTTGTTATTCCTTTATTAGGCCTCATACTTATAAAAGGAGAGAAATCAATATTTTGTTATTCAAAGGGAAGGATAATTATCAGTTAGAAGTGGTTAATATGACTCCATCACTATCTTCATACGTGTCTTTGTCAATAGAACACTCAAAACTATATTTAGAGTTGCCAAATATCCCAAATCAATTTAAATTAGATGGAAAAAATCTCATGCAATGAAGCAAATTTATAGAAGTTGTTTTGATAGGAAGAGAAATTAAATCACATTCATGAACTCACCTTTGAACAAACAAACTCACAGTACAAGTTATAAAAAGAGGAGGATACAATAATAAAAATATGATTTTGGAGTACAATGACACTAGAAATCAATACAAATGATCTATTTTTTCTAACAACAAAAGATATTTGAAAAAGAATAAGTAATTTTTTTTCAAAAAAGGAAGATGATGCTGAAATATTTAGATTCGTAATAAAGGTTATGTTTGTAACTCAAAGAAATAAATTAGTATGGGAATATACTAATGAATTAGAGTCTTTGTGGATATAAATTGATAGATACAAACTCATCACTACAAACTATAAATGATGATATTTTTTCAAAAAATAAATTAAAAAAGATAGAATCTCAAATTTCTCAATGATCTTAATGCCGAATAAGATCAAGGTAGAACTCAACTATTGGGGAGAGAGAGAGAGCACTAAGCCATGAAGAAGTTATTGTAATAATCAGAAATGAAGAAAGTAGAATCAGCTTAAGAAATGTAATCTTAAAATGTTGATACTTCACCATTCATAATGAAACATAAAGATGAAAATGAACATCTATTGCCACCAAGTCAAGAAGGGGGGAGATGTGACTGACTACTTGTGGTGCCCCTATTGCAAACCAAAAAGACACTCATGAAAGGTGTTACAAACTATATTGATGACTAAAAACATGTGTTCAAGTTTGTGGAAGGCCTATGATAGGTGACCAAGCCCACATAATCACTTCCTAATTATCAAAAGTGTCTATGGCAGCCCCTTCCTCTGTCAAAAGTAACCTAGATGATATTGAGAGTCTCATACCTAAGATCAAAAAGCTAAAGTTGTGGCATTAGCTATTCACATCATTCAAGTGAGACATCTAAATCTATTGTACTTCATGGTACTTGTAATTATTTTTTAGTTTTATGAATACTAGACATAAGAACCACATATTATATGACAAACTCATCATGTATTATTTGTTTAGGGAATAAAAAGGTGAACAATTGATAGATCATTGTTGTTGGTATAGGAGATATAAAAATAGAACTAGTGAACATACTTGGGAATATTTTCCATGTTTCAAAACTCTTCACTAGCCTTATTTGTATTACTTCATGATATACATATAGAATAATAATCAATAGTGATGTTTGTAATGTATATAAGAAGGTCATAGACAAAAAGATTGTACATGTTGATGTACACGTGCCTTACCACCTTAAAATAACCAAAGGGGTGGCCACCATGTCATTAAATGAACAATCAAGACCTATGATTGAGAACTTTTAATTATTTCATCACAGACTTGGGCATCCAAGTCATAAAATGATGAATATTATATTCACTCACTTAATTTTAAAGTATGATTTGACTAAATTAAAAAGTGAGACATGAATTTATAAAATAAAAGTGAATCTCTTTTTCATCTAGTAGTAAAAAGAGTAATACTCGATTTTATGTAATTCATAGTGATGTGTGAGGATGACATGACTTAGTTGTTGTATATTAAATCACATACATTTAAAATTACTAATTTTTAGATATTTAAAAGTATTTTAAAATAAATATAATAATTATAATTTAATAAAATTTTCAAAAATAATGAATTTTTTTAGATGTGAAATAATATTTAAAAATATTTTAATTTTTTTTACAAAGAATATAATTTTTTATAAATTTTAGATTAAGAAATAAAAATAAAGTATATTTAAAATTTATGAAAAAAGAAAATAAGGGGTGTAGACGATAAGATGACATTGGTGTCCAACGAATGTGAATCGAGAAGAAATAAAGTTTCATCTCACAATTCTTACATAAGTAATCATAGACAATTTAATTGATCAAATTAAGATCTATAAAAGCTAGAAGAATTGTAATTAAATAAATAATTTTTTTATAAATTTAAATCACACAAATTATCACTAAATGAAGTAAAAATTAAGCTGAAAGTAGAAAAGTCACAATTTCGACCTCACAATAATGATCATCAAAATTTTATGTGTTTGAGAGGGTCATCGAACGATGTCCACAACCTCAAAAGCTCTCTTTGAATATAGATGATTTAGGTATTTACTAGATCTCTTTTCAAAATTTAAAAAATGATGACAAAAGTTAAACTATTTAAAAAATAATAAAATAGAGTTTTGACATTGCAATGGTGATATGTTAACGATGTATTAGAATTCTAATTGTTCAAGAAGATTGTCGTATAGTGTCTACAACCTCAAAGGTTATTCATACATAAGGACGATGTAGGCAATCTCTAGATCTTCTTGCGATATCTAGAGATCAATGAAATGAGTTGTTGAATCATATTAGGTGATTGTCACTTGGTGGAGCGGAAAGATGATGACTTTGCAGCTCTTTGGTAGCTGTCACCTGACGAAGAGGAACTAGATGAAAGTAGAGTGCATGTTAGGGAGCTTTATCCTCAAGTCCGCATGGTAGGAGGAGGCTCTTCATCGCATCTAATGTGCTCTTAAGAGGTGACGACTTGTCTCTCAGTAGATTATCCTCTTCTCGATGACGACTTATTTGTCGATCAATCGGAGATGATTTAGTCGATAGATTTGTGATTTTTTTATCGCGAATCATTCAACAAGTTTAGTAATAATATTATGTGAATCGCATTGACAAGATTTTCACTAATGATCGAACAATTCTATCAGCTTAATCCTTCGCCGATGATTTATAGAAAAGTCACAATTTAATCAGATAAAAATATGAATTTTAGCTCTGGTAAGATTCAAACTTACATCAATCGCCTACCTATATGAGAGAGAGAGAGAAATAAATACACAAACAACTTTTAAGTACACAAACACCCTTATAAAGTGATGTCATCAAACTACTTTCTTTTCATAAATAAGGGGTATTTTAGGTATTAGATTCTTCAAAATTATTCAAAAAAAAGTGTGACTTTATTAGATTCATAAA